GAAGACACTGTTATACACTGTTGAGTGAAGACACTGTTATACACTGTCGAGTGAAGACACTTATAAACTGTCGAGTGAAGACACTGTTATACACTGTCAAGTGAAGACACTTATAAACTGTTGAATGAAGACACTTATAAACTGTCGAGTGAAGACACTTTTACACTGTCGAATGAAGACACTTATACACTGTTGATTGAAGACACTGTAATACACTGTTGATTGAAGACACTGTTATACACTGTTGAGTGAAGACACTTATACACTGTCGAGTGAAGACACTTATAAACTGTCGAGTGAAGACACTGTTATACACTGTTCAGTGAAGACACTTATAAACTGTTGAGTGAAGACACTGTTATACACTGTCGAGTGAAGACACTTATAAACTGCCGAGTGAAGACACTGTTATACTGTTCAGTGAAGACACTGTTATACACTGTTGAGTGAAGCCACTGTTATACACTGTCAAGTGAAGCCACTGTTATAAACTGTTATGTGAAAACACTGTTATACACTGTCAAGTGAATACACTGCTATAAATGTCGAGTGAAGACACTGTTATACTGTCGAGTGAAGACACTGTTATACACTGTCGAGTGAAGACACTTATAAACTGTAGAGTGAAGACACTGTTATACACTGTCGAGTGAAGACACTTATAAACTGTTGAGTGAAAACACTGTTATACACTGTCAAGTGAATACACTGCTATAAACTGTCGAGTGAAGACAGTGTTATACTGTCGAGTGAAGACACTGTTATACACTGTTGAGTGAAGACACTTATAAACTGTCGAGTGAAGACATTCGCTTTACATTTGTTGTTTCTTAATATCATTATCAAATTATACAAGAGCACAGGCTATGTGTCAAACAAATTGCTAATTGAAATGAAAGCCAGTCATAAAAGTGTGGTCCTCTCCTCTTTGTCTCCTAAATTTTTGACAGTTACTTGAGAACATGAGTTACAGTCGAGCACCTTTTTCTCATTATTCATGGGACCAAGAAAAAATATCGCGTTATCCGAACTTCGAGACATCCGACCAGGGCATATCATCACATATCACTATGAAAGAAAACAAAACGCTTCTCAGTATGTTTTGATTCAAAACTATAATCCGTTATCAGTAGTGTTTAGTCCTAACAGTGAGTACTTCCTAATTAAATTCTTCTTATTTAATCCTAATCAAATAACAAAGACGTGACACCTTCAACTCAGTTAGCCCTAATTAGTTTACACTACCGTATCCCTTTGATTCATACCGTGTGAATATTGAGTTTCTTTGCAAATATCGGTTAAAAGGGTAATTTTGCTTGTTGGGACCATGAAATTATATCGAGATATCCGAAATATCAAGACATCCGTATCGAGTTAAAAGAGCTTGAATAATGATAAATTATGAAGGATTTTGCCGGGACCGAGATGTTATATCGAGACAACCAAGATATCGAGTTATCAGAGTTCGAAACAACAGTGCTCGACTGTACACATATACATCTAACGTTCCTCCTGGACAGCCCGATCCATCTTACACTGTACGGTCAAACATCTGCCCTTATTTGTGAGGTAACACAGTGTTGAGCATGAATGAAACTAAACCATGTTAACAGACACAGGGAAGATTGAAGAGATCTGTACATCAACATATTGTAAAGGGACACATCCTTAGGATAATTAAACCAGTCTGAGTGAACCTATTTCTCAAAAGACCCCTGAAGATCCGGGTTAGAATATTGGCCTTCAGTAACCCATGCTTGTCGTAAAGCGACTAACGAGACCGGGTGGTCAGGCTCGCTGACTTGGTTGACACATGTCATTGGTTCCCAATTGCGCAGATTGATGCTCATTCTGTTGATCACTGGATTGTCTGGTCCAGACTCGATTATTTAGAGACCGCTGTCATATAGCTGGAACATTGCTGAGTGTGGCGTAAAACTAAACTCACTCACTCACTCACTCACTATTTTTCAAAACATCCTACTTCCTGAAATAATAGCATCCTGGAGCTGTGACAGCTCTAACGGCTGAAGCAGTACATCATGTTATCTTGCTGGTGTCACAGTGGTACAAATAAGACTTGCTACTTAAGTCACAGATCTTGTTGCTACAACAGTTAAAACCATCTGCCCCGTCTAGATCTAGAGTTACCCCGACACAAGGCAGCCTATCGGTTTCATCAGCCTGTGTTTATTCTCCACAAATCAAGTTGAGCTGAGTGTGGAGTAAAGAAAACAATCTGTTGACGGCATCGTTACATGCCAGGTCTGTTACCACATCTACACGTTATAAGACGGCAGATCCTGCCAGCATGTCAAGTACACCTGCACCCCAGCCTACAGGACTGAACTATAACATATGATATATTGGATAAACACTTTCTAACTAAGGTACAGATTCTAGTACTTTTTAGAGTCAAATGTGGGATTTGAACCAACACACTCAGAGTGAGGTAGTTAATCGTCTGCACACAGAGTCAGCAATCTAACCCACTCAACCACCTCAGTTTCTACAAATACTGCATGTCTAACAACTGCTAGATCATGTAATTTGTGTACCTCTCTGACTTCACGATTCTATGTTTTCAATTCCCTTTCAGTACCTAGGAAAGAAGACAATGCCAAAAGGTAGAATACATCTAAAGACATTCTGTGCTGGGACATGGTGATGCCTGCTAGGTAAGTGTATTGCCTGGATGGATGTCAACAGTCTAATGACCCTGAATTTATATGCTAGTACTACAGACTGTAGCTGGTTCACGCCAAAACATTTTAAATGGTAGAGGCATCCCAAACACTACTATGCCTTACTTTTAATACTGTCTCCTAAGCAACTAAGTTGCTATTTTGAAGGATATTTTCTGGATGAAAAAGAGCTGAAACAGTTTGTTTTTATACAAATAATTACACAGTTGAATGACCATCCATATTTTTAATGTCTATTCCCCAAATATGACTTTCCACCCTCCAGTACAAGATTTACATTGTTTCTCTCAGATATGTCTCACTTACACTTAGTGCTATACGACATCCTTACATAGCTGATGCAGGAAACTACATACATAGAAACCTGACTCCATCATGGCCTGGCAACGAGTCATTAATGGCATAACAGTGAGTGAGTATGGCTTTACACCACTTTCAGCAATATTCCAGCAACATCAGTGAGGGCCACCAGAAATGGGCTTCACACACACAGGCCCTCGTGTCTTTGCGAGGATTAAAGATTTTATAAAATATATACAAAATTTGAGATGACCCCCTGTCTCGAAATGCTTCACAGTATAATACATTATGACAAGGACGGACACTTCGGTGCACCCTACCCGACTGCTTTGCCGATCGCTACGCTACCATCGCATACAATCGATTAAAACTTAATGTAAACATAACCATGGATGATTGGCCTATTGAGCACCTCTCATGACACCTACCAATTCTTTATTGTTATTTCTGCAAGTAGATTGAAACCCGATTTTGACTCTCAACTAAACAATCTTGACACAAATGGCTGACGATATATCCGCACAAAATGGGGGTATCATACTGTGAAGCATTTTGAGTCGGGGGTCATCTCAAATTTTTGTATATATTTTATAAAATCTTTAATCCTCGCAAAGACACGAGGGCCTGTGTTCACACACTGTACCCATGTGGGGAATCCAACCCGGGTCTTCGGCATGACGAGGGACCGCTTTAACCACTAGGCTACCCCACCGATCCAATGGCATAACAGACAAGCATCCTCAGACAAAGTGTTTACTCCCTGAAGGACTCCTTAGAATAGGACAATGATATGATAATAACCTTTCCATGGCACTTACATTATTTGGAGATGTGAATCACCTGCTCTTTTTATATGAAAGACTTTCTGTAAGTCGCAGCATTTGTTCATAGGGATTTTACTGACACTTCAAAACATCTCATCCATGTATGGTCAAAGGGAGGTAATGAATCCTGCTTCATTACAACCATGTGACAGCATCTTATAAAGGTCTTGCTTGAATACCTCAACTTATGTCAGATGACAAATTTCTTAAATCCAGCAATGAAAGATATGTAAAGTGAAACATATATGTCACTGTTACTATCAGTTGTATACATAAAATAATGTTGTTCTTTTCTATTCTATGTTTTAAGAATATAATTAATATTTTCCATGTTGCGGCCCAACAGGATTACATTTTATGACCAAAACCCTAATGTTTCAGTTCCTGAGGACTCTCTGCTCAAGCCGGGACCACACACTTTGTGAAACTCCTGCATTTCAAACTTGTGAAACCCACACATGTACACCTTGTGAAACTTACCCACATAAGTACTCCTGGTGAAACACTTGTTTGTCACCCATCTAATAACAAGCCGGGACCAACTCTACCCTGGCTATTTATGGGATATTATGAGAGGGGTACTCATTAAATATGAGTCAAGATGGAATCTCATGTTCGCTGATCCTGGAACAATCCTGATTTCCTATTGTCAACCTCACACTTAGGCTGAAGGGGTCGTTGTCGGGACGGGTACTACAGATATGTACCCCAGGTACGTTTCTGTATACAGAAACGTACCCTGGCCATAATGAGAATACAGAAACATACCCTAGGACGATTCCATTCCTACTGTGTCGTATTCTTGAACGGAACTGTCATGTTGTTGTATTAGATACATTTGATTACTTTATGTAAGTAATGAGAATACACAGTAACGGATATTTCGCGAATACCAATCGTAATCAGTTGAACGGGAACAACTACATGCAGTTTCGGTTTTGGATTGCGGAATATGGACTCATCTGCCTTTTAGGGTACCAGGTACGTTTCTGTATTTTGACTTTGTTTAGGGTACGTATCTGTAGTACCTGTGCCGACATCGACCCTGTCAAGTTCCAGATGGCCAAGTTCTAGGCTCAATCTACAACCAGAACTGTTAAGTTGAAAATAAGAATTTGAAAACAAAGAAAGATTTCTCACAACATATTCTCAATCAGTATAGGAGTCCTACCTGAATCTGAAGGTGAAACTTGTTGATATCTTTGAACTGCTTCCTGGCATAAGTCTGTAGGACCGCATCAAGGAATCGGTCTGGACGCAGGAAGTGAGACAGGTTGTACATTGCAGGAGTCTTCTTCAGATACGACACAACGCCTGTCATCCGCACAGGAAGCTCCTGCAGCCACTGCTTGAGACTGGAGCATGATGGGAAGGTTTCCTTCAGCCAGGCAGAAGGTACACGGTCATTACAGACATCATCGAACAACTGCGTCACCTGCTCTGTCAAGGCCACCTCACCCCGAGCTTTCTTCAGCAAGAGGCTGAGGTCCAACTGGACTTGTGAGACCAAATCCCGGAAGCCTGTAATCTCATAGTGTAGGAACACGTCTATGGGGTAGATCTGCTCCCTGCTGGTCTCGGGGAGAGAGGGGCAGTTCTGGATGAGGGCTAGGAGCTGTGGGATGAGTGGGTCGGTGGACACGGTGGTGGACTTGGGAGGGTGGAGAACCTGAAGGAGGAGCTCTGGAGCCCCAGTAGCCTGAACCATGTCTTTCCCAATGATCCTAGAAAACAACAACAACAGATGGAGTGGCCTAAACAGTGCTACAGTTATTACATGATATGTCAGCTCAGAGCGAGACAATGCTCCTAGTTCTGGTGCCCATTTAGTTTGTCATACAGACCCTGAAACAAACATATCAAGAAAGCCCATGCAGAATATGTGGCTAGTCTAGATTTCCACAGTTTCAGGATGATGAAAGTCTCTGGGCTCATTTTTATTATATTTCATGATTTATAAACAGTTTTTTTCTGTAAAATATGTTCATTTCAGAGACTGGATGCTAGTCTCGTGTCCCCTCTTGATCTCAACTTTGTAAGGTGCACTGTGTAGGAGATACATTTCTGTGTACATAACAGGCTGAATGTGGACCAGATGGGCCAGGTGGGTCAGGTGAACCAACGAACCAATGAATGATTGAATCATTGAATAATGAATGACATGTTGTACAGATGTTTTCACAGATTATCAGTAAGTTCACACATTGTAACCACATTGTAAATCCTTGTTGCAGGCAGAATTTGGGGAAGGTACCTCTCAAATTTGAGAAATGGTCTCACTGATTTCCCATTTGATAAACTTCAAGGATATGGTCTCCTGAACTAGAACTGCTCATAAATGACTTTCTGATCATCATGATGTGCGATGCAACTACGACAAGTCTCCACTAGCAAGACATCCAACAACATATGACAACAATGTATGGCATAACGTTAACTTCTACTACTGTAAAGGACATGCAGTAAAAACATCACCAGTTTGGTAAAACTCTATCTGTTGTGAATATATCCCATCTGTATCGAGTGAAGTGCCTGTGCACATACCTGCTCTTGCCAGCTAGAAGATGCTTCTCTGCTGCGTCACTGAGACAGAATGTCCGGGCAGAGTGGTCCTCGATGGCGTCCAGAGCCTTCTTGAGACTTGGGGGATCGTCTCTACTGGCCAGGAGTTTGTGTAGCAGTGACACAACACCCTTCCCTCTGGCTGTCTGCTTCTCTGCCTGCATACAACATAGACCAAAAGTAATTCTAATGTTCTTATTCATGATACCTTTATCATAAAAACAAGCATTCCTCAAATCTTGTCTTGATTTTAAGATTTTAAGTCCTTGGGCTCTAGATGGACTCGATGGTCTGTCTTTAGATTAGGCATGACAATATCTGAGAACAAACACTATATTTTGTTAGAATATTCATTCTGCACACATACTGTATATAACCAAAACAACAATAATAAGAGGTTATTCCTTTTGCCAGTCATATCAGCCCGAGACGACCATATCGCCCCATGACCGAAGGCCCCTACGGCTGATATGGAAGTCAAGGGCTGATGTGACTGGCGAAAGGAAAAGTGACATATTTTAACCTTTTTATCATATACCACATCAAGGGACCTAACTCTAAAATAAACTAGGCTCCGTCTATTGAAGTTTCAAGCGTTTGCGTGTATTCATTCCGATCTAGTTTAGTAGCCGGGCAATACACTTCTGATATGGATTTTCGGCCCTGGGGCTGATATGGCTGATATGCATTTTCAGCCCGGGTGGTCAATATGGCCGACAGCCAGTGTTGTATGTGCAAATGGCCCATATTATTGACAGGTATATGATAATGTAATTTTTAGAGTAAAATTGATATTTTATACTTATCCTGACTCATGCTCTTTTGCTTGTCTTCTTCCTCTTGCGAACATAGTGGAACACTTGTATCTCCTTAATTGAAGCTCCCTTCAATGTAAAATCACTAATTGGTACTCACCAAGAGTTGCCTCCCTTTGCCCTTTGCGCGGGAACAGGTGTCGCCACCCTCTGGCCTCATGCTTCACTCTCTCCTGATTTTGCGAGCCCAACACTTGAATTTACAGGGAAATCCAAAGTGTTATGTGGGGAGGATGGGAGGGCTTACCTCATGAGTCAGGATAAGTATAAAATATCAATTTTACTCTAAAAATTACATATTTTTCCTTATCCTGACTCATGCTCTTTTGCTTGTAGATTTTGACGGAACCGGAGGTGGGAAACACAGAATACTTTGGATTTATAATTAGTGATTTGAATAGATATAACTGTAATAACCCTTTACGGGAACTTCATGAAGGCATAGACTTAGGATATTTCCTCTATTATAAGCCATAGGTTATATAATGCCATAACTGGGGTATTACATTAATAATATACTGAGATATATACATAGATATAATAAATATAAACGCGACTCTGATAGAGACGCTGTACAACTGAACATAACATCAGTATAAGCTTAAGGCTGAATAACCGAAGCTAAGTATATACATAGCCCTGAAACTCCGTAGAGTTATAAGCTAGATAATGTATGTATACAATACATAATAATCTTGTGAGGGTAAGTATTAACGCCTACGAGGGACTGTCAGCTGCTGAGCGAGGACCAAGGGACCGAAATGGTGAATGCCAGATACGTCCTCGGTGGTGATATCTCTCAGATAGTGATTAGCAAACACCATGTTAGATTTCCAAAAGCATCCTTCCATAATTGTGTTCAATGAGCAGTTACCGTGTAGGGCGAGAGTGGAAGCCAATGCCCTGATCTCATGGGGATTTGATGCTGTTGGAGGGTCCAAGCCTGCTGCCTTGTAGGCATGAAGTATGACAGTCCTTATCCATATAGATATGGTGGTACGAGAGACTTCTGTCTGAGTTGTTGCCGATAAGGGGATGAATAATCGTTTGAGAAATCTTCGCCTTGTCTTGGAACGTCGTAAATAGATTTTGAGAGCTCTGACTGGGCACAGCGATAAGTCTAGTGTATCTTGAGATCCGAGAATCGAGGATAGTGCCGGGACGTGGAATAACCTGTCTGGTTGGCCTGGTAGTTGATTTTTGGCGATGAAATCCCATCTTAATCCCAGGTGCGCTGTGTTTTGATTGTCATCAAACTGTATCCTCTCATAATCTAGAGCGTGAATTTCGGACATTCTGGCTGCCGTGGCTAGAGATAACAGGAAAATTGTTTTCTGTGAGAGAAATTCAAAGGTTGTAACACTACATTGTTGTAACACTACATTCAGATCCCACGCTGGGGCGTGGAACTTCCGCTTTTGGTCCTCCAATCGGAAAGCACGTAGTAAGGCCAGTAACTCTGGAGACTTAGTCAATTTGACACCCGTTCTCATCGTAAGCACAAAACTAAGAGCGGCAAGATATGCTGACAATGTCGAGCCTTTCAAATGTTTGTTTTGGCGAAGGTAACACAAATAGTCTGCCACTTGAGGATGTGTAGCATCTCTCGCTGTAAATCCCTTATTTGCTGCATAATTTTCGAAACTGTGCCACTTGTCGTCGTACAAGTTACGAGTAGAGTATCGTAAGGCAAGCGTGACCGCTTTTGCCGCCCTGGCAGAATATCCTCTCTTGTTTAAACACATTTTAATACAGTCCATACGTGAAGTTGGAATACTTCTGGGCTTCCGTGCACCTGTTTGGTGTGTGGATGTATTAACAGATTTGAGCGCTTGGGTAGCTCTAGTGCCGGTTGACCGATTTCTTGAATTAGAATGGGAAACCACGTTCTGGCCTGCCAGTAGGGCGCGACCAAAGTGAGTTGTAGGCTCTGTGTTTGTCTGATTTTCTGTAACACTTGAGGTATTATTACTGGCGGCGGAAACGCGTACGCATTGAGGCCTTCCCAGGATATGCTTAGAGCGTCCGTTGCCCATGCTTGTGGGTCTGGGACTGGTGACACGAATGTCGGTAGCTGATTGTTGAATCGTGTGGCGAATAGATCTACTAGCGGCGCTCCTATTTGCTTGATTATCTGTGCAAAGATTTCTGTATTGAGCATCCATTCTGTCGGTGACGGTTGATGTGGCCGAGAGAGTGCGTCTGCTCGTACATTTCTGGTTCCGGGAATGTGGCATGCTCTGACATGTAGATTTAGATCGTGGATTAGATCGAACAGTTGAAAGCATAGGTTCAAAAGGTTCGATGATCTCGTTGAGCCTTGTCTGTTCACATAGAACGCCACTGTCGTGTTGTCTGTATGAATCATTAGGTGCGCATTTTGTAGAATGGTGCTCCAATGCAGTATGGCGTTGATTACAGCTTTCATCTCTAACATGTTTATATGGAGCTTGCTTTCTTGCTGATTCCATAACCCTGATGCTGTCCGGTTGGCGAGATGAGCTCCCCAACCCTGGAGCGACGCATCTACATATAGATGGGTTTTGAATTCCTGCTCTGCTAAATAAATCCCTTCGCAGACATTCGATTTCTTTGTCCACCATAGTAGATGAGGTCTGAGATGTTTCGGTAGACTGAATGGTTGTAGGTCGTCGAGATGTGCATTGATGAAGACCTGTAAGGGGCGTAACTGTAACCTGCCTCTGACTGTCATGTCTTGGGCTGATGATAGGAGACCTAGTAGGCTCTGCCACTGTCGAAGTGGTAACGGAGAAAGTAGAGCTGGCGAAATGGTCTGTTGGATCTTGGTCCAACGGTCTTCTGGTACGACGATACGGTTGAGATTCATGATAAATCGAATGCCTAGGAACTGCAGGTCTTGCGATGGTACTAGGTCCGACTTGAGTAAGTTTACTAACCATCCTAGCTGTGTTAGTAGCTTTATGATGTAGTTTAACTGTAGTTTGAGACGCTGTGGATCTTGATCTACTTGTATCCCGTCGTCGAGGTAAAATGCACTGCGTAGCCCTTGACGATGTAAATAGGCGATAATCGGTTTCGTTATCCTCGTGAATAGCCAGGGGGCTGATGATATTCCGAATGGGAGTACTTTCCACTGGTAATGTAGCCCGTCTAGTGTAAACCGTAGGTATTTCCTGGATTCGGGATGTATTGGGATGTGCAGATATGCATCCTGTAGATCTATACTGCCCATGTAGTCCATGGGGCGAATCAACTGCTGTAACTGAGGTAGATGTATCATACGAAACTTTGGTGGTTTGCGTAGATAATTCTTGTTGAAGAAGCTCATGTTGAAAATGAGTCTGTATTTCTCCTTGGAGTTTTTCTTGGGTACTAGGAAAACTGGGAAGTAGAAACCTGGTTCGATGTTTCCTTGATCTATTACTTCTATGGCCTGCTTGGTTAGGAGTGATGTAATAGCCTCTCTTAACTTTGGTAGTTGTTGTGCCTGTAAGTCGAACTTGTGAGGGTTGACTGTCAGCGGAGGCTTGGCCTGTAGTGGGATAAGAAATCCGTGTTGAAGAATGTTGGAGACATAAGGGTCTTGTGACATTCCCCAGTTTTCCCAGTGTAGTTGAAGGCATCCACCCACTTGTGACGGTTGTACTGGAACGGCTGGGGGTGGAAGACTCCAGTCGTTCCGAACCTGTCTTTCAGCGTTTATAGTTGCGGGAACCTCTGGGTGTCCTGCCTCTTCCTGACCCTCCTCTATAGTTGCCATATGGGCGACGAAAAGAATCTTTTCCCCTGGAGCTGGCTATCTTCCTGTCTCGTGCTCTCTGTAGACCCGTGAATTTAGATCTCCCTGAGTATCTTTGTGAAGTCTGTCGGATGACACTGGCTAGTGTGTCCATCGACTTAATCATCAGGACTTCTCTGGAATCCTTAGTGACTTCCTTGGAGACTTTGTCTATTCCTCCATCAAAGATGGATGGGGAAGACCACGGGGCTGTATATAGTGGAGCTGTAAAGTTCTCACCCCAGCTGCAGGAAGCGAGGAGGCCTTTGACGACGAGCTAAGGTCAGTGCTGCTGAGACAGATGTGAGGTGATCCGTTAGGAATTGCTGGTCCTTCTTTTGCATCAGTAGGGCCGAGTAAATCATTCTATCATCTTCAGAGGTCGTGTTACGAAATCTGGTGATAAGTGTCTCATTGATCGTTCTAGATCTATTTAGATCAAAGAACATACGTCTCGTCATGGTTTCTATCTGAACCAATTTGCGATCATCAATCTTGTAGTTCTTATTCTTGACATCGCTGATCAGCTTGTAGTTCTCATCGATGTCTTGAGCCTTGAAGAAGGGGTCCATGTTATGCGTGGAGAACTTCTTGGCGTGAAAGTTTGGCAGATGTGGTGTCTGAACTTTCGTGGCTTTATGGAATGCTGTGTCTAGATTCTGTGGTACCGCCGCAATCGGGTCGATTGGGGGTAGTGTGACAGCATCTGCATCGTCTTCTTTCATCAGGTATGTCTGCGCCGGATTGCCACTCTTGGAAGGTGATGAGAGATCTAGGTTGTTTACCATCCAATATCTTATCTCTGCATCTGAGAAAATAATTCCTCCATCATCTTCTATTCCAGCATCATTGATGAGAGGTTGGTGCTCTTCTGATGTTGGACTGTGTGGTTCTATCTCTATATCGGGTGACGCTTGTGGAGACCTGGTTGTAGGCTTGTGTGCAGACCTGTGTGGTGATCGACGTGGTGATGTACGCGGAGATTGGCGTGGTGAACGGCGAGGAGATCGTCTTGGTGATCTACGTCTATAGGTTGACCTTCTTGGAGACCTGTGAGGGGAACGTTGATAGCTTCGCGAAGCTCTTGTGTAGTCCCTCGATGTCTTTCTAGATGATGACGATCTGGGTTCAGGCGTCCTTCGCGAATGCCTTCGCGAAGCTTCCTCTGCGTCCGGTCCTGGGGAACGGTGAAATGACCTTCGCGAAGGCTTCCGTGAGGTCTGGTGATCTGAGTCCGTATCTGAGGATGACGCCGAAGAAGGTGATGATCTATCCCGCCTTCGCGAAGGCCTTCGCGAAGGCTGTACATCTGGGTCCTTCGTCGAGGTGGTCTGTGACTTCCTTCGCGAAGGTGGCATCGTCGTGGCTGCTACGTTGACGGGGGGTGCCTCTGGGGTGCTGTCTACGTTGGAGCCTTCGCGAAGGCTCGGACCCTGGGTTGGCTGCTTCTCCAGTCTGTAGTGGCCCTCCATCATGGTCATGATTTGCCTCATTAGATCGTCTGGGATGATCTGCGACGAAGTAGACGGTGCCCTCTCTGCGATGTTAGCGGTGGGGCCCTCAGGGATCTCGTCTGACATCAGTGTAGAGGCATCAGGCTGCATGGTGATCTCTGCTGAAGTCACTGTAGCTGTCACCGGTCGCTTCTTGTGGCGTATGTCGGGGATGATGATCGGCTGGTCATCGTAGAGGCCCAATTCTGCGGCTGGAACGATCTCGGCTGAGAAAGTTCTTGACGACTTCGTAGACTTCCCTTTGGAGGATGACGCTGCCCTGGGGGTACGAAGTCTGCGTTGAGAAGACGTCGAGGCCCTCTTGGACTTTATCTGCGATGACGGGATGTCTGGGGAGGCCGGTCGCTTCTTAGAGGTGACGGACTGCATCCCACGTCCCTCTTCCGATGGGGTCTCTAGCAGAACACCAGACGGGAGGGGTCAATCGACAGCAGCTGACTGGATGGGAATTCCGATGTATCGGCCATGTCTAAACCTTGTTTGCGTGACCTATCTGCAGCACGTCTCAAGACGCAAAGATGGTATTTATTAAAAGCAGAATTAGATAAATTAATGCAGTAACTGCAACGTGAATCAAACGCACAAGGCGTAGAACAACTAGGGCATACTACATGCGGATCAGCAGCGGAAAAACGTAATCTACAAAGAGTACAGATTTTCATCAACGTAACTCTAGCTGAACAATCACGAACTCACGTGAATAAACAGTAGAAATACGATTAATTATCAATACAAATTAATGAAGGATACTAGCTATACCTTTATAGTAAACTATAAGAGGTAACTAACTAAGAAAACCAAAGGATATAGTGTGTAAGGAGACACAGGCGCTCTCACATCCTGCTCACTGGGCGAAGAAGGAGAGAGTGAAGCATGAGGCCAGAGGGTGGCGACACCTGTTCCCGCGTAAAGGGCAAAGGGAGGCAACTCTTGGTGAGTACCAATTAGTGATTTTACATTGAAGGGAGCTTCAATTAAGGAGATACAAGTGTTCCACTATGTTCGCAAGAGGAAGAAGACAAGCAAAAGAGCATGAGTCAGGATAAGGAAAAATATAATACTTACAAACAGCATGCTCACAACACATGCAAATATTGACCTCATCACAGAGAAGTATACACTCAAATTACACTGTAAACATCACTGGGGTTATGTGAGATGAGTGTCCTCACAGCCCAAGTGTGGCATCAACACTGCTCACCTCCTTCCCGTCAACAGCATACTTGGCAAGACAGGACACAAGCTCTTGTACAAGTTGGGAATCCTCAGTATCAGTGCAGTGATCAGAATACACATGACCAATCAGATCCTTGGCATGAGCGGAGCTGCTGGTGCGATGAACCAGCCTCTTGAAGATGTCCGCCGCCATGGCCAAGTCCATCAGATTCCAACTGTGGTGGTTGACAAATGCATGGTTGCCATAGTAACTGTGTTGTAACAACAACGAATGCATGAGGGCTAGTGGCATCGTCCGCCCGAATTTCTCTTCAGCCTGAAAACAAAACCAGTGTAACAATACCAGAGTGTGAATGCTGGAGTTAATGACTGCAATCTAACACTTGAAACTATATCTGCTTGGAACATTGTTGGCACGGGCACTACAAGACAGTTCCTCAGGTGGGGAGTACGAACACAGCCCCAGTCTAAACCTTATCCCTTAAACATCCTCAGGTGGGGAGTACGAACACAGCCCCAGTCTAAACCTTATCCCTTAAACATCCTCAGGTGGGGAGTACGAACACAGCCCCAGTCTAAACCTTATCCCTTAAACATCCCAAAGGTGGGGAGTACGAACACAGTCCCAGTCTAAACCTTATCCCTTAAACATCCTCAGGTGGGGAGTACGAACACAGCCCCAGTCTAAACCTTATCCCTTAAACATCCTCAGGTGGGGAGTACGAACACAGCCCCAGTCTAAACCTTATCCCCTAAACATCCTCAGTGTCACAGCTGTTAGTGATCCATGAAGATCGGGTTAGAATTGATCTTCAGTAACCCATGCTTGTCGTAAGAGGTGACTAAGGGGATCAGGTGGTCAGGCTCGCTGACCTGGTTGACACATACCATCGTATCCCAGTTGTGTAGATAGATGCTCATGCTGTTGATCACTGGATTGTCTGGTCCAGACTCGATTATTTACAGACCACCGCTATATAGCTGGAATATTTATGTGTGCGGCGTAAAACTAAACTCACTCACAGGTATCAACTATATGTTAGAGTAAGACAAATTATGCTTATCAGTGACAGTTTCTCAAAGAAAAGTATTCTGAGGTAAATCCATACTTTTCATTCATTTCTCTCCAAGTGGACTGTAACGCTCAATGAAGAAGACTTTCTTGTAGGGGTATGTATTGCAGATATGGAAGTACCTTTCGTAAGTCTCTGTTCATTGTATATCCATGCATATGACCAATTCAGAGTTCTTTCCCAAGCCTTATAGTTGAATGTCAATACGTGACCCTGTGTTACCCTACATGAGTCAGTCTCCACAGTGTGTGGTATACTCACATCATCTTCGGCTCGGTGCCAGTGCTTCAGAAGGAAGGCAACTGATCGGTAGGACTTCTGGAGACAGCTGCGGAAGTTGGCTGTGGACTCACATGTCACCCTCAGCCCATGCTGGATCAGAACCCCTGCAACAAACACAGACTGTCAACACCACTGAATCTGTGGACAGGACCTTTGTTAAAAACAAGAGAGACAGACAGGTGCTCTCACACACACACGCCGACATAAACACATACAGATTGTCAATCAGGGACAAAACCACTGAATTTGTGGACAAACTGCAGGATCCTTGTTAAAAACAAGAGGTACAGACAGTTGCTCTCTTACACACACGCCGACACAAACACATACAGATTGTCAATCAGGGACAAAACCACTGAATTTGTGGACAAACTGCAGGATCCTTGTTAAAAACAAGAGGTACAGACAGTTGCTCTCTCACACACACGACGACACAAACACATACAGATTGTCAATCAGGGACAAAACCACTGTGGACAAATTTGTGAACAAACTCCTTGTTAAAAACACCAGGTAGACAGACACACATGCCGAGATGGAAAGATGGATGGACAGACAGACAGACATGGCCACTCAGACACAGCGTACTGACTCTCCACTGTGCAGTTCATGCGGTTTGAGCATGCCCCTTTGAGGTATGGAGTATTTAAGAAATTCACTTCGCTCTACCACTATGTATAGTGTAATAAAACACACTTTTGCCCTGAACTATTATAGTTAAAGCACGAGGACTCTTGCGTCCGAGTGCTTTAACGTTATAATAGTTCAGGGCGAAAGTGTGTTTTTTATTACACTATACATGGTGGTAGGGCTAAGTGTATTTCTTTCTAAGATGCCAAATTTAATACTTTCTAAAGATAATTACGATTAATTTAAGGCAGAAAACAAACGACGGTGTCGGTGACCTAAATTAAGAATCTTTGCACAGGGCTAACTGGCGCTGCTGTTCTATTGATGTGTCTGCCCCTACGCTAAGATCTAACGCTACTAGAAAAAACAAATGATAACAGTTTGATGACGGTTTACGCTCGATTAAATATATCTTCTGAATTATTTTAATTACATCTGTCATTAACGTAAACCATATGGGGCAATATGAACGCCGCATTTCTACTACCAGCGTAAGTTTAGATCAGTACATCCAGAGGAAGTTGAGTAGTCAGTTTTACATTCCACAATTGCATTGTGGAATGTAAACATTACTTAACGCTACCGTGTCGCTGAAAACTTGTGAGTCGAAATGACACATTTTAACCATCGTGAAAACATAAACGTAATGTTTTCACCAGTGATGTTAGCTGCGTGAAGCAACAGCAAACCAAGAAACTGGATGCAACGGTGTTGTTTACTGTAGGAGGCCGTACAAGGCGATGACAACTGACATGCATCGTGACGTCGCTTACATTGTGACGTAATGTAAAATGGTTCGATTACGAGGGGGCACACTAGAATGGCGCAGTGACGGGATAACGTCATTCAATTGTTACGTCATCAAAAAACTATACCTTTATTGTCTGATAATGTATCTTTTTTTCGATTGTTCTAACCGCTAGACATCTTAGAATGCGCAATATAAGTACCCTTATTATTATTATTATTATTATTATATTGTCTTATGCCAGGTCAACACCAAGTACCATCTGTTGTACTGAAGATGAGAAGAACGCATCATACATCATCATGTACTTATTCCAGCACAGTTGCTCCATTTCATCAGTAGAAGCTACATGTATCCATATGAATAGCTAGACTTTTAGGAAGCCTTCAAACACAGCATTACCTGGTATGACACGAGGGCCATCTGCCAAAGTCGTGATCCACAAGCGGAATTGTGGGTGGATTTTCTGATCATGTATCTGAGTGGATGGCCTTGACCTTGCTATGAGACTGCGACCTTCATCACTGATGTCAGTGTTCTCTCGCTGTCTGTCCTCAGCAATCCACTTGCTGTAGATGATATCCTGTGTGTATACAAATGCATCTTACTCATCCATCTAAACAAGCAATAATAATAACATTGTCTGCTTATATTGTGTTTAAACTCTATGCACTGCATGCTCAAAGCGCAAACAGGTATCAGGGAAAAGGTGGGTTTTGAGTTTGCGTTTGAAATGTCCACATGAAGAAATAGTTCTGAGTTCAGTGGGGAGAGAGTTCCAAAGATGTGCTGCTGCAAAGAGAAATAATCTGTAGCCAAACATTTTCATTTTCTATGAGGGCACTTGAAGTTGAAGCTGGGTGCTGGACCACAACGACCTTGCAGGGGTATACACACAGCCAAGGTCGTGCAGGTACTGTGGAGCTTCACCATACACACACCAGTGGGTCAATACTAGCACGTTAAACTCAATCTGCTGTTTGACAGGTAGCCAGTGGAGCCACTTTTGGGAGACTAGCATGGGATACTAGGGCCCAGGAGTACATTTGGGAACAAGAGTGGTCCTAAGGGCCAAGTAGCCACTATTGGGAGACTAGCATGGGATAGTAGAGGCCAGGAGTACATTTGGGAACAAGCGAGGTCCTAAGGGCCAAGTAGCCACTATTGGGAGACTAGCATGGGATACTAGGGCCCAGGAGTACATTTGGGAACAAGCGAGGTCCTAAGGGCCAAGTAGCCACTATTGGGAGACTAGCATGGGATAGTAGAGGCCAGGAGTACATTTGGGAACAAGAGTGGTCCTAAGGGCCAAGTAGCCACTATTGGGAGACTAGCATGGGATAGTAGAGGCCAGGAGTACATTTGGGAACAAGAGTGGTCCTAAGGGCCAAGTAGCCACTATTGGGAGACTAGCATGGGATTTGGGAACAAGTTTAGGTCCTAGAGGCCAGGAGTACATTTGGGAACAAGAGGTCCTAAGGGCCAAGTAGCCACTATTGGGAGACTAGCATGGGATACTAGAGCCCAGGAGTACATTTGGGAACAAGAGTGGTCCTAAGGGCCAAGTAGCCACTATTGGGAGACTAGCATGGGATACTAGGGCCCAGGAGTACATTTGGGAACAAGAGTGGTACATTTGGGAACAAGAGTGGTCCTAAGGGCCAAGTAGCCACTATTGGGAGACTAGCATGGGATACTAGAGGCCAGGAGTACATTTGGGAACAAGAGTGGTCCTAAGGGCCAAGTAGCCACTATTGGGAGACTAGCATGGGATACTAGGGCCCAGGAGTACATTTGGGAACAAGAGTGGTCCTAAGGGCCAAGTAGCCACTATTGGGAGACTAGCATGGGATAGTAGAGGCCAGGAGCACATTTGGGAACAAGTAGAGAGGTCCTAAGGGCCAAGTAGCCACTATTGGGAGACTAGCATGGGATACTAGGAGCCCAGGAGTACATTTGGGGAAGCAAGAGGCCAGGAGACATTTCCTAAGGGCCAAGTAGCCACTATTGGGAGACTAGCATGGGATAGTAGAGGCCAGGAGTACATTTGGGAACAAGAGTGGTCCTAAGGGCATTGGGGAGACTAGCATGGGATAGTAGAGGCCAGGAGTACATTTGGGAACAAGAGTGGTCCCTAAAGTAGCCACTATTGGGAGGTCCATGGGAAGTAGAGGCCAGGAGTACATTTGGGAACAAGCGAGGGCTAGCAAGTAGCCACTATTGGGAGACCAGCATGGGATAGATAGAGGCCAGGAGTACATTTGGGAACAAGAGTGGTCCTAAGGGCCAAGTAGCCACTATTGGGAGACTAGCATGGGATATTTGGGAACAAGAGGCCAAGGGCCAAGTACATTTGGGAGAACAAGGATAGTAGGTCCCCATTTGGGAACAAGCGAGGTTGGGCCAAGTAGCCACTATTGGGACTAGCATGGGATAGTAGAGGCCAGGAGTACATTTGGGAACAAGAGTGAGTCCTAAGGGCCAAGTAGCCACTATTGGGAGACTAGCATGGGATAGTAGAGGCCAGGAGTACATTTGGGAACAAGCGAGGGTCCTAAGGGCCAAGTAGCCACTATTGGGAGACTAGCATGGGATACTATTTGGTACATTTGGGAACAAGAGTGGGCAAGTAGCCACTATTGGGAGACTAGCATGGGATAGTAGAGCCAGGAGTACATTTGGGAACAAGAGAGGTCCTAAGGGCCAAGTAGCCACTATTGGGAGACTAGCATGGGATACTAGAGGCCAGGAGTACATTTGGGAACAAGAGAGGTCCTAAGGGCCAAGTAGCCACTCATTGGGAGACTAGCATGGGATAGTAGAGGCCAGGAGTACATTTGGGAACAAGAGAGGTCCTAAGGGCCAAGTAGCCACTATTGGGAGACTAGCATGGGATACTAGAGGCCCAGGAGTACATTTGGGAACAAGACAGCATGGGAGGTCCTAAGGGCCAAGTAGCCACTATTGGGAGACTAGCATGGGATAGTAGAGGCCAGGAGTACATTTGGGAACAAGAGTGGTCCTAAGGGCCAAGTAGCCACTATTGGGAGACTAGCATGGGATAGTAGAGGCCAGGAGTACATTTGGGAACAAGAAGGTGGTCCCTTGGGAGTACACTATTGGGAGACTAGCATGGTCCTAAGGGCCAAGTATTTGGGCCAGGTCCTATTGGGCAAGTACTAGCTATTGGGAGATATGTAGAGGCCAGGAGTACATTTGGGAACAAGAGAGGTCCTAAGGGCCAAGTAGCCACTATTGGGAGACTAGCATGGGATAGTAGAGGCCAGGAGTACATTTGGGAACAAGAGAGGTCCTAAGGGCCAAGTAGCCACTATTGGGAGACTAGCATGGGATAGTAGAGGCCAGGAGTACATTTGGGAACAAGAGTGGTCCTAAGGGCCAAGTAGCCACTATTGGGAGACTAGCATGGGATAGTAGAGGCCAGGAGTACATTTGGGAACAAGAGTGGTCCTAAGGGCCAAGTAGCCACTATTGGGAGACTAGCATGGGATAGTAGAGGCCAGGAGTACATTTGGGAACAAGAGTGGTCCTAAGGGCCAAGTAGCCACTATTGGGAGACTAGCATGGGATAGTAGAGGCCAGGAGTACATTTGGGAACAAGCGAGGTCCTAAGGGCCAAGTAGCCACTATTGGGAGACTAGCATGGGATACTAGGGCCCAGGAGTACATTTGGGAACAAGCGAGGTCCTAAGGGCCAAGTAGCCACTATTGGGAGACTAGCATGGGATAGTAGAGGCCAGGAGTACATTTGGGAACAAGAGAGGTCCTAAGGGCCAAGTAGCCACTATTGGGAGACTAGCATGGGATAGTAGAGGCCAGGAGTACATTTGGGAACAAGAGTAGAGGCCAGGGTCCTAAGGGCCAAGTAGCCACTATTGGGAGACTAGCATGGGATACTAGGGCCCAGGAGTACATTTGGGAACAAGAGTGGTCCTAAGGGCCAAGTAGCCACTATTGGGAGACTAGCATGGGATAGTAGAGGCCAGGAGTACATTTGGGAACAAGAGGTCCTAAGGGCCAAGTAGCCACTATTGGGAGACTAGCATGGGATACTAGGGCCCAGGAGTACATTTGGGAACAAGAGAGGTCCTAAGGGCCAAGTAGCCACTATTGGGAGACTAGCATGGGATAGTAGAGGCCAGGAGTACATTTGGGAACAAGAGTGGTCCTAAGGGCCAAGTAGCCACTATTGGGAGACTAGCATGGGATACTAGAGGCCCAGGAGTACATTTGGGAACAAGCGAGGTCCTAAGGGCCAAGTAGCCACTATTGGGAGACTAGCATGGGATAGTAGAGGCCAGGAGTACATTTGGGAACAAGAGTGGTCCTAAGGGCCAAGTAGCCACTATTGGGAGACTAGCATGGGATAGTAGAGGCCAGGAGTACATTTGGGAACAAGAGTGGTCCTAAGGGCCAAGTAGCCACTATTGGGAGACTAGCATGGGATAGTAGAGGCCAGGAGTACATTTGGGAACAAGAGTGGTCCTAAGGGCCAAGTAGCCACTATTGGGAGACTAGACTGCCGGACAACCTTACCTTGAGGAGAGAGAAGAAGTGTGTGTCAGGGTCGCCAGCCAGGTGGTAGTTCTGTAGCAGGAGCCAGTAACCAGATTGTAGACAGTCTTCAATGGCATGCTTCACTTCTGAGATCTGGGACTCTACACCAAAGTTCATGACCCGCACCTTGCCTTCCATCCCAACCTCCCTTGCCAGACGCTTGACTTCATGAGCTGGACTGACGTATGGGTAACCTGTGTACATCATGGAACATCTAGTGGGTCAACATGTGTGATGTCATAATACATGACATACTTCACTATGAATAATCTTTTGTCAGTTCAATTTATCATCTACACAACAGAAGTCCTATTCTGTTGATCAGGACTGTGTGTTAAGACTTCTATAGACATCCATGTATAAGCAGGTGTCAGTTTGTATGTGGACTCCCCATCACTGATGAAGCTTGTACTCACCTCCTGTGCCCTCCCACTCAGGGGATGTGGGTTTTGTGGGGAGGAGGAAGACAGTGGGGGTGAACTGGTTGGTGAGGTTGTACACGTCACGGATGTTGTAGTGGTCAACAGACCCCACCACGCTGCCCAGCTCGTACGTGACGACAGCTCGCGACAACTCTGCCATCTGGGAGAGAACACAGCTTGTGAATCATGCAGAACATACAACCATAACACTGGAATATCACAACAATTGGTCTTCAGCAACCAATGCTTCTCATAAGAATGGGATTGGGTGGTCAGGCTCACTGACTTGGTTGACACATGTCATCCCCATTGCATAGATCGATGCTCATGTTGTCAATCACTGGATTGTCTGGTCCAGAAACACTTATTTACAGACCGCCACCATATAGATGAAATATTGCTGAGTGAGGCATTACACAACAAACAAACAAGTAAGGTACTCTGAATTGTTCTGTCTGCCTACTGTCCAGCATGGATAAAGAAAATATTCAGAAACAAATAAACATTCACCATGTCTGAGAGAGTAAGTTAGAATTGAATGGTTCACAGCCATACAGAAACACCCCATCTTAGTGTTAGTTTTTAGTGAGTGAGTGAGTGAGTGAGTGGGTGGGGGTGAGTGAGTGAGTGAGTGAGAGGAGTGAGTGAGGAGGAGTGAGGAGGAGTGAGTGAGTGAGTGAGTGAGGAGGAGGAGTGAGTGAGTGAGTGAGTGAGTGAGTGAGGTGAGGAGTGAGTGAGTGAGTGAGTGAGTGAGTGAGTGAGTGAGTGAGTGAGTGAGTGAGTGAGTGAGTGAGTGAGTGAGTGAGTGAGTGAGTGAGTGAGTGAGTGAGTGAGTGAGTGAGTGAGTGAGTGAGTGAGTGAGTGAGTGAAGTTTTACTCCGCTTTTAGCAATATTCCCGCAATATCAGGGCGGGGGACACCAGGAATGGGCTTCACACATTGTGCCCATGTGGGCAATCGAACCCGGGTCTTCAGTGTGACGGGCTTAACCACTAGACTACCCCACCGCCCCTGTTAGTTTTTAAGTAGATCATGTCACATTGAAATATTTCATGACAAGTGTGAGTAAGTTTTATGTAATTGTTTGTTCAAGAATGGACCCAGGTGTAGAACTGAACCTGAGTGTTAGATGTGATGAATGAATAATTCAACCCCTTTGCTAAGATACATCTCTGAAATACAAGAGTGCATGAATAATTCAACCCCTTTGCTAAGATACATCTCTGAAATACAAGAGTGCCCTGTGTACAGTCTCACCCTGTGGGGACAACAGAACTTCCACAGCAGACACTTCTGGAAGAGGGAGAGCTCCTGTAGTGTCCGTCCAGGCACGGGGTTCACCAGGGAGATCGGAAGCTGCAAATCACAGAATGTTGGTGTAAGTTTATATTAAGGTTCATCTCACCAACTGCTCTCACCAACTGCTCTCACCAACTGCTCTCACCAACTGCTCTCACCAACAGTGAAAGAAAGAATTTGTTCAATTTCTTCAGTTGAGATCGTCAGTCAATCTACAGGAACGCTTCACATTATAAAACAAATTGTAGAAATTGTGAGGATCGGTGACCTCAGAACGCTTCTTTGGCCGAACAAATAATTGTGCCCAAGAGACTGCTGTTACTTTGGCATTTATAGGCTGCACTTGGTGAACCGATTCGGTGGGGACTAAGAGAATTCTGCAAGGGCACTTCATATAGTCACCTTAATCATCAAAATTCCGTAAATTGAAACAGTAGTCCGCCAGCCATTTGCAAACGCTACACACGATGGAAAGTGACAAAAATAATGGACAACCTGGTCTTTGGTTAACTGGCGAAGCTCCAACTCCATAAATTCCGGCTGAGCTATGCTGGCTATTTGACAAAACAGTGTTGCAATTACGCGCAAGAACTTCATCCATTTGTGATCTGTCCAGAAACTTGCTTAACATGTAAAAACAAAGGGAGCTGAAGATGACGAAGTCAAGTTTGCAACACCACGTGCACTGGCGGGATAATAAACACGTTACTTAGTAGTCTGTAGTAATAAGACCTCATCGAGCTGCCGTCAGATATTCTGGCCCGCAATCGAGCTATGCCATATCGGTGGTTGCAGAACTGATATCTTACATCGGCGGTAGAATCGCTGAACCTAAATCCATCTTCATCAAAAGTGAAGATCGGATGGTAGAGATTAAATTCTGAATGAGATGAGTTCGCCACGGAGGACTCTTTGAGAACTGGGATCGCCAGGCCAGCCAGCCTGCCGAAATGCGGATATCTCTAGATGACTGGCGCTTACTAACAAACACATGTAAATCCAAATCGCATGGTGAAGCACATAGCTACTACCTTCTGTACATTGATCTTGAAACGCCAGGTGAATCTGGTCGACGGACGGAGCTTTCGACCTGGTGAAACCCAGCCGGCTGGTAAAACTCAGTTCAGGGTGGTTGAGCCGAAAGTTGACGCGGATCTGAATCAGTCCGATGTGATCTGAATCGCGGATCGATCTGGATCGGTTCGGTAATCAGTGAGGCGAGGGGAAATGTTCCGGCCGAGGTGAATCAAGCTTCGCTGCTGTGGGAATTGAATCGATGATGCGAAACCGTTTCGCCGCATAAGAAACAGTCTTAATATTATGGCAAACTGAGTCAACGTCGATTCACATACGGGCGCGGGCTTAAACGGGTTCGGTCTGGTGAATCCATTCTAACGATAAACCGATTCGTATTAATCGTCTGGCCCTGCGAATCTATTTGGAAGGCCAACCGGATTCGGGCGTGGTGAACCGGTTTGGCAATTTGATGTACGGGATGGCCCAAAACCATTCGCTGCGCTACCATTCGTAACCGCATAACCATTGGGTGTGGTGAATCCATTCGTATGGCTAAACGGTCGGTTGCGGAATCCATTCGTATATGGCGATTTGACGAAGTAGATCGGATGTGCGAGTCAATCTGGCAACACAGCTGCTTTGATGAGGCGGGTTCCGCCAGAAGACATCTAATGGATGTTTCCATAAAAATCACCGCCTCGATACGAAACCGGGCGGATCTACTTGAAACAGTTAATACCGGTCGCTAAAAACGGGGTTTGTCGGGTGATCAACTGAAGGTGTAACGGTGCTCTGTCTGCCAGCTTCATCGAGCAAGTATGTTCATTATGCTCTAAAACGCCCTTAATATGAGTTACCATCTCCGGCCAACGCTGGCTCCAGGAACATGACGATTGGGGATCCGAGGAAGTAAATATTGTTACAGTGCGCGCAAAATTACGCTTTACCGAGCCTAGACTGACAAGACGGGATATTCTGATCCAGTGAATGAGACCTAATTTGCGAATCACTCTGATCTAAAACACACCTACGCCAGGGTGAACCTTGATCGAATGGCTAACCCACACCGGAATTGCGGGCTTGGTGACTGAATCGATGGAATCAAAAACGCTGATGGTGCGGTCGAACTGAAACCCATATGTTGAGGTGAACTGGGAGTCGAATGTGAACCCTCATCGGGCCTGGTGGAATAACCCCTCTCTATGCATTTGAATCAGTCTCGGTCAGGTGAACCCGCATTTGATTACTTGAATCAGTTCGGTCAGGTGAACCCTATCTTGAGCCGTGGCTCGGCCGCGTGGAGCCGGGTTCGGCTGTGTGAATCAAAACGCTGTGGGGAGTCAACCTGAAACACCTGTTGAGGTGAATCTGGAGTCGGGAACGCAGCTTCGTTCGGCCCTGGTGAACCTATTTGAGCACGCGGAACAGCATGGCAGCCAGAGGGAACCCATTCTAATGACCACGCGGAATCGCCCCACCAACTGAACTCATCTGAGGATGTTCTAGAGTCACTGGCCGTGGTGAGCAGGCTCGGCGATGTGTGAGTCGGTTCGGCAGGGTGAGCCGGTTCGGTGAGGTGATTTGTTCGCTATGTGAGTCGGCTCGGCTGTGTGAGCTCGCCTCCGCTGATGTGAGTCGGTTCGGCAGGTCACGGGTGAGCCGGGCTCGGGAAAGTGCAGGCCATGGAACGGATGATGTAGAGACTCCAGGACATTACAGTCCACCCAGCTCTGAAACAGTCAGTCATAAAGCTGGTATAACACCAGTACTCTAACACCTTGGTTGTCAAAATTTGGCTAATGAATACTTTCTTTTCACATGCTCCAGAACTTGTAGAATATGCACAGTAAAATTAAAAAGAAAACCACACCGTTTATAAATACATAATCTATTTTTTTTTTAAATCCCACATAAGTTTCACATGACTTATATAAAGAGTATGAAATTTTGAAAGTCAGATAAGTCACATGACTTACTTGTTCGAAAGTGTAATAATTTTTTTTATCATCCATGTTATTCATGTACATTTGTGCAGTAAAAGACGGTTCGCTCAATTGTTTAATGACGAGTGTGAAATTTTGAACGAAGTTTCGTATAAGTCATATGACACACTTGTTCGAGTGTAATAATTATTTTTTTTATCATCCATGTTATTCATGTACATTTGTGCAGTAAAAGACGGTTAGCAAGTGTGACGTCCCTCTTCAATGACGTAACGTTCAATTGTTTAATGACGTCACAGACAATGAAATACAGAAACAATGGTTGCTAGGCAAAAGTGATATGTGCAGATGATATGATATATATGACACTGGTTATTCTTCACCATATGGGTAATAAAAAGTAGTTTCTGTATTGCCATTAGTGCCGAACCTTGTCAGCAATCCAAGCTGGCTTCTGAGCAGCCAGACTGCGTTCGTCCAGACCAAACTTCTCAAAGCCGTTGATGAAGAGACTGATCTCCTTGCTGGAGGCTTTCCGTGCCCTCAACATCCTCTCCAGTGACACCAGGAGACATAACAGGTTGTAGTGCTGCTCGAACATCATCATGGACGCGTGGCGGAATATCTCAGACATCGTCGCATTGGATAACTCCTGGGCTCGAACTCGTGGATCACCTGAAACAAGAGGTGATATACTTCTGAAAATATCTCATCACATGTTCACAAGGGCATCTTAGCCCTTTGACTTTGTAACGTCCATATCCTAGCACAGATTTATAGAGTTATTGCACAACGGTAGACTTATGAATCCTGAGTTTTATTTTAATACAGGAACAAATCTGAAATGTGGACTGGACATCTAGAGGGCTTATAGTATATATTTCATTCTGATTTTCCTCTAAAATCAAAAAGTGAAACTAATAGAAGAGTTTGTAGTCTTGTACACTGTTATTATTTTCAAAAAACGCAAGCATCAGCAGACATAACCATGAAATATACTCAGGGAAACAAATAAGGGAACAGCACTTGACCTCAGTGTTCCTCTATTTATTCTCAACAGTGCACCCACAGTGTGATACAAAGCTTGAGAAGAAACTTGGAACAGAATAAAGGAACACTTGTGCTTTCAAGTGTTCACTTATTTGTTTCAGTATATGTCCTTCAGCTTCCTGCACCCCGGTGATGGCAGACAAGGCACATACCATACCGTGACTTCCCTTGCCGCGGTCCCTGCTCCGGACCATGGAGGAGAAGATGTCCACAAACTTGTAGAAGGGGATGTAGTAGCAGGAGTGGAGGACGCTCATCTTCTGCAGGGTGTTGTAGATCATGGCCGACTGACGCATCATAGGGATGTACTCAGCAAACTTGCCCTCCAGGTGGTCCCCCATGTAGCGGGTTTCTTCCAGGATTATCCTGTTCTTCTCCACGTTACTCTGGCAGGCTAGGAGGGAGTCCAGCATTGTCTTGTCTTCCAACAGGGGGCCATCTAGGTTCAATGTCTTCTCTCGAATAGCTTCCTGTCAGGGTGATAGTTGCTTTTGTGAAATGCAGCCTAGTTGGTTGGTTTTCTTGTTGTTTAACACCACACTCAGCAATATTCCAGCTATATGGTGGCAGTCAGTAATTATTCAAATCTGAAGGCCGATCCTGGGTTCAACATCATGAGCATCAATCTACGCAATTGGGATACGATGACATGTGTCAACCAAGTCAATGAGCCTCACCATCCGTGATACCACCAAAATACCTCACCACCAAAATACAGCTTGGTAGAGACAGGAGAAATGACATAAGGCTGTTAACTGATATGTTGTCAGCCATTTTGACACAATTTTAAGGTCAGAGAACATTTACTATTTAAAAAATTGTACCCATGTGAATCAAACAGAGTTTGTGAAGAGTAAATAAACGTAACACAATGCTACCCTGAGTCAGTATTCTGTGTGTTAAAATGTCAAAAACTTGTCAACAAAACATGTATAAATGTAGGTATTTAGGAGATAAACATCATGTGCTGGCGAATTTCCGGGTGTTATTTGAAGCCGGAGGTTTCAAATGAAATATTCCCGTGCTTCAAATACTCAATAACACCCAGAAAGTCGCCAACACATGATGTTTATCGACATTGTAAACACAAAAGTAAACCGAAAGGTCCACACACGTTTTTTGTGTCTGCTCTCATTGACATCGAGTACGGGTACAGCAGTGAAATGTCATCAGCCGGCCGTTTCTGCTGTCTCCCATGGTAGCATCTAGAACTGCTCATTTGTGACGTCATTCGGACTTTACGTCACAATATGATTTTAATGACGTCATCACAGCTGACACGTAACAATACAATGGTGTGAGCGATGTTTGTATGTATTAATACGCAGAAAATTTCCGGGAATCAAATACCATTTGATCACGTTTTTCAACCAATCAGATTAAAGAACACAGTGACTTCTGGTTTACAATTCTCAAGACAATGATCCCCATGAAACTCACATGTTCCTTTGCCAATTGCTGTCTGTGCAGAATGATGTCGTTCTCATTGGAGCGCTTCTGGCCTTCATACTCCTTGCGTTCTATCTTCATGGTCTCGAACAAGAGACGATTAATGATGGCTTCATCACTGACGGCCATGTTGATGCAGCACAGACGATGGACTGGGAAGCTGTGGAGGCCGTCCCCTTCAACACAATGAAATGTTTACAGCATTATTTCAAACCATAAATAGTTGTGTCTTCCCATGCTTTATTTAACAGTAACATATCTGCCATAACATGCATAGAAACATTTGTCACACATTTAAATTTAAGGACAAAATTTGGTATACAAATTTCATTCTTAGAATTAGTATTAAAAGAGTATATGGAATTACAGAATTAAGGAATTATAGTAACATAGAATATCTTTCCAAGTGGATTACTGAAGTAATTTTTTTTATAATTGGTGAGGCATTTTCGACATTCACGTGGGACAGATATTCATAGTTCCATGTTACAAGTGAAACCATTGCCTCATGTTTGAACAAGGTCACAAATTAACGATGCAAAAGGATGACACCATAGTTAATTATGACATGGGCCTCCTCACAAACAATGGAACAATGAACAGTGCAACCAACAGAACAAGTGAGAAAAAGAATTAGTATGATATTGAACTATAAGTGTTCAGTATTACCAAATCGTTCAAACAACAAATAGAAATACAGTCTTGTTATCAGGGCTAATACATCTGAGGTTTCAAACCACAGTACAAGGCTTCTTGGAGGTCTATGAAATGCAACTCATCAAAGCAAATTGCTGCACCTTAGTCAACCAGGACACGATCTGGAATGATCAACATACCTTTCAGGAAGAGAGGAACAGTTGTACTGAGATACAGACAGAAGTCTGGATGGTAGTTGAAGATCATGTCGCCCACCCGGACCACCTTGTTGCCATCCTTGTCCACGTAGAAGTGTTTGAGCAGCAGTCCGCGGAACAGAGGGTCAAGCGGCTTCCTCTCCAGGTGCGTCACTAACACGGTCACACCTGTGGAACATGGGCAGATACGACAGTGTGGTGTAATACTAACTCAATGTACAGTAGTAGGACATTAAACATAGACACCAAGTAAACCTGCTGGGACTGTCAATAGTTCAAGCCTGGTGACGCTTCAAAGCAGTGCAGACACTGATACAGAGATTTTTTGTTTAGCTTGATTACAATGTAGGAGCTACATTGAAATGTCACTCCATGCCACAAACAAGAAGTCATTGTCCCTAAAGTCAAATAATTCATGTCTGAAACAACAACAGAGCCATATCCTGTGGTGGTATTTCCCTGCTGTCTGATACACAAAGCCTCATCAACATCATTCCCATCATAGATGTGAACACAATGGCATTCGCTGTAACACAGAGGTATATTTTGGGGCCATAGCAGATCAATTATTCAAGGTCGATTAAACTTTTTCTTTCCATGCTGACTTTAATTTCAATTAAAGAAATTAATAGTGGATCTTTTTTCCACCTCCTGCCTACTGGCACAGTGAAACAGAAATTCAGTGAAACCATCAAAGATATAGATAATACTACAACAGCCGGTTCAATTAAATTCCGTACTCACCATGAACTATAGCGTTGATGAGTCGACTGTTAAGGTGAGGGTCATCCGCCTCAATGATCCACAGATTGTGTTCAGGATGGTCGATGGAGTTGTCTGCCTGTAGACTGAATGTCTCCCAGCTGTTGGTTACCGAGGTGACTGGGCGGAGTTCCTCGCTGTCCCCCCAGTCCCATGTGACTGCCATCCCGCGCTGCCAACAACATTGGTCAGTCAGTAATTCCAGTTCTACCCTTCGCAGATGGACTGATCCACATACGGCAGTCAAATGTGTATGAGTGATTCAGCCAATCAGAGCAATGTGTTTCACGTACAACCTTCACGAAGGGTGAGGTGAAATTGGGTTTAACGTCGTGCTTGAGAATATTTCACTCATATGACAATGTGCATGCATGTGTATGTGTATGTGTATGTGCGGCTGCTTGTACTAACCCAGACTGAAGCTGGTTTTATAGTGCTAGCCCACAGAGATACCATGCCGCAGTGAAGCATGAATACCCCACTCAGACACATTATACTGACTCCGAGCCGACCAGTCCTTGTTGTACCCATTAATGCCGGGCGCCAGGCAGGGACCAACAAGTACCATATTTTAACTTCTTTTGGTATGACGCGGTCGGGGATCGAACCCGCGACCTTCTGCTCTCCGGGTGGACGCTCTAACCACTACACCACGGAGGCGGTCCCTTCACGAAGGGATGTAGAATATGTATTTGTGTGTGATAACAATGTTGATCCATATCTGACTAAATAACATGAAGTGAGCATACCTGTTCTGAGTTCTGGCTGTGTAAACAGTAGACGAATCAGGAATTGTGAACTCAGTGACATCTGAGAAGGTCAAGGCTGTGCCACGACTTGGTGGTGGCTCCATCTCTCCACTGGATTCTGCGGAAGTGTCAGCAGCCGACTCAAATGCTGCTTCTATCGGCATACCTGTCACAGACAAGTGGGGCAGGGTCAACACAATCAAACTCCCCATGAGGATTACCATTGCACCAATCAGGCATCCTCAATGATGAACAGCATGGCTGACTGAAATTATTCATAGAACCAAACAGACACTGCAGCAAGACTGTTCATAGTGTAACAAAATCACATATGTATCCTAGAAGGAAAAAATAATACATCTGTGATATTGCAATATGCACAACTTCACAAGTGTTAAAAAATCGATGCCATACAATTAAAGAACCCTGGATCCGCCTCTGTATTTGCCTTGAGAAACATCTGTATCATATGTAGTTTTAAATGCAATTGTCATTCAATATTAAAATTCCTAAGTTATTTGACAGGGTGATATGAAAGGCAACTGACCATCCATATAGTTGTCTCCCTCTACGGAGTCCGCCTCCCCGAACAGCATCCTGGTCCTCTGCAGCACCTTGACCCACATCTCGGCCTGGTTGTCCGGATCCACCAGCAGCGGCCAGCAGTGCTTCCGCTTGTAGCAGCTCACCCTCATGAGCAGAGCATTCTGTACGCTGTGCAGGTCTGTCGGCAGGTTTGTCATTCGCCATCCACTCAACTCGTCAAAGTCGCTGAGGATGTCTTGTAGCGTGTAGCTGGACCTGGTCAACAGGGGGCTCTGTTCCTCCTCGTCATCAGAGTCATCAAACTCAATGTTGGGAACCACAGACTCCATTGTGTCCTGTTTCTTGAGTTCTGACTTGTAGTATTTGCTGCTGTCATACACGGCAGGCATATACTTGAATGTCCGCACCTGTGGTGTTGTGGTGAAGGTGGCAGCGATGTCACTGCTGACGCTGTCGGAGTCGGAGAAGTCACTGAGACTGCTGACGTGGCGGATGTTGTGACTTGACTGGAGAAGGAACTCCAAACGTGCTGTGACAGAGTAGGGATCGCGATCGTGGAAGGAGGTGGCGTCAAACGTTCCCTGACGACACCGACTCAGCCAGTCCTCCAACAGTTCAGAGCGGTACTTGTCATCCAGGGGGCCATGGTAGCACACACAGGCGGCAGTAATCAGAGCGTCCCCTGGAGCAGAGCGGACATGTCGCTTTGCCTTCTTCAGCTCAGAACGCCACAGGAAGTGCTGCATAGACATGTTTTCCATCAGGTTGCTGGCCCGAGCTATTTTCTTCTCTATACCCTGGAGAGGAAATAGTCAGCATTGATAAGTGTGTCCTAGGCTGGACGATGGCAAATAATCATGTCAAATACTCAACAGTAAAGTATAGCAATGTACTATGAACATTAAACATTTGTCCTGCCTGTCAACATGAAGATCGGGTTAGAATTGATCTTCAGTAACCCATGCTTGTCATAAGAGGTGACTAATGGGATCGGGTGGTCAGGCTCGCTGACTGGGTTGACACATGTCATTGTATCCCAATTGTGTAGATCAATGTTCATGCCGTTGATCCCTGGATTGTCTGGTCCAGACTCCATTATTTACAGACCGACGCCATATAGCTGGAATATTGCTGAGTGTGGTGTTAAACTAAACTCACTCACTCACTCACTCATGAAAACCTATTTCTACATTGAAAGTCCTCCATGACCAATGTCTAAGTGGAGTTGAAGTTGTTGCCACTGGAGAACCCACCATGATGTGTTTCTCAATGGTCTTGGCCTTCTTGAGGGCAGCTCTGTGGAGTGTGATCTTCCCCTCCAACCCTGACTTGATTCTGTTGGCCTCCACACGCAGATGGCCCAGTCGAGCTTGGGCCTGAAACAGCACATATATGAATTGATCCTCTTATTTCATGGAGTATCTTTTCAAGGACAGAATATGATTCAGCAATATTTAATCCCTCTTTGTTCTATTCAACACTGACTTACTTACTGTTGCATAGGCGGATCCAGAGGGGATCCACCCCCCACCCTTTCTAAAAAATCTGTATCCACCCCTGTGTTGTGTTGTTGTGCTGTCCCGGATGTGTCCCCTCGCTCACGTTCTTGTAACCATTGTGATTATGAAGAATGTGTGACCCAGACAACACTCACTGAGCGACATTCCTGTATCTCATATAAAAACAAACTAAACGGGTGGCAGGAACCACTGTTAATTTTCATGTGGCCATGAAAATATATTTGACTGGTAAGATATTGGATGTTGATAAGAAACCACTGAGTTTAAAAAACTCAAAATCTATATCTGAGGCATATACAAATATGTTTCAAACTTGAACACTCACACATTTGTGAACATTGACACCAGACTAACCTTTGTAAAGCGCTCTTCTGCAACATGGAGGTTGTGGAGATGCGGCTGCATGCTGCGATGGATGGCCGAGTACCGATACACAGCATGCACCCACAAGCAAATGGATTCACCAGCTTTGCTAACTTTGATCACATTCGATGGCACAAACAACGGGTGCTCGATGAAGAAGCGCAGGTCTTTGAAAATGTCATCTGGGACATGGTCCTTGTCATAAAAGATGAGCTCCTGCAGGAAGTTGTCCCGGATCAGCAGCAGCTTGCCCTCCTCCCAGCTGCAACAGGCAGGTCTGTGTATCAAACCCTCACACAGGGAGAAATGTGGCTATACAATGCACATAGCAATAGTTCAGCCATTCTTCGGGTTGAAATAATATCATTATCAAGTATTGGGAAGACAGCCAGTTCTTTGATGAGAACCTTTTAATCTACCTGACTGTCCTAAACATTACTGACTGACTGAGTTTGGTTTTACACCGCTTTTGCAATATTCCAGCAACATCACGGCAGGGTCCTAAACATTAAGACTTGAGGAACCAAATTTCCGTTATTGTCTTACGGGTGTTCCTTGGCAATAGGCAAATTAATATGAAAGTGTCAAGGCTTATTTCCCTGAAAAGAGTTTTCACTAAATTTATAAATTTCTACAAAACTGGTTGGATCCTAAATCAAACAAGACATGAACTGGTCTGAACAGTCTAAAGGTCTGAATGCCATCAGAACAAACTTGTCAGCATGTTTTCCTTTCAGTGATTACCAAATTGCAACTGGAAGGAAAATGAAAACACAGTATGTCTGATATGGCTGTATGAAAACCAGCAGGCAAAGTTACTCACTCTTGTTTTTTCCTGAAGAGCAGGCAGAGGGCATTGATGACAAACTTGATGACTTCAGGTGGTTCCCGATAACTCTTGAGTTCATCAATGTCGTTTTTGCTGAGGGCACACAGGGCTGCTTGGGCTGCCTGGTAACTGGGGTTCACCTACAGCAAACAGATCAGCAGACATCAGTAAATACATCACCACAGAGCAAACCTCGAGTACTTCAACATGTCAGAAGCAAACAAATGTGTAATGCCTCAAAGAAAATTGACTACATTAAAACATGACAGATTATTTTGATACCAGTTAAATAAGTTTTTCTGCAACCTTTTTAAAATTTGACTTTACAAAAGGCATGGAAATGGCCCTCCTTCTCCAAGTTCCTCAGTTGTCCTTCAGAGTGAAATGGAACTGACCTTGTCGAACTCTGTCTGGGCGGATCTCCTCATGGTCTCCAGCGGACCCTGCAGCGACATGATCTCCTCCTCCTGCTCCTTGCACTTGTCCAGGGACTGCAACAATGTCAAGGTCAGAAAGTCAACGAGCGAACACATTGTGTTAGAGATTGTAAAGTTACAACTGACATTGACTCATTGCAGCCATAACATCTCAGATCGCATGTACTGTATATTCGGTAATAGAAGTCATAGAATTTATGAGAATATGTTTGTACTCCCTGTCCAACCAATCTTTATGTACTCTCCACCCACCTGCATGTACCCTCAAACCACCTGCATGTACCGTTCACACACCTGCATGTACTCTCATCCAGTATCAACCCTTCACCACCCTCCACACACCTGTATGTACTCGCCACATGCCTGTATGTACCCCCGCCGCCATATAGCTGGAATATTGTGGAGTGTGGCCTAAAACTAAACTCACTCACTCACTGTATGTACCCTCCACACACCTGTATGTATTCCTCCTTCTGCTGTTCCACCTGCTCCACCAACTGCCGGATGGTCTCCATGGACAACTTGTGTTGTGGTGTGAGGTCTGAGACCTCCCGCTTGTACTCTGCGATGCTGCCGAATGCCTCATCTATCTTCCCCAGAGCCTTCTCATATTTCACAATATTCACCTGAAACACACCACTTGGTTGAGGGCAATATCTCAACATCACATAAATATCTGAATATTCAAACAACAAAAGGCCTGATAGTCATCATCTAAGGACAAATGTCTACTCTTGTTCTCGGTATTCTTATCTCTCTGGGTAGCTTCACTCTGGGTGTTCATTTTGTTTACCAGTTGCTCAAAACAGCATCACAAGGGCGGATTTCTGTAGTGTGTAGAACAGGCAGAATATTGTTTAGATATCGCTTTTCTTTTTGAAGGGGTTAAACAATTTAGGGGGACATCAAGTGAATAATTGATTGTTTGATGTAAAATCCTGAAGCTTAATAACTCATTTAAACTCTAAACCTATCCATACATCCAATATCAAATGGTTGGTGCCTCAGAAAATTTACATCCAGGCAATGAAAAATGAAAATGTACAATCAAAACACGAGTCTAGACAAACATGATGTACAAAAAGGCTTACCCGCTCTCGTTTGACAACATAAGCTGCAACAACCTTGAAGAGATGAACAAACTCCATGAAGGTGAGCGGCGTGTAGAACCTGAGTGGCTCCCTCTGGTGACAGAAGTGTCTTTCCACTGCTGACTTGGCAGAGAGGTGGATGTAGGCCATAGCGTTACTGGCCATTGTAATCTGTTCCTCTCGTCGGGCTGGGTTCCAGGGGATGACGATCTGAAGGGAGATATGTTCTTACACTGCCATTTACTTTATCATAGTGTTTTCTTCTTCAAAAAAGTCATGGCTTATTTGTTTTCATTTGTTCAGTTTCTTCATTCATCATGAGTTCAAAGGATTGAAAATCTTAATAATGGTTATTTGTAACTTCCTACCATCAGGCACAAAGAACAGCAAGAGGGAAGAGTTGGGAAACCACACTGAACAAACTTAACACAGACCTATGACACTCAGTTACATCATTTCTACATAGCTAATCTTTATATTGTAGACTGTCAAGGTCAATGACTATCACAAAGACAAAGACTACAAGATCAATGAGTACTAGAAGGTCAATGAATATCACAGGGTCACTGACTAACACAAAGTCAATGACAGACAAGGTCAATGACTAACACAAGGTCACTGACTATCTCAAGGTCAGTGACTAAGACAAGGTCAGTGAGTATCAGAAGGTCAATGACAGACAAGGTCAAAGAGAGTCAAGGTCAATGACAGACAAGGTCACTGATTAAGACAAGGTCAGTGACTTAGCCAAAGAGTTACCTTTGACTTCTCATCCTCCAGCCAAGAGCGGGCGACGGTGGAGAAGGCTTGGTAGGACCAGGGGAGGAAGAGGTCGATACTGACACAATGCTTCAGGAGCCCTGGGTATGTGTTCACCTTCTCATGTAGGGAGTGGAAGTCAGTGGAGTAGCTGTTCCCTGGAGGAAAGGACGAGATCATATCAAAGCATCATCTTGGATATTAATCCTGTTAAGGACAGTGGATGATTTTAATGGGGGGGTCACCCATTTTGTCCTGGGGAGGTAGAGGGGGTCAGCAATTTTGTACATGAAAAGATTAAATATTTGACTTTGTACATGACATGCAGGGCGGATCACTTACTTTGTACATAAATTTTAGGGGGTTTTCATTCACAATGTACACGCTTCTCCATAAAAATCATCATTACCCTTGTAGTTGAGACAGACAATGATGTGTAGATTTTGTTTGATCCTCTTGATGTAGCGATCAAAAGCCTGCTCAATCTTGTCCACCCTCTTGGTCTGGACACCCCCCTGGCATCATCTGACTGACTATCTTCTGAACCTCAGCTTCTGAGTACAGTCCAGGAGATGTTCCTGGAACACACGCTTCAGTCAGTCAGGCTGGTATAACAGCTATAACATTAGGCAATCAGGCAATCAGGCAATCAGGCAATCAGGCACATTAAAGACTTTGTTGGATATAGAGCAAAAATACCTTGCCATCACAAAGTATTATGAAAAGTACCCAAAGCCCCTTCGCTAACATACCTTCATATAGAAAGTGACATCAGTTTCTTACAAAACAATCAACTACACAGCTATTCTAGGGTTACATGTCGTTTTTATCAGACTCAAAACAGTCTACAGGTAGCAAAAGCACTGTAAGTCCCCATGGTCCCTACTGTGGTGATCTACCTCAGCTGTTGGTGACCCAAGAGCCTGTTTATATATTGCATTGCATTCAATAGTAAAACAGTTTTAGATTTACATGCAAGTTTTAAACACCATCTGTGATACTCTAGTCCTTTGATGACTGATGTTTTAACAACTTGTATTTATTATGTATGCAACAATTTTCTCGTCAATATACGGCTGAAATATTGCCAAGATGACTTTAAATTTCAACTCACACACACTCAAAACAGGCTGAAATTTTGTAAGTGAACGGTGGCACATCATACACAGGAGACAAACACACTCAGGATGAATGACAATGTTTAGAGACAGGAACACCTCCTGACGCAGTCCCCCCCACCTTCTGCCATAAGGGTGCTGATGTCCTGGAGGCAGGATGTGCCCAGGTCCTCGTGGATCAGCAGCACTGCTGGTTTCCCCGTCACCCCGGCAAGCTGGCATGAGCGTTTGATGTGTTCCCTCACGATGGTCAGGTTGTAGCTCCGGTCTGTCTGGGGCTTCGGTTCATAGACCTGAGGGAACACATGATGATGTTCAACACATGTCTGACAGCACTGGCTTTGCCGAACTATCTCCCACTACTGCAGGAACATTTCAAAACCTGAATTGACACTAGCAAACTTTTAGTGCTAAGACAAAATGTATGTTTTCTGGGAGTTACCATCGGTAACCAGGGAAATCAGTTGTCCCAGAAATTGTGGTGGCGAGTGAGAGAACAGTCACAAGGATTCTGACTTGGTCAGAGAACCAAGGGGTTTAAAAAGTTGTCTGGAAGGTCAAACGAATATTCAATTTAGAACAGCCTTGAAAATGTAATTTTTCAAGTAAAATTTATATTTTTATACTTATCCTGAACCAGGATCTTTTGCTTATCTCCCTTTTCTTTTCGAATGGTAGTGGAACAATTTAAATCCCTTGAAGTTCCCGAAGCGGACGTAAAAATACACTCACCTACGAGTTACCTCCCTTTTGCCCTTTCCCGCGCAAACAGTCATGTGACCAGTCTTACTTGTCACTCTCTCCTGATTTTCTGTCCATGCACTTGGATCTGCTGTGAAATCTCAAGTGTTTCCAGAAGGGAGGTTGGGAGGGCTTCTCGTCATGAGTCAGGATAAGTATAAAAATATAAATTTTACTTGAAAAATTACATATTTTTTCTTATCCTGGCTCATGATCTTTTGCTTATAGAATCCGACGGATTGGTGGTGGGTCAAGCCACTTCCTGGATTCATCAGCTGTCCTTAGATACATCCTGTATCCCCCACATGGGAACTGCGAAACGGCATTTCTGTGATCCTATTCTTCCAACTTCCGTTATAACTCGGGGGGACCACTTTCTTGTCTTACTTCAGTCTCAGACAAGTTGAATCATGTTGATTCATGTGGCTACAGATAAACTAGTATCTTCTTATTACTAGATATCTTATAACAACCCATAGATTATGATAAGATCTTTATCATAAATGAGTTGTGACCCCTTCACGTACAGGTAAGATCTTTACCTGTACAGGATCTTTTATCACTCATGCTAGCCTGTCCTAGACTGTGCGCATGCACTTTCAAACTAATACTTTTCTTTAGTAAAAGTTATCAACAAGTCAACGTGATAAAGGGTGAGATTTTCCATCGCAGCGCCTTTGAGGAACCGTTAGTTGCTGTGCTACGAGAGGCCAAAATTGATGAATGCCTGAGAGGTCTTCAGTCTCGGAGGTAGTGGTTGGCAAACACCGTGTCCGACTTCCAAAAGCAGCCCTCCATAATTGCTGATATAGAGCAATTTCCATGCAGAGCTAGTGTTGATGCCAGTGCTCTGACTTCATGTGGGTTGGAAGCTCTAGGAGGTTCTTGTCCTGCTGCTTTATAGGCTCTCAATATGACGGCTCTCATCCAGAATGATATCGTTGTTCTTGAGACTTCTGCTGATGTCTCTGTGGATAATGGGATGAACAGGCGCTTGAATTTTCGTCTCCTTATCTTAGTCTTTTGAAGATATATTTTCAGGGCTCTGACCGGACACAAGGATAAGTCCTCTATATCCTCTGGTCCAAGGATTGTAGATAGAGCTGGTACGTGGAACTGTCTATCTGGCTGACCAGGTAGTTGGTTCTTGGCAATGAAGTCCCATCTAAGTCCTAGATGAACTGCAGCATGTTGCCCCGTGTCGAAATCTGGTTCGACCAAAGTCCAGCGCAAGTATCTCTGATATTCAAGCTGCCATGGCTAGCACAAGCAGGAACAGAGTCTTCTGTGTCAGCAGCTCGAGTGTAGTCTGGTCTAGAGGTTCGTAGGCATCACTCGTAAGATGACGTAGAATTACATTCAGATCCCAGGCCAGAGCTCTGAACTTCTTTTGCTGGTCCTCCAGTTTAAAAGATCTCAGCAGAGCAAGTAATTTTGGTACTTTTGTCAACTTGATGCCTGTTTTCATGGTAATCACTGTACTAATGGCGGCAAGGTATGTAGATAATGTCAAACCTTTCAGATGTCTGGTATGTCTAAGATGACACAGGTATTCCGCCACTTGAGGATGAGTAGCTTTCATCGCAATGAAGCCTTTCCGCATTGCATAAGTCTCAAACTTCAGCCATTTGTCATCATACAGGTTACGAGTAGATCTGCGTAACGCTAGCGTTACTGCCTTGGCTGCCCTGGTGGAGTATCCTCTTTTCTTCAAACATGTTTTGATACGGTCCACACGTGTAGCTGGAACGCTCTCACTTGGTGTGCGGATGTATGAGTAGGTTCGGCCAATCTGGTAACTTGATTGTTGGACTTCCGAGATCTTCTATTAGGTCTAGGAACCATACTGTCGCTGGCCAGTATGGAGCGACCAAGGTCAGATGTAGCGCCTGTGTCTGTTTGATCTTCAACAGTACTTCTGGTAGTAATATCGGGCGTGGAAACGCGTAAGCGTTTAGTCCTTCCCAAGATATGCTCAGTGCATTTGTTGCCCAGGCTTGAGGATCTGGAACTGGTGAGACAAACATCTGTAGTTGTTTGTTGAACCTCGTGGCAAATAGGTCTATGCAAGGGGATCCTATTTCCCTTATGATGAGCCGGAACGCTTCTGGATGGAGCATCCATTCCATAGGTGACGGGTGCAGTGGTTGGGCGAGAGCATCTGCAAGTACATTCTTGGCTCCGGGTATGTGACACGCCTTTATCCAGATGTTTGCTTCCTCCATGATGTCAAACAACTGGAATGTGAGCTGTAGCAGGCTTTGAAACCTTGTGGATCCTTGCCGATTTATGGAGAATGCCACTGTAGAGTTGTCCGTGTGGACCATCAGCATTTTGTTGTTCAGCAAGCTCGACCATAGTTGTAAGGCGTTGATCACAACTTTCTCCAGCAGACTGATGTGAAGATGCTGCTCTATTTTGGACCACCTTCCTGATGCAACTTGATTGTTGAGATGCGCACCCCAGCCTTGTATCAAAGCGTCTGCGTAGAGATGTGTGTCGAAGGCCGGCTCTTGTCAATAAGTCCCTCCGCAAACGTTCGACCTGTGCATGCACCACAGTAGTTACCTCTTGAGGTTGTCTGGTAGCAAGATAGGGTCGACGCTGTCTTGATGTTTTGCCAGGAACCGTTGCAGCGGTCTTAGTTGTAACCCTTCCTGTGTGAGTCAAGTCCTGCGCCGAGGAGAACTTGCCATGATCGTAGTGTTAACGGAGAGATGATTGCTAGTGGAATCATGGCTTGTATCTTGACCCAACAATCTTCTGGGACGACAATACGATTCTGTGTTGTGATGAACCTTATCCCCAGAAACTGCAGATCTTGTTTTGGTTCCAACTCTGACTTCATAAGGTTCACCAGCCATCCTAGTTGAGTGAGCATCTTGATCGTGAAGTTCAGTTGTAGTCTGAGTAGACTGGCATCTTGGTGAACCTGAATTCCGTTGTCCAAGTAGAAGGCATTGCGTAGACCTCGATGATGTAGATATGTGACAATAGGCTTGGTTACACGTGTGAATAGCCATGGAGCCAAAGATATTCCAAACGGCAGGACGTTCCATTGGAAGTGCTGCCCTCTGAATAGAATCATAGATACTTTCTTGATTCCGGATGTATGGGGATGTGTAGGTACGCATCCTGCAGGTCTATGCTGGCCATGTAATCTGCTGGACGGACGAGTAGTCTGAGTTGAGATAGGTGGATCATTCTGAACCTGTCTGGTTTCAGTAGATAGTCTTTGTTGAATTTGCGCATGTTGTCAATCAGTCTGAACTTCTCCTTGGAGTTCTTCTTGGGTACTAGAAAAATTGGGGAGTAGAAGCCTGGAGTGAGATGATGCTGATCTATTATCTCTACTGCCTCCTTCATAAGTAGTGAGTTGATTGCTTCTTGTAGTCTGTCTGTCTGCTCCTCTGCATAGTCGAAGACCATCGGGCTGAGGGTTAGCAGAGATGTGGTCTTGAGTTGTACTCTGTATCCTTCTCGTAGTACTTGGGAGATGTAGTCGTCCTCTAGTATTCCCCAATTTTTCCAGTACCTTTGTAGACGTCCACCCACTGTCGATGGTTTTACAGGAACGGCTGGGGGTGGAAGACTCCTGTCGATCCGAACCCTGATATCAACGTCTAGTTCCTCTGGATCCTCTGGGAATGCGGCCTCTCCCTGAGTTTCCTCTGTAATTTCCGGATGGGCGAAGAAAAGATCCTTTGCCGCCTCTGAAGCTGGGGTACTTCTTCTCCTTTGCCTTCTGTATGCCGGAATATTTGGACTTGCTGTTATACTTTTGTGAAGTATGACGGATGATGTTGGCCAGAGTATCTATGGATTTTATCATCATAACTTCTCTAGAGTTGTGCGTAGCTTCCTTAGCTGCATCCTCTATTTGTCCTCCAAAGATAGTAGGCGCCTCCCATGGAGCTCTCAGTAGCGGTTGGGTGAATCTATCACTCCATGAACATGATGCAAGTAGCCCTTGTCTGTGTAGTAAAGTGAGACCTGCAGATATAGATGCCAGATGGTCCGATAAAAAGTATTGGTCCTTCTTCTGAGTTATGAGCACCGAATATATCATTCTATCCTCTTCCGAACTTGAGTTCTGGAATTTATTGATCAATGCTTCATTGATAGATCTGGATCTGGCCAACCCGAAGAATGATCTCCTTGTAGCAGTATCAAGTTGAGATAACTTTTTATCTCCTACTTTATACATCTTGTTCCGGGAGTCGTTGACTAAATTTATGTTATCATCCCATTCAGGCACCTTTGTAAATGGATCCATATGATGTAAGGGGAATCTCTTCACATTAAATGATGGCAGATGCTGACTCTGGTGCTTGGATGCTTTAGCGAAAGCTGTGCGAAGGTTAGAGGGTACCCTGGATACAGGTTCAATCGGAGGGATAGTGACGGAGTCACAGTCGTCATTACGCATCATATAAGTGTAGACTTCATCTTTATCCTTAGAAGGAGACTCCAAGTTCAACCCATTGGCAATCCAAGCTGTAACCTCTGCGTCTGGGAAGACGAAGTCCGCTTGCTCATCCAGTATCTCCTGATTATTAGAGCTAGACCTCCGCGTATCATCCATCTGCGAACCTGTATCCCTTCTTGCACCTTCATCATCATTCCTCCCCCTACGAACGTCTATCTTGAGAGTCCTCTTCGCGAACCTCTATGTGTAGATTCATCTCTTCGCGAACCTCTGTGATGTGAGCTTTCTCTTCGCGAAAGTCTGTCGCTAGATGTATCCCTTCACGAACTTCTGTGATGTGAGCCTTCTCTTCGCGAACCTCTGTCTCGTGATGAGTGACTTCGCGAACGTCTGTGAGAGATATGAGATCTCGATCCAGAGCGGCTAGGTGTAGGAGATGGATCCTACAATGTTCTCGAACGTTGAGGGTTCGCAGATGTAGAATGATGAGTGGGCATCTCATGTCTTCTATCCTCCTCCAAGATGACAGAGTCGTCCGACTGTGGAGACCTTCGCAAAGGTGTATGTTAGCCAACATAGTCTTGAGACGTAGTTCTCTTAGGAGTAGGTTCGCGCAGGTCGGTAGGTTCGCACAGGTCAGTAGGTTTGCACATGGTGTCGGTAGTTGAGAGGCTTCGCCGAGCCTTCGTTTCTTCCTTGAACCTGCATTCCATCATGGCCATCATCTGGTTGGTGAATTGTGTCATAAATTCACCCAGGTCAAAGTTCTGCGTTGATTGAAGCTGCTGCGGTGTAGAAGAAGCGTTCGCTAACGCTGATGAGTTCTGCGCCTCGACTTCACTGTGTTGAGAAGTTGGTGATAGTTCGTCAAACAGCTGGCCTGCTGTGACATATGCAGGAGACGATCTAGTAGTCGTAGAAGTCGATTGAGTCGCTGATCTCGTAAGCACTTCGGGTAGAAGTAACGGGGGGTCATCAAAAACGTCTACTTCATGTGGAGGTAATATCTCTTCATTGAAGGATTTCTGATGCGTTGACTTACTAGCCCGCATAGATTTACCCTCCGATCTGGTAACAGATGCTTTCTTCTGCGTTGTAGAAGAGGATGACGTCTTTTTCTTAGCTTGAGTCGGAGTCAACAGCATTGTAGCCGATCTCTTCTTAGCCCCCGTACCAGCAGACTGCCCCTGCAACGTACTCAACATAACACCAGTATTATGAATTTCAGCAGTAGCAAGCAACATATGGTTTGCAGGCTGATCTCCTGTTTTATCAGCCGTGACTGGAGATGACTTCCTCACCCGATCCATGGCACGTCTATAGATATAAGACAAATTTTGATTAAATTGTAGATTTGATAAATCAACACAATAAGTACAGAGCAAGCTGGAAGAACATGGTTTTATGCACGAAGGGCATTGGGGGTGAGGATCAGCCACAGATAACCTGTGCAGGCAAACACTGCAAGATTTCATGAAATGTAAACAAAGTTACATGACGATGAAATTATGACACAAATACAAATAATTTTTACATATAATACAAAGTAGTTATTGCCAAATCCATACACAACGTAATTTTGAAGAATAGGACCTAAATAAAAAGGATATAATGCTGTATATGGGACTCCAGTGCTCGCCCAACCATCCACTTGGGCAAAAAGGGAGAGAGTGACAAGTAAGGCTGGTCACATGACTGTTTGCGCAGGAAAGGACAAAAGGGAGGTAACTCGTGGGTGAGTGTATTTTTACGTCCGCTTCGGGAACGTCAAGGAATTCAAGTGTTCCATTCGAAAAGAAAAGGGAGATACTCAAAAGATCATGAGTCACGATAAGAAAAAATGATTGTCTACTAAATCAGACACATACAATGTACAAACAAATATACATGCAATACACCAGTACCAGTTTTATCTATCTGGTCTCTAAAGTGAAATCCTGATGGTAACACTTTCATGTGACATCATTAAGGGTTATATGTTCAGATGAACTAATTTGTATGTGGTGTAGTTAGTGGAAAAATACCTTGCAGTGTGCGATGTAGGCAGCCAGTCTGGCCAGCGTGGCTCTCCCCGTACAGTAACTCATGCCCAACAGCAGACCGTGGCCACCAGGATGGGCCTGAAAGTACATCAGTATGGGATGTATGAAGACACTCGGTTCAGTTTAACTCCGTAATTAGGCCACTGGCCCATGTTACAAGTACAAGAAAATGATGTTGACAATACTTGACCACCAATGGTTTTGTTGGTGCTGTAGCAGAGTTGGAAAAATATGTCCAAGGCAAGACAGTTTAAAACATGCAGATTTTGTGACATGAATAATAATGACATTGTACATGATGAATGATTTTCACAGAAATATTTAGGCAATATTAAACATCTTAAATTCTCTTAAAATGGACATTCAAATGTAAAATATTTCCTGCCTTGGTACAATACATACAGAACACAACCTTTCTAAGACAGGTACGTTCTACTATCTACCTTCTTTAATCATTGATCCATGATGTTTACATCTAAATTTACACAAGCTTTTTTCTACTGAGAGTGAGTGATTATTATTTCAGGCCCCAATCAGCAATATTCCAACAAGTACTATAGATTTATTCTGTTATAATGGAAGGAGACATCCAATAAAGTTGTCACATTCTCTGTATGACATCATCCCATATGAACAATCCCCATCATAGTCGGACAACCACCCATGCCTTGCTGTCAGAGACATCATCCTAATCCAGTGTCATGGATAGATGCTCATGCTATTGATCACTGATTTACCTGCCCTCGACCTGATTATCAAAAGGCCACCATGCAACATTATACTCTCTAGGCTAACACTACGAATGCACTGACCAGTATGCGGCTGAGTCTGGCCGCATGGTTGACGGCCTCTGTGAAGAACACCACTTCTAGTCTCTGCCACGTCCCTGTGTTGTACTCTCCCAGACAGGAGGCCAGTGCTTCTCTCAGACCCTCCTCGGTGCTCTCCATGTACCCTGAACACATACACACCATCTAGTGAGAAACAATTCTTGTGGATAACCTTGACATTGAAAAATTCAAGAAATATCCACACACCATGAGCACCATAGAATCATTGGGCTTCAGAAAATTTCTCTCTTACAAGCAGTTTTATGGGGTCAGTTGAATTACAAAACCTTTTCCACAGTCAGGGGACTGCGGACCTGTACAAGTAAACATCAGACAAATTGTTCCAGACACAGGGGAATGTGGGCTTGAATATGTAAAACTTTCATCATAACACTAACAATATTGGTCTAAGTACTCGTAACTCCCAAATGTTAACAGACTTGTAACAGTAGTAGAGTTAAGGTTGTTTTGTAGAACCACAGCCGAGTTGTGTAACATAAGTGTTCAACAGTGACATACCTGTGACCAGTTAACCTTTTCTGTTTTTCAGTCAGATTCAGGTTAGAATTGATCCCAGACTAATGGGCACAGGTGGTCAAGCTCGCTGCCTTGGTTGACAAATGTCATCATATCCCAATTGCATAGATCGATGCTCATGATATGATAATCATTGGATTGTCTGGTCCAGACTGAATTATTTAAAGACTGCCGCCATAAAGCTGGAATATTTGCTGAGTGCGGTGTAAAACTAAAATCACTCACTCACTGTTCTTTAGGGTTTTTTTGCTTTTAATTTTTACTGAATCAAAACCTAAACTGACAATGTTGTAGGGAATAGTGCTGGAGTGATGTACCTTTCTCTACAGGCTGTCCCTGAGCTTCAGTGTGACACGACATGAAGAACTTGCTGAAGATGAAGTCGGTCACGTTGCTGCAGCCACCCTTTATCTGAAACAAATCACATGACACTACAGGAATGGAATTTCTTCTTACTTGTATTACTCTCAACGGTGCACAAATTAAATAGTGCTAATTTTACTGACCTCTCTCAAATTTCTCAATTCAGTTTTTAACACATGATTATATATGAACCTTGGATACCATGTCAGGAACTGACTGATGTTTTACAGCATTAGACCATCTTCAAACTACCAGACATATTAAATATTTACACAATCTAGTTTAAGTCCCATTACTGCAGTAGAAGAATGAAAACAACCTGCTGTGATAATTACACCCAGGCTTTAAGTTGGCAGGGTCATTAATAGGCATTAATGCTCATTAAACTGTCCACAAAAACTTGTTGTTTAAGTTGTTGTTTATGTAAATATGAATGAATAGTGATAGTTCTTCAATTAAACATCATGTTGGCAATCAAACAACAAAAGGCTTTAAAATGACTTAAAGGAAACTGGCAAGAATTGCCAAATGTCCAGCCCTACAACACTCACCTCATCTAGGGACATGAGAGCACCATAGAACGCTTCATATTCCTTGTCTGCAATGAGCCCTGCTTTAAAGGTGACCCCTCGCTTGGTGGCACCCGTCCGAGAGCCCTGCCTCCTGAGACTGGGGGTGCGAGTTGTGCGGCCACCTGTCACGCTGCCTGCATTGGGTAATGAAGTACTAGGAGATTGTATCTTAGTTCCAAATCACTTAAACATAGGGATGGTTTCAGGCCAAGATTACATTCCATCGTCTAAATCTATCGCTGTCACCCACAAATCAGGAACAGTGTGAATATCTGATGGTACAGGCAACCAGAGAACATGCAATGTGAACAAAATTAGTGGTGAACAACGATTGAGTGTGTGACAGTGCAACCTACCAACACTGGACCTTCCTGAAGTCAGGGGACCCGAGGGATCACTGGTTGCATCCTGCTGGGGTGCAGGGCCATCTGGGTGCTCGTGATCCGGGGTCATCTTACCCAGTTCTGTGACAAACAAGGCGGGTGCAAAACGCAACATTATAGTGAGGCAAACCCACATCACAGGAGGCTGAACCAGACATGCGGGTTGTATTTTTGCAGACAACTGTTTTCATTATGACTAGATGTTTGTCTTTATTACTGACAGACAGCTGTCTTTATTAGACAGTTGTCATTACTATTACCACATGGTTGTGTCGAAATCATTGCTAGATAGTGTTTTTTACTGCTAGATTGTCTTTAGTGGTGCTATACAAATGTCTATGTTATTGCTTGATTGTAGTCTTTGGTATGGTTCACTGTGGTCAATTTTATTGCTAGAAAGTTGTGTCTATTTTATGGCTAGAGAGTTGTGTCCATGTTATTGCTAGACAGTTGTATCTATTTTATTGCTAGGAAGTTGTATCTATTCGATTGCTAGACTGTGGTGTCCATGTTATTGCTAGAAAGTTGTATCTATTCTATTGCTAGACTGCTGTGTCCATTTTATTGCTAGAAACTTGTATCTATTTTATTGCTAGACTGTTGTGTCCATGTTATTGCTAGAAAGTTGTATCTATTTTATTGCTAGACTGTTGTGTCTATTTTATTGCTAGAAAATTGTATCTATTCTATTGCTAGACTGTTGTGTCTATTTTATTGCTAGAAAATTGTATCTATTCCATTGCTAGACTGTTGTGTCCATGTTATTTCTAGAAAGTTGTATCTATTTTATTGCTAGACTGTTGTGTCCATGTTATTGCTAGAAAATTGTATCTATTCTATTGCTAGACTGTTGTGTCCATGTTATTTCTAGAAAATTGTATCTATTCTATTGCTAGACTGTTGTGTCTATTTTATTGCTAGAAACTTGTATCTATTTTATTGCTAGACTGTTGTGTCCATGTTATTTCTAGAAAGTTGTATCTATTTTATTGCTAGACTGTTGTGTCCATGTTATTGTTAGAAAGTTGTATCTAATCTATTGCTAGATTGTTGTGTCTATTTTATTGCTAGAAAATTGTATCTATTCTATTGCTAGACTGCTGTATCTATTTAATTGCTAGAGTGAGGTATCTATTTTATTGCTAGAAAGTTGTGTCCATGTTATTGCTAGAAAGTTTTTCCCATGTTATTGCTAGAACGTTTTGCCCATGTTATTGCTAGAAAGTTTTTCCCATGTTATTGCTAGAACGTTTTGTCCATGTTATTGCTAGAAAGTTTTGTCCATGTTATTGCTAGAATGTTTTGTCCATGTTATTGCTAGAAAGTTTTGTCCATGTTATTGCTAGAAAGTTTTGCCCATGTTATTGCTAGAAAGTTTTGTCCATGTTATTGCTAGAAAGTTTTGCCCATGTTATTGCTAGATTGATGTCTTTACTACTAGATGGACTTAACTGCTGCCAGACAGTGAACTATGTTATTACAAAACAGTTGCCTTTATTGCTTGACTGTCATCTTTACTATTACCTAAATTACCTGATCCTTGTAACATGTTAAACGGATAAACCTATCCACAGCAACTCTCAGTAGTCTGTCTAAATGTGATGTCCAGATGTGAGAAGTCTCCATGTAATGTGAGCTCACAGAGCGAGTGGTTTCAACAAGGTTAGTAGATGCAACACAAGTGTGATATAAATGATGGATGTTGTTCTCCACACAATCTTTCAGCATGTTATAGCCTCATGTCATATTCAACAGTTGACCACAGCAAGCTACAATGCTGCAATGATGGTTAAACTGCGGGACTGTTTGATTAATAAGAAATATCCATAACAACACAAGACGAACCCCAAGACCATGATAAACAACTGATCTATAAGGAAACAGATACATCACCAGAAGAGGAAGCACTCACAAGAGGAAGCAACAGTGACAACTAAACTTCACTTTGTCTAAAAACTAAAAGTCTGCTGTTCAGGATTCTACAGCTCAGGGCTATACCAGAGAAGTAGTGTGTGACACAGTTCACACAGTTTACACAGTAGGTAGGCAGTGAGTGAGTGAGTCTATCCACTACTCACCTCGAGGCTGTTGCTGCTTGTCCCGTGCTGTGGGCAAGTCAGGGGGTTAGATATTGTTGCATGCAGTTAATAATGTCTACAGTGATATATATCAGATCAGTGCTGGGTGTCTCATGCTATGTTGTGGGATCTCTATCATATGTTCTGTTCCTGTTATTCAGGTATTGATCTCGGGATAATGCCATAATCCATCAATATGTATCTAATGAATTATGACATACAAACATAAAGGTGCCTTGAAAATATTTTCAAAACAGCATTTCTATACATCTGTTTTTCACTTCATTCTGGGGTGACTCATTCTCATATGAAACAAATATATCAGCCTGTTTTGGATTTTACACTCTGGTCTTCAGAAATCTACACCTGGAAGTAACTGGTGCGATTTTTACAATGTTGGACATGAATGCACAGTCTCTATGATTCCAAGGGTCAAATGTGTGTTTGAGTTAGTGGTGAGGCTGGATACACAGTGTTAATGGTACATGCTGAGATACATAATGTCACATGTTATTGATCACGTACCTGATGTGAAGGACGACTCTCGGCTGGCCCGTCGCTGGGCTGCTGTCAGTCTCAGCCCTGGAACTTTGCCCTTGGACATGAGTTCCCCAACTTCTGTACGGAACAAACAGTTACAGTTAGGATGGTACAGATGCAGCAGCACTGCTGGAACTCCGGAGGCTGTGTGTCACCAGACTTGTCTACCTGTGAAAGAGGGACTGCTGCCACCCTTCACTAGGTGATCTTATGGCTAACAATACCACATCTCCTGCGACTTAACCAGACACCACATACCATATGCACCAGCCACAAAATGTCCGAGTCTGGTGCTGTGAAACAAAACTGAGATCATCTGATCGGAATGCAGAAGCCTTGTCCACAAAGTGGGTGATTGAGTGAGTATGGTTTTACACCGCTTTTAGCAATATTCCAGCAATTTCACGGCAGGGGACACCAGAAATGGGCTTCACACATTGTACCCATGTGGGGAACTGAACCCGGGTCTTCGGCGTGACAAGTGAATGCTTTAACCACTAGGCTGCCCCACTGCCCCTTATCCACAAAAAAGTTAACTGGCAAGCTAACAAGGTAAATATGTCATCTGTGGGGTGATACCAGACTGTGGTACACATATATATGGTCTCCTCTTTAACATAAACAATTACATCCATAGCATCACTCCAAGCAAAGGGAAACTGGTCTGGAAAGTTTGCTCAAATGTGAAATTGAGACATTGTTTCTGTTTGAAATTAATAACTTGTATATTCACATTACATGGGGTGTCTCATCAGATTTGACATCATCTGACATCAGATTTTGTTCAAAATATATTACTGTTCACCCAGCAGCCAGTGGGTACCAGGACTGTAATACTCCACAAGGAGCTGAAACTGACATTGGAGAGCACAATGGATTCATTGAACAAGGAAATAATGGTGAAGTGCTTTTGAGTAATCACATTGTTGTTGCTGCTGTTGTTGTTGTTGTTAATACTCTAGCAGTCAAAGAGTTGCTTGAAGGACTAGTTAGGAGTGCCAGTTGACCTCGGCCTGGTGCCATCTCATCAACACTCATGTACACTGACCTGATGGAGTGCCATTTGTGCTGGTCTCATCTGACACCTCCGACTCTTCTGTGCTGTCTTCGGTGTTGTCAGAGTCATCTGTCACCTCATCGTGCTCGGCGCTACCATGGTCAACATCACCTGCTGTCTCTGTCTCAGTGGCCTCCCCTACAACAAGGTCGTGGAATCTACCAGTGATATTACTGTGTGTGTATAGACATATCTCAAAAAACAAGCACATGCACTTATCAGTGGCCTCTGAATCTCCGGTGATATTACTGTGTGTGTATATACATGAAAACAAGCACATGCACTTATAGTGGCTCTGTCTCAGTGGCCTCCCCTACAACAAGGTCGTGGAATCTACCAGTGATATTACTGTGTGTGTATATACATGAAAACAAGCACATGCACTTATAGTGGCTCTGTCTCAGTGGCCTCCCCTACAACAAGGTCGTGGAATCTACCAGTGATATTACTGTGTGTGTATATACATGAAAACATGCACATGCACTTATAGTGGCTCTGTCTCAGTGGACTCCCCTACAACACGGTCGTGGAATCTACCAGTGATATTACTGTGTGTGTATAGACATAAAAACAAGCACATGCACTTATAGTGGCACATCTCTGTGAGTAGGATCTCTGAATGTCCCTCTAGAGTTTCACTGTTTGTCCGACTCACTTTGGTCAATCTTGCTCCCTCCTGTGAAGACTTAGTCAACAAAATCATTGAGGATTATTGACTGGACATTGAATATCACAAGGTCATATTTGGTGTGGGGCATTGATCTCTGCAATTGGGATACGATGACATGTGTCAACCAAGTCACCACCGGATCCCGATTATGACAAGCATGGGTTACTGAAGACCAACTCTAACCCAGATCTTCACAGGTAAACACATTTGTTGTTTAACACTGTACAGCTCTATAAGATGTATCTACACATTCATCTTACCCCCATCTGTGTGAGTTTGTGTTGTCTCAAGTTCTGTTGTGACATCCATGGATGTGTCCCGGGCAGAAGAGTTGGTCTGGCTAGTGGAGTCCGTCTGAGGGGAGTCAGACGACTGACCTTGACCTTGGTATCCACGTGAGGGCGACTCTGAGGCTGACTGCTGCTGCACCTGACTACCGAGGCTCATGCTGGTCATTGATATCCCATCATCCCCGGTGTTTTCAACACCCATCACCTTATCCCCAGACTCGTCATCATAGGGGTCAAGGTCATCATCAATGTCGGAAGGAGTACCAGGTGGAGGTGTGCAATGTGGACCTTGTTTTGTGGGAGTAGACCGACCCTGGAGTATTCAATGTTCAAACTATTACAACAATTACTACTACCACCACTACAGAAATGAACATACTTTAGTACTGTCTTCTAGTTTCAAACACCTTCACTTCGATTATGATAGTTTTAAATTAACAAACCTGGAACTAACCAAATTCAACATAACTAAAGATGCTCATTACATTTCTATACAGTTTTAGAGTGTAAGGAATTAAATGCCGTTTTAGGTCACAGTCAGCCATATTCCAGCCATAACACAGCAAACTTTATATAACTAAGTCTGGATGAAACATTTGACAGAATATTGTGAGCATAGATCAGTGCCATTGGGTATCTGACATATAATCATCCCAGTCACAGATCAATAGAGTCCTGGAAGGCTATTCAACAGTCACCAAACTATGGCACTTACAAACTGAGACTGTGTTTCCTCTGTGATGGCAGCCATCTCAGTGGCAGGGTCCTCCCGGGGGCTACAGAAGTGCTTCACCACCACCTCCTCCAGGGTCCTGGAGAACCACAGCTGGTCTGCTCACACACACAACATCACATTACTAGGTTGGGTATTGGTAAGACATGTCTTCATTGTCCATGTTCACTCCTTAGTTTCATGAAGCGATTTTCCTTAAAATAGTGTTTGTCACAAACAGATGTTAGCAACATAACAAAGAATGGGTCAATAAGTGTTCTTTCCTTCAATGGAATCTTGTTTTAAAGCCTGTGTTTGTGACCCAAATAAATAAGTGATACATCTGACTACAACCTACCGTCTGTAGATATAAGTCGGTCAGAGAATGTGCGACAACATTCATGACACCAGAGCTGTGCGATGACCTTCATCATGGGGGCAGCAGGGGGGACAATCTGTTCCCCCCGGCCACTGGCAAGGCTGTTCTGGCTGATCGTGTTGAACTGGGTGGAATCAAGTGATGTCTGCCGACCAGCAGCTGTCTTCAACTCTGAAACCATCACATTATCAAATGTATTTCATTATTTGTGACATTAACTGAGATCTTCTAGAAATGAGCTGTGGATCCGGAGGAAACAGTTACAAGGATGTTGTCTGTGATTCCACTCCCTACTGAGGATGTGACATGCTACACAGATACACTCTATGTTCTCTGGGTCAAGGTCAACATGTTACATTGATACACACTGTGTTCTCTGGGTCAACGTCAACATGTTACATTGATACACACTGTGTTCTCTGGGTCAAGGTCAACATTTTACATTGATACACTCTATGTTCTCTGGGTCAAGGTCAACATGCTACAATGTTACACATTATGTTCTCTGGGTCAAGGTCAACATGTTACAATGTTACACACTATGTTCTCTGGGTCAAGGTCCACATGTTACATTGATACACACTGTGTTCTCTGGGTCATGGTCAACATGTTACAATGTTACTCATTATGTTCTCTGGGTCAAGGTCGATATGTTACATTGATAGACACTACGTTCTCTGGGTCAAGGTCAACATGTTACATTGATACCCTTTATGTTCTCTGGGTCAAGGTCAACATGCTACAATGTTACACATTATGTTCTCTGGGTCAAGGTCCATATGTTACAATGATTGACACTGCGTTCTCTGGGTCAAGGTCAACATGTTACATTGATACCCTTTATGTTCTCTGGGTCAAGGTCAACATGCTACAATGTTACACATTATGTTCTCTGGGTCAAGGTCAACATGTTACAATGTTACACACTATGTTCTCTGGGTCAAGGTCAACATGTTACAATGTTACACACTATGTTCTCTGGGTCAAGGTCCACATGTTACAATGATAGACTTTATTTTCTCTGGGTCAAGGTCAACATGTTACATTGTTACACACTATGTTCTCTGGGTCAAGGTCAACATGTTCCATTGTAAACACTATGTTCTCTGGGTCAAGGTCCACATGTTACATTGTAAACACTATGTTCTCTGGGTCAAGGTCAACATGTTACATTGTTACACTCTATGTTCTCTGGGTCACAGTTAACAAGTTACATTGTTACACACTATGTTTTTTTCGGTAGTGGTTGAGAAGGTACTTTATAAAAACCTACTGCTTTCTTCCTTATCCTTTTTCTTGGTTCGAAGTTTCCTGATCCGTGACCGGGGTGACATAAGCATGATGCCCTGCACGACGCGTGAGATGTCATGAAGAGAGAACACATAGTGGGCATGTGCAGGAGTTGGGCGCAGCTTGTCTCGCACTGACTGGTACAGCTCCAGCAGACCAACGACCATTGCCTGGGGAAGGTCAGATAATCTTATTACATGCACAGTGTCTATTGCAAGCAGTCTTTACAAGAACGCCATCAAACTATAGTCAAGACAAGGGATATATGGACACACTCTTACTGTTGCAGTGGATCAGAAGTGGTATCCAACCTACAATGCTTTTCAGTTTGCTTCATCCTCCTAAAAATGTAAGTTTTCAAGTAAAATTGATATTTTTATACTTATCCTGACTCATGATGTTCGGATTGACGCAGACCTTTCACTGCAGGAGCAAGTCAACAAAATATGCAAATCATGTTATTTTCATCTTAAAGCCATAGGAAACATCAGGAAGTACATCACAGCGGAATGTGCCCACATCCTAGTCAGATGTCTAGTGCTATCCAGACTAGACTACTGCAATGGACTGTTGATCGGCCTCAGCAAACACAATATCTCAAGACTACAGAAAGTACAGAATACAGCTGCAAGAATTATTTCTCTGAAGACTAAATCAGATCACATCTCTCCTGTTCTCAAATCCTTACATTGGTTGCCTATTCAACAGAGAATCAACTTCAAACTTCTCTGCATCACTTTCAGCTGTCTCCACAATCAAGCTCCAGAATATCTCACTGAACTCATCACAGAATACATTCCATCAAGATCACTCCGGTCCCAGAATCAGCACCTACTACAAGTTCCCAAATTCCACCTAGTTTCGTATGGGAAAAGGGCTTTCTCCTATGTTGCACCAACTCTTTGGAACTCTTTACCTTTAGAAATCAAATTATGTGAATCTCTCTCAACCTTCAAGTCAAAAGTTAAAACTCACCTGTTTCAAAGTGTCTATGACTGACTCTTTTACTCAATTCTTTTCGGCGCATTGAGCATTCATAAGTGTGTGGACATTTGCGCTTTATAAGTGACATTATTATTATTATTATTATTATCTTTTGCTTATCTCCCTTTTCTTTTTGAATGGTAGTGGAAACACTTGAATCCCTTGAAGTTCCCGTAGCGGACGTAAAAATACACTCACCCACGAGTTACCTCCCTTTTCCCGCATAAACAGTCATGTGACAAGCCTTACTTGTCACTCTCTCCTGTTTTTGTCTGCCCAAGCACTTGGATCTGCTGTGCAATCCGAAGTGTTTCCAGCGGGGAGGTTGGGAGGGCTTGACCTCATGAGTCATGATAAGTATAAAAATATAAATTTTACTAGAAAAATTACATATTTTTTCTTATCCTGACTCATGATCTTTTGCTTATAGAATCCGACGGATTGGTGGTGGGTTAGGCCACTTCCTGGATTCATCAGCTGTCCTTAGATACGTCCTGTATCCCCCACATGGGAACTGCGTAGCAGCATTTCCGTGATTCTATTCTTCCAACTTCCGTTATAACTCAGGGGGACCACTTTCTTGTCTTACTTCAGTCTCAGACAAGTTGAATCATCTTGATTCATGTGGCTTCAGATAACCTAGTATCTTCTTATTACTAGATATCTTATAAAACCCATAGATTATGATAAAATCTTTATCATAAATGAGTTGCGACCCCTTCACGTACAGGTAAGATCTTTACCTGTACAGGATCTTTAATCACTCATGCTAGCCTGTCCTAGACTGTGCGCATGGACTTTCAAACTAATACTTTTCTTTAGTAAAAGTTATCAACAAGTCAACATGATAAAGGGTGAGATTTTCCATCTCAGCGCCTTTGTTGAGCTGTTAGTAGCTGTGCTACAATGAGAGGCCCAAATTGGTGAATGCCTGAGACGACTTCAGTGGCTATGTCTCGGAGGTAGTGGTTGGCAAACACTGTGTCCAAAACACTGTGTCTTCCAAAAGCAGCCCTCCATAATTGCAGATATAGAGCAATTTCCATGCAGAGCTAATGTTGATGCCAATGCTCTGACTTCGTGTGGGTTGGAAGCTCTTGGAGGTTCTAGTCCTGCTGCTTTATAGGCTCTCAATATGACGGCTCTCATCCAGAACGATATGGTCGTTCTTGAGACTTCTGCTGATGTCTCTGTTGATAATGGGATGAATAGGCACTTGAATTTTCGTCTCCTTGTCTTAGTCTTTGAAGATATATCTTCAGGGCTCTGACCAGACACAAGGATAGGTCCTCTATATCCTCTGGTCCGAGGATTGTAGATAGCGCTGGTACGTGGAACTGTCTATCTGGCTGACGAGGTAGTTGGTTCTTGGCAATGAAGTCCCATCTAAAGTCCTAGATGAACTGCAGCATGTTGCCCTCTGTCGAATCTGGTTCGACCAAAGTCCAGCGCATGTATATCCGATATTCGAGCTGCCGTGGCTAGCACAAGCAGGAACAGAGTCTTCTGTGTCAGCAGCTCGAGGGTAGTCTGGTCTAGAGGTTCGTAGGCATCACTCGTAAGATGACGTAGAATTACATTCAAATCCCAGGCCGGACTCTGAACTTCTTTTGCTGGTCCTCCAGTTTAAAAGATCTCAGCAGAGCAAGTAATTCTGGTACTTTCGTCAACTTGATGCCTGTTTTCATGGTAATCACTGTACTGATGGCAGCGAGGTATGTAGATAATGTCGAACCTTTCAGATGTCTGGTCTGTGACACAGATGACACAGGTATTCCACCATTTGAGGATGAGTAGCTTTCATCGCAATGAAGTCTTTCCGTCTTGCATAAGTCTCAAACTTCAGCCACTTGTCATCATACATGTTATGAGTAGATCTGCATAACGCTAGCGTTACTGCCTTTGCTGCCCTGGTGGAGTATCCTCTTTTCTTCAAACATGTTTTGATATGGTCCACACATGTAGCTGGAACGTTGTCGGGTTCCCGTGGACTTGCTTGGTGTGCGGATGTATGAGTAGGTTTGGCCAATCTGGTAACTTGATTGTTGGACTTCCAAGATCTTCTATTAGGTCTAGGAACCATACTCTCACTGGCCAGTATGGCGCAACCAAGGTCAGTTGTAGCGCCTGTGTCTGTTTGATCTTCAACAGTACTATCAGTGGTGGAAACACATAAGCGTTTAGTCCTTCCCATGATATGTTTAGTGCATCTGTTGCCCAGGCTTGAGGATCTGGAACTGGTGAGACAAATGTCTGTAGCTGTTTGTTGAACCTCGTGGCAAACAGGTCTATGCATGGGGATCCTATTTCCCTTATGATGAGCCGAAATGCTTCTGGATGGAGTATCCATTCTGTAGGTGACGGGTGCAGTGGTTGGGAGAGAGCGTCTGCAAGCACGTTCTGGGCTCCGGGTATGTGACACGCCCTTTATCCAGATGTTTGCCTTCTCCATGATGTCAAACAACTGGAATGTGAGCTGTAGTAGGCTTGGTGATCTTGTAGATCCTTGCCGATTTATGGAGAATGCCACTGTAGAGTTGTCCGTGTGGACCATCAGCATTCTGTTGATCAGCGAGCTCGACCATAGTTGTAAGGCGTTGATCACAGCTTTCATCTCCAGCAGATTGATGTGAAGATGCTGCTCTGTTTGGACCACTTCCTTGATGCAACTTGATTGTTGAGATGTGCACCCCAACCTTGTATCGATGCGTCTACGTAGAGATGTGTGTCGAAGGCTGGCTCTTGTAAATAGGTCCCTCCGCAGACGTTCGACCTGTGGGTCCACCAAAGTAGGTACCTCTTAAGATTGTCTGGCAGCAAGATAGGGTCAGGAACCGTTGCAGCTACCTTAGTTGTAATCTTCCTGTGCGAGTCAAGTCCTGCGCCAAGGTTAGTAGACCGAGTAGACATTGTCATGTTCGTAGTGTTAACGGAGAGATGACTGCTTGTGGAATCATGGCTTGTATCTTGACCCAATGATCTTCTGGGACCACAATTTGATTCTGTGTTGTGATAATTCTTATTCCCACCAATTGAAGATCTTGTTTGATTCTAACTCCAACTTCATCAGGTTCACTAGCCATCCTAGTTGCGTGAGCAACTTAATTGTGAAGTTCAGCTGCTGTCTGAGTTGATTGGCAGTTTGAAGAACCTGTATGCCGTCGTCCAGATAACCGGCACTGCGTAGACCTCGATGCTGCAGATAGGTGCCGATAGGCTTGGTTATTCGTTGAATAATCATAGAGCCGACGATATTCCAAACAGTAGGACGTTCCATTGGAAGTGCTAACCTCTGATTGCAGTGATGATACATCATTCTTCCCCTTATATGCGCAGGCGATCTGTGTTGACATCGAAGCGTTGTCTATTTATAGCAAGCCTGGCTCAAGTGTAGCATCGCAGGGGACAGGTATTCATACCGACTTTTATCAGCGACAACTTCCAAAATAGACATCGTTTATCCTGCTGTCAAGGCTAGACATCTATTAGATTCCCATGGAGCCTGCTCTGTCAGTGGGAGGCGTTGTCTGACGTGGACCAATCAGCTTCCAGCATGACGTCACCGGTGTTGTAGCAAGTTGGCCTCCATAAAATCTAAAGCAATTAGTTGGTTGAGTAAAAGCGCACGTAATTCTACGCCGCTCATATAAACCTCTTGATTAAGGGTTGCTCCAAGTGTAAAATCTTGTTCAGTGATATAAATCACGTATTCCCATTGTGGATAATATAAGCCCACATGACAAAGGAGGCTGTTGAGACGTATGTCTGTATGGATCTTGAAGAAATATCGATGTTGAATCTAGTTGATAGGACATAAAATCCTAATCCCCACGCTGAGTGATGAGTGTTAATAATATCATCTGTACATCTGTTCAAGGATACTTGAAGGCGTTGTTAACCTTAAGCCCTTTACAAAGGTCGCCTTGAGGTGTTCAAGTACTTGAGATATCGGCTTCATAGGTGATATCATCTTGGAGACATCAGCGAATATGCAGTACGTCTCTGTTGGGTTGGAGTGAGTGAGTGAACGACAATATCCGCAGGCCATCTGCTACCCGGTATAAGACCTCAGCATCCGTGTAGATGAAGTGATTCCTTTCATCAAGTAGGTTGTCGTCCGAAACTGAACCTATACAGGTATAAGGTTTGTGCAGGTTGTAGAGTTGTGCAGGCTGTAACTGTAGAGATCGCACATGTAGATCTTTTTGTTAAGTTTTAAACTCTGACAAAACCATCTGTTTTCATCATTGCTTCGCTTTATTCAGCCGTATGGTAATAGAGTCGACGTCAACATTCTGCCTGTTGATGTAAGGGTTTGTTAACCCTAGGGTTCGCGAACCCTGTAGATGTCTGCATTGCTGTTATCTGCCTGTACATCTGAGAGTTCTCGAACCTTGTAGATGTCTGTAGCTTTCTCAAAGCTGTGCGTAGGTTAGAAGGCACCTTGGATATAGGTTCAATCGGAGGAATAGTCACCCAGTCAAAGTCGTCATTACGCATCTTATAAGTGTAGACTTCATCTATATCCTTAGAAGGAGACTCCAAGTTCAAACCATTGGCTATCCAATCTGTAACCTCTGAGTCCGGGAAGACGAAGTCTGGTTATTGATCAGTTATCTCCTGATCGGTAGAGCTATGCCTCCGCGAATCATCTTTCTGTGAACCTGTATCCCTTCTCGAACCTCCATCATAATTTCGCGAACTGAAGATTCCTCCCTTCGCAAACGCCTATCTTGAGAGTCCTCTCTTCGCGAACCTCTATCTGTAGATTCATCTCTTCACGAACCTCTGTGATGTGAGCTTTCCCTTCGCAAACGTCTGTCGCTAGATGTATCCCTTCGCGAACTTCTATGATGTGAGCCTTCTCTTCGCGAACCTCTTAATCGTGATGAGTGACTTCGCAAACCTCTGTGAGGGATATAAGATCTCGATCCAGAGCGGTTAGGTGTAGGAGATGGATCCTTCGATGTTCTCGAACGCTGAGGGTTCGCAGATGTAGAATGATGAGTAGGCATCTCATGTCTTCTATCCTCCTCCAAGATGACAGAGTCGTCCGACTGTGGAGACCTTCGCAAAGGTGTATGTTCGTCAACGTAGTTTTGAGACGTAGTTCTCTGAGGAGTGGGTTTTCGCGCAGGTCAGTAGGTTTGCGCAGGTCTGTAGGTTTGGACACGATGTCAGTAGATGAGTGGCTGCGCCGAGCCTTCGCTTCTTCCTACGTTCCATCATGGCCATCATCTGGTTGGTGAATTGTGTCATAATTTCACCCGGATCAAGTTCTGCGTTGATTGAAGCTGCTGCGGTGTAGAAGAAGCGTTCGCGAACGCTGATGAGTTGTGTGCCTCGACTTTACTCCAGATTGAGTCGCCGATCTCATAGGTACTTCGGGTAGGTACTACGGAGGATACTTCATGCGGAGGTAATAACTCTTCATTGAAGGATTTCGGATGTGTTGACTTACTAGTCTGCGTAGATTTACCCTCCGATCTGGTAACAGATGCTTTCTTCTGTGACGTAGAAGAATACGACGTCTATTTCTTAGCTTGAGTCGGAGACAACGGCATTGTAGCCGATCTCTTCTTGGCCCCCGTACCAGCAGACTGCCCCTGCAACGTTCTCAACATAGCACCAGTATTATGAATTTCAGCAGTAGCAAGCAACATACCGTTTGAGGGCTGATCTCCTGTTTTATCAGCCGTGACTTGAGATAACTTCCTCACCCGATCCATGGCACGTCTATAGATATAAGACAAATATTGATTAAATTGTAGATTTAATAAATCAACACAATAAGTACAGCGCAAGCTGGGAAGAACATGGTTTTATGCACGAAAGGCATTGGGGGTGAGGATCCGCCACGGATAACCTGTGCCTGCAAACACTGCAAGATTTCATGAAATGTAAACAAAGTTACATAACGATGAAATTATGACACAAATACAAATAATTTGTACAATTTTTTTACATATAATACAAAGTAGTTATTGACAAATCCATACACAGCGTAATTTTTAAGAATAGGACCTAAATAAACAGGACATAATGCTGTATATGGGACTCCAGTGCTCGCCCAACCATCCACTTGGGCGAAAATGAAGAGAGTGACAAGTAAGGCTGGTCACATGACTGTTTACGCGGGAAAAGGGAGGTAACTCGTGGGTGAGTGTATTTTTACGTCCGCTTCGGGAACTTCAAGGGGATTCAAGTGTTTCCACTACCATTCGAAAAGAAAAGGGAGATAAGCAAAAGATCATGAGTCTGGATAAGAAAAAATTCACCTTTATATGAGTGAGTGAGTTAAAATCTAAAGTTACATCAGCAGCCATATCGCCCTTTAAACCAAGACTAGAGACCTAGTAACAAATGGCTACAAACAGCAATAACTGTGATATTCATGCACGACTTAACAACACATTTCTTTTTCTTTGTTCAATACAAGAGAAGGCAATATTCAAACTACTCTGTGCCAGACAAACCTGTGGTTGATAGCACGATCAACAACCTACACTGTCAGGGTATGAGTGAGTAAGTGAGTGAGTGCAGTTTTATGTTGCTTTTATCAACATTTCACCAATATCAAGATGAGGGACACCAGACATGTGCTTTACACATTGTACGCATGTGGGTAATCGAACCCGGGTCTTCAGCATGATGAGCAAACACTTTAACCACTATGCTACCCCACTGCCCTATCAGGGTATGATCAACCAAATATCGGCCATCATCAATCCCACTTATTTTTCCACATGACAAACAAGCATGTGGTTCTGAGCACAATTTAGTCCCAGAATTCCCATTTAACTATTAAGTGCTACGTAAGGCCTACCTGTCCAAACTCAAAGTGGTGCTCCACAGTATAGGTGGGAAACTCCTCTAGCCAGGGCTGTAACTGCCGAGAGTAGATCGTAACGAGGTTCTCCATCGATGGACAAAACACACACAGGTTGACGAAGAGTCGCGTCAGTCTCGATGACATCACGTGACATGCATGCCCAAGACCAGTACCTGAGGTTTAACACAGACAATTGGACCAACAATTACGGAAGCTGCAAATATGTCAGATATGGAGAACAGAAATCAAAATTGTATAGTGCTAGCTCATTAAATCACATTTGCAAGGACAATAAAGGACAGTCAACATTGTCTGTGTGGAAGCTGTATGTAGGGTACGCCTTACCAGGGGATGATGGCGTAGTGCAGGCTGCCACGAACGTCGCCTCCTCCATGCCCTGGAAGCGTTGTCTCTGTCGGTCATACACGCCTCCAGTGGTAAGAATCTGTCGTAGCACCTCGAGTGGGGGCTGGTAGGCTGTGCACAACAACAGTCAAACATGGTGTAAACATACAGACATAATGGGAGTATGGTATCATTACAAGCAAACCAGCTGAGTCTTGTGTACTAAACAATGTTACAGTCAACAGGCAGCTTGAGACTAGTATGTATATGAGATGTTGGAAGGAGCACTTCAGTATCTATGGAATATCTATGTAGTTCCACTACACAAGCAGATCTAGAGTTTACAACTGGTTGATCACATCAGTATGAGTCAGTGTTAGTCATGGCATCAGTGAGACTTTTGTCTACAAACATTCCATATTCCATTCCAATAGCCACCACTGACTCCCATACCCGCCATTAACAATGGTGAGACCCTGTCCTTTATAGTAAGAATCATCAATTGGATGTTGCTCTACTTTGATAGAGATGCACATGACATTGTGACTACAGTATGAACGTACATCCTATCCTCTGGGCCATGTTGAGGTCATCCACAAAGAAGAGATGCCTCTGTCTGTCGGTGGCCTGCAGTGATCCGGGCGCCCCCACTACATCCATGGCCTTGTTCTTCAGCTCCACGACGTGGTTCACCATCATGTCCTGGAAGATGGCAGACGTCATCCCACGTGACATCATGGCCGTTGTTGACGTCTGCTTTGGCAGGACCAGGTGCTGCAAGTAAACAAAAATACATGGTTGTTTCCTTATTGTCTGCAAAAAGCTCCATCAAAGCATAAAAAAATCCTCGCAAAGGCCTTGGTACTACTTACTACATCAATGGTGAGTGAGTGGTTTAGGTTTACATTGTTTTTAGCAATATTTCAGCAATATCACAGCAGGGGACACCAGAAATTGGCTTCAACATCAATGATGTCATAAAACTCATCTGCTAGTCATTGTAATTTATCTTTATGCACTCCCAATTATCAGCCTTTGGGGTGACATTGAAAAATAAACCCAACAGGTTTCAAAATCTTCATTGGAAAACTAATCTAAAAGCCAAGTAATCTGCTAAAGAGGTCTTGTTTTGCATGACTCAAAAAAGAGCTGTGGAATTGTCCAGTCACAGGCACTGAGCATGTCTAACACAGGTGACAGGGTCCAGCAGTCTGTGTAACACAGGATCACGGAGCTCCTTACCTTGATGAGTGATGTCTTGCCCACACCAGGAGCCCCTGTCAGCAGGACTGGCAGGTGGGCCGACACAAACAGGTCCAGGAGGTAGCTGTAGCGATCCACCTGCAAAACACAAAGGTTTATGTTACTGACAACTACGTATGGGGCTTTGAATTCCATGGTATGTCATAGAGGGGGTGGGGGAAACTGAATTCCATGGTATGTCATAGAGGGGTGGGGAAACTGAATTCCATGGTATGTCATAGAGGGGTGGGGAAACTGAATTCCATGGTATGTCATAGAGGGGATGGGGAAACTGAATTCCATGGTACGTCATAGAGGGGTGGGGAAACTGAATTCCATGGTATGTCATAGAGGGGTGGGGAAACTAAATTCCATGGTATGTCATAGAGGGGTGGGGAAACTGAATTCCATGGTATGTCATAGAGGGGGTTGGGGAAACTGAATTCCATGGCATGTCATAGAGGGGATGGGGGAAACTGAATTCCATAGTAATGTCAATAACTACTGACATTTTGTAATAAACTCTTTCGGCTATATACCACAGCAGAGGAATTTCATGAATGATTGATATATCTGTAAGTCCTTCCACTAATGTATCAAGAGCAGTTAGAAACATTGTTGAGATATCCTTCTGTGATGCTAACTGGTTGTGCATGAGACAAAAGTGGCCAAAAGAATTTTCTGGACCAGGAAGTTACAATGGCTTCAACAAATAGAGACAACAAAGGTTTCAGGTAATATCCTACCACTGACAGATTCTAGGTGTCCAACTTATAAGGATGTACTACCATCTACTTGATATAAATAAAAACACAGTTACTGGTCCCATTTTTTAAAGTACAAATAGTTCTGTAGAGTTACTGACCTCTGGTGTGAAGACGAACCCTCCCAGACTGCGAACCTTCTCCTGCTGCCGCTGCCCCCAGCGGGTGAAGGTCCCACTCGTCTCATCCAGACAGTAATCAAACACCTGACCCCACACAGGCAATCTGATTGGATGGGATGCTCGGTAAAGCACATCATGAGCAAACTTGCTGAATCGTTCACGGAATCTAAACAGACAACCAGGATGGAAAAAATCTCCTCAAATATTCTCCAAAATGCACCCAACTTCAATCTGCTTCAGACAGAGAGAACTACGAGACCCACCTGTCATTCAGCGCGCCCCCAAAAGACCAGATGTAGGCGAAGGCAAACATGCCCTTGATGATGGTGGTGTAGCCAGGGATGAGGACCTCAATGTGGGAGCTGCTGGTCATCCGACTCGCCATCTGCCGAGATGTAGCGCCGCCTAGTGAGCTCTTGCTGCCACCCTGACGCTCTACAATTAACATGACATTCTACTGGTACAAGATGGAGTCCATGACAGTGTTGCAGTGAGTCAGTCTAAGATATATATTCAATAATTTAAGTCAGTTAGTTGGTACAATAATGACCATATTTGGAAAATGATGTGGATACATCTACATTACAGGAGTTTTAAAAAATGTGTCATAAAAATAATAGGTCAGCTTTTCACAGTACCAAAATGAGATGGTACCTGGCTGTGTTGTAGTACAGAGCTATGACAGGTTATTGGAGTGAGTGAGTGAGTGAGTGAGTGAGTGAGTTTAGTTTTACGCCGCACTCAGCAATATTCCAGCTATAAGGAGGCGGTCTGTAAATAATCGAGTCTGGACCAGACAATCCAGTGATCAACAGCATAAGTATCGATCTGCACAATTGGGAACCGATGACATGTGTCAACCAAGTCAGCGAGCCTGACCACCCGATCCCGTTAGTCACCTCTTACGACAAGCATAGTCGCCTTTTGTGGCAAGCATGGGTTGCTGAAGACCTATTCAACCCAGGATTATTGGAGGTGAGGTGAGGTGAAATGGGGTTTAAAGTCGTACTTGAGAAAATTTCACTCATATGACGAAGTGCATGCGTATGTATGTGTGACAGCTTGTACTAGCCCAGACTTAAGCTGGTTTTATAGTGCTGGCTCACTGAGATACCATGCCGTTATTATCCCACTGAGACACATTATACTGACTCTGAGCCGACCAGTACTTCTTTTACCCATTAAAGCCAAACGCCAGGCCGGAACCAACAAGTACAATATTTTAATGTCTTTTGCTATGACACAGACGGGGATCAAACCCATGACCTTCCTCTCTCTGGGCTGATGCTCTAACCACTACATCACGGAGGCAGTTTGAGATTATTGGAAGTTAATATCTTGGGACTTAGGGCAAGTGTTGAGATCGCTATAACTGTTTCAGAACAAGCAGGACAGTGTCTTGTAGCTACACATACCATCCTCCTCCTTCAGTTCTGCCTGGACACGACGGTCCAGCTCCTCTCGGAGGAACATCTTGTCCAGCAGTGCTTTCAACATGTTCAGGAACATGGTGACCTCCTGGACTCCGGGCACCACCTGATTGGCTCGCACCTTCTCCACTCCGACATCAGTCAACAGCGAGGAGCAGCACTCACTGGTCAGGAACTTTACCGTGGGTGGGAACACATCCTTCACGAGGTCATCAAGGATCTTCATGCTGTGGAGAACAAGTCATCATCTGTGATATGACAGCTGAAAACATTAACAGAGGATGTCTAACAATACTTACAAAATATTGGTATAAATCAAATATATTGTTCACACTGATAAAAACAGAGTCACTTTGTAAGAAACATCTTGAGTATTTTTTTTGTTTATGGGTTCAAGTGACTGGAGCCAAAAGTCACTTTTAGAGGACAAACTACAAATGAATTTGAATTATATTTTTTCTGAACCACCCAATATTCGATGGTATGCATCCAAGGGAAAATATATATTTGTATCTCCACACATCCCACGTAAAATATGTTAACAATAACATATAAAAGTGTGGCCTGAGTAATTTGAGCCATTTTTCAAATGCCACTTTTACACAAGACCTAGAAATTGATTCCAGGTGCAGCTGACCTTCCTCAAACACATGGAACAGAGTGTCGCTGAATACTGGCCACCTAGATGCCGGTCTACAAGACACATAATGCAGATACAATGACCATGACATTCAAACTCACCATGCCGATGTGAGCACCCATTTAGTTTTAGCTGTCTGCTTCCACTGGTGTATGATGCCCTCCCAAGACACAGTGGCTGGGGCACAATGAATCACTGTACACCTGGCGATCGCTCCAGGAGACGCCTCTACCAGGCTGGGGCTCTCAAAGATGAAAGCAGTTGTGTCTGAAGTAGTACAAAGATATTATTTAGTTCGGCAGTAAAGTCAAAGGAATGAAGGAGTGAGTGAGTTTAGTTTTATGTCGCTTTTTGCACAATATTTCAGCAATATCACGGTGGAGAACACCAGAAATGGGCTTCACACATTGTACCCATCTGGGGAATCGAACTCAGGTATTCGGCGTGATGAGCGAAGGCTTTAACCACTATGCTACCCCACCGCCCCTCCAAGTCAAAGGAAAGATAAACACCATCAGCGTACAATCCTCCACATTGTAACTCCACATTCCTCATGAGTCTTGCTGTTACATACATTAAGGACAATCAGTTCTGTCCCAGAATCACCATGGCATTTGACAGCTAACTACCTCTCAACTTGACCTGCTCTCCGTTGGCCACGGACAGTTTGTGTTCCTCGTCCAGCAGAGTCTTCAATCCATCTGCCCATACAGCATCCAGATCCCCATCAATCAGCAGCCAGCGCAGAAGAACAGATGGCAGCTCTGTCTGTTGCCGATTACGCTTCTCCGTCACTTTCTGGGCATCGATGTATGCTCGTACAGCCAGTGACATAGCATAGGAATCACTGGCAATCTTGGCGATGATGCCTCCATGCCACAGACCATCCTCAAAATGGCCAAACATCTGCAAGAGACCAAGCAAGTTGAAACCAGACGGAACCTGACATATCAGATCAAACTGACCTTGTGATACGCCGTTGAATAGCTTTGAGTTGGATACCAGGCACCATAGAAATCCATCATATATACATTATGATATATTAATTGAATCGCTAAATACAAACCATCCTGATGAACAGCACATGAAACATTTAGTTTTTGGAAACTGATGGTTGATGGATAAGGATCATGGAGATATTGTGAAATAAAGAGTTAAAAAACAGATTTAATTGCATGCTTATGAACATCTAGGAATTATCCGTGTAAACATTAGTGGACACATGGCTCATAAAGGGCATGACAACAGAACAGTAAATATCTGGACATCCAGTCACTGTATTTAGCAACTATGCCCCATAACACAACTTGGTGTTTGAGAGGTCAGCCAGAGCGTAGTATCTCATACAACTGACACCAGGTGGTAGCTGAACTACATGGTGACTGTGTCTACAAGCCTAACTCCACATGGCAAGGGAGAACCTGCTGGAACGTTCACCAGTATATAGGTAGACATTAGGATGTAATGGAAAGGTGCTGGTCAGCTCTTTGGCCCTGCATACTGGCTGCAGCTGTTGAATACTCCCACAGGATGGTATAGGACAGGTACAAATGTAGTCCAGCAGGAAGGAGAGAAGCCTGCTCGGGTGGATGCTTCATGGACTCCATCTCACCTCACTGGGAGGCATGACGGTCGGGAGGAGGCGGATGAGATCCACTTTGGGGAACTCAGCACAGTCCATCATTTTCTCCTTCTCCTCTTGGCTGGCTCTCTTTACTTCATCAAAGATGTCTTTGGTGGCCAACAGGTTGATACGCAGCAGGCGCATCTTCTGGGCACCCTTGGACCTCTTCGGCTTGAGATCCTCATCTATGTTCTGTAGAAACTGTAAGATTGATGGTTAAAGGAGATTAAACACCCATTTATGTTCTATAGAAACTGCAAGATTGATGGTAAAGGAGATTAAACACCCATCTATGTTCTGTAGAAACTGTAAGATTGATGGACAAGGAGATTAAACACCCATCTATGTTCTATAGAAACTGTAAGATTGATGGTTAAAGGAGATTAAACACCCATCTATGTTCTAAAGAAACTGTAAGATTGATGGTTAAAGGAGATTAAACACCCATCTATGTTCTATAGAAACTGTAAGATTGATGGTTAAAGGAGATTAAACACCCATCTATGTTCTATAGAAACTGCAAGATTGATGGTAAAGGAGATTAAACACCCATCTATGTTCTATAGAAACTGTAAGATTGATGGTTAAAGGAGATTAAACACCCATCTATGTTCTATAGAAACTGTAAGATTGATGGTAAAGGAGATTAAACACCCATCTATGTTCTAAAGAAACCGAAAGATTGATGGTTAAAGGAGATTAAACACCCATCTATGTTCTATAGAAACTGTAAGATTGATGGTTAAAGGAGATTAAACACCCATCTATGTTCTGTAGAAACAGTAAGATTGATGGTAAAGGAGATTAAACACCCATCTATGTTCTATAGAAACTGTAAGATTGATGGTTAAAGGAGATTAAACACATCCCATGGTTAAAGGAGATTAAACACCCATCTATGTTCTATAGAAACTGTAAGATTGATGGTAAAGGAGATTAAACACCCATCTATGTTCTATAGAAACTGTAAGATTGATGGTTTAAGGAGATTAAACACCCATCTATGTTCTATAGAAACTGTAAGATTGATGGTTAAAGGAGAATAAACACCCATCTATGTTCTAAAGAAACCGAAAGATTGATGGTTAAAGGAGATTAAACACCCATCTATGTTCTATAGAAACTGTAAGATTGATGGTAAAGGAGATTAAACACCCATCTATGTTCTAAAGAAACCGAAAGATTGATGGTTAAAGGAGATTAAACACCCATCTATGTTCTATAGAAACTGTAAGATTGATGGTAAAGGAAATTAAACACCCATCTATGTTCTAAAGAAACCGAAAGATTGATGGTTAAAGGAGATTAAACACCCATCTATGTTCTATAGAAACTGTAAGATTGATGGTTAAAGGAGATTAAACACCCATCTCTGTTCTATAGAAACTGTAAGATTGATGGTTAAAGGAGATTAAACACCCATCTATGTTCTAAAGAAACTGTAAGATTGATGGTTAAAGGAGATTAAACACCCATCTATGTTCTATAGAAACTGTAAGATTGATGGTTAATGGAGAATAAACACCCATCTATGTTCTAAAGAAACTGTAAGATTGATGGTTAAAGGAGATTAAACACCCATCTATGTTCTATAGAAACTGTAAGATTGATGGTTAAAGGAGATTAAACACCCATCTATGTTCTGTAGAAACTGTAAAATTGATGGTTAAAGGAGATTAAACACCCATCTATGTTCTGTACAAACTGTAAGATTGATGGATAAAATAGATTAAACACCAATCTCTGTTCTCTGGTAACTGCAAGATTGATGGTTAAAGGAGATTGAGTGTTTGGTTTGCACACATTTTTATCAATTTAGAAACACTCCTATAACTTCTTTTGAAAGTCTGATAACAGTGTCACCCAGTAACATGTCAGTGTCCAACAGTCACATGTTAACATCCAACTGTCACATGTTAACATCCAACAGTCACATGTCTTACAGTCTCATGTTAACATCCAACAGTCACATGTTAACATTGAACAGTCACATGTCCTACAGTCACATGTTAACATTGAACAGTCACATGTCCTACAGTCACATGTTAACATCCAACAGTCACATGCTAACAGTCGCATGTCTTACAGTAATATACCAGTGACTCAGAAGACAATGGTGTACATCAATTTATTAATTGATAATGATATCCTCACCATACAGATACTTATCATGATCATAGCATGTCATGTCTTACAGTCCCATGTTAACATCCAACAGTCACATGTCTTACAGTCCCATGTTAACATCCAACAGTCACATGTCTTACAGTCACATGTTAACATCCAACAGTCACATGTCCTACAGTCACATGTTAACATTCAACAGTCACATGTCTTACAGTCACATGTTAACATTCAACAGTCACATGTCCTACAGTCACATGTTAACATTCAACAGTCACATGTCTTACAGTCACATGTTAACATTCAACAGTCACATGTCCTACAGTCACATGTTAACATCCAACAGTCACATGTCCTACAGTCACATGTTAACATTCAACAGTCACATGTCTTACAGTCACATGTTAACATTCAACAGTCACATGTCCTACAGTCACATGTTAACATCCAACAGTCGCATGTCCTACAGTCACATGTTAACATTCAACAGTCACATGTCTTACAGTCACATGTTAACATTCAACAGTCACATGTCTTACAGTCACATGTTAACATCCAACAGTCACATGTCCTACAGTCACATGTTAACATTCAACAGTCACATGTCTTACAGTCACATGTTAACATCCAACAGTCACATGTCCTCACAGTCACATCACATGTTAACATTCAACAGTCACATGTCTTACAGTCACATGTTAACATTCAACAGTCACATGTCCTACAGTCACATGTTAACATTCAACAGTCACATGTCTTACAGTCACATGTTAACATCCAACAGTCACATGTCCAACAGTCACATGTTAACATCCAACAGTCACATGTCCTACAGTCCCATGTTAACATTCAACAGTCACATGTCCTACAGTCACATGTTAACATTCAACAGTCACATGTCCAACAGTCACATGTTAACATCCAACAGTCACATGTCCAACAGTCACATGTTAACATCCAACAGTCACATGTCCTACAGTCCCATGTTAACATCCAACAGTCACATGTCTTACAGTCCCATGTTAACATCCAACAGTCACATGTCTTACAGTCACATGTTAACATCCAACAGTCACATGTCCTACAGTCACCTGTTAACATTCAACAGTCACATGTCTTACAGTCACATGTTAACATTCAACAGTCACATGTCCTACAGTCACATGTTAACATCCAACAGTCACATGTGTTACAGTCACATGTTAACATTCAACAGTCACATGTCCTACAGTCACATGTTAACATCCAACAGTCACATGTCTTACAGTCACATGTTAACATCTAACAATCACGTCTTACAGTCACATGTTAACATCCAACAGTCACATGTCCTACAGTCACATGTCTTTCATCCAACAGTCACATGTTAACATTGAACAGTCACATGTCCTACAGTCGCATGTCTTTCATCCTACAGTCACATGTCCTACAGTCACATGTTAACATCCATCAGTCACATGTCCTACAGTCACATGTCTTTCATCCTACAGTCACATGTTAACATTCAACAGTCACATGTCCTTCAGTCACATGTTAACATCCAACAGTCACATGTCCTACAGTCACATGTTAACATCCAACAGTCACATGTTAACATCCAATAGTCGCATGTCTTACAGTCACATGTTAACATCCAACAGTCACATGTCCTACAGTCACATGTTAACATCCAACAGTCACATGTCCTACAGTCACATGTTAACAGTCGCATGTCTTACAGTAATATACCGGTGACTCAGAAGACAATGGTGTACATCAGTTTATTAATTGATAATGATATCCTCACCATACAGATAATTATCATGATCATAGCAATATGCATGTGTTCAGATCAAATTCTCAAAACAGTAGTGGCAAATAACTGAAGCACATTGATACTTGGCCACATGTTCCACATGCCACACATGATTACAGACACACCATTTATATCTTGCATGAACAAAAGCAAAACAACAACACATCTTATAAAACAAACCAAGCAACATGAACTGAAGCAGAACAAAATAAGTCAAAGCTAAAATAGGAAATGTTTACATGTTAGGGAAGCGGTACTTGTTGAATATAATAATGATAATAATACATCATATACAATGATAATAATAGTCTTTTGTGACACACAACAAAAAAATATTGGTCAAATCAAGTCCCTTAAATGATTTTTTTAATGGTCATTTATAAGGGATGGATAGGCAAGGAACTTAGCTGAGGGAAAAATCCAAGGTTCCTCAAATTCTAACCAAAATTCTGATAGGAGAATGCACCAAACTCATGAATAGAAGTTGCTGAAGTCTCTCCTCAAAGGCAATTCAGATGAAGCCTATGATATCATAGCAGTAGACAGGTTTGTGGACCATCTATGTAAAGCTGAGTCTAACACTGGCTGGCTGTATGTGTATATTAATCAACCAGTCCATATACTAGACAGTTAGGACACTAGCTAATACAGAGCTAAGAGCTACATTACAGCCACTATAACACCAGTTCAAACATCATGACAATAATACTTACATCCTCTTCAATTTCATCGACCTCCTCACCATCCTAGATAGAGAGTTAGTTGAAGGTAAATAGCGTCATAATTCAGTTACTAAACACAAACCTTAGCCAAACCTTAAGTTTTCACCCAATCCTTCAGGTTCTTTGCTGAAACAAGTTAACATCACCTAATCGCTGTTTCCGAACATACAAACCCCAAAGAATCCTTCCTACTGGATCATCATCATCTAAATGTATTGTATACCATAAAATCCCTCTGTTCCTATGTTATTTTACTCTGATGGTGTAGACAGTTTCTCATGCTACCATCCACTATGCCAGGCAAAGTGTCATGCTGGAATTTTGCTGACTGTCGCATAAAACACCATTCAGTTTGTCATCAACCTGCTGGTGCTATGACTATACCTGTAGCTTCTGTGTCTTGTACTGGAAGACGAGGTCTCTGTCTGTGGTCAGGTCATCCTTGGAGTGGTCAGGGGCATACAGCTTGTAGTTGAGGAAGTTGATGGCCCGAGCCAGGATGGTGGAGCAGGTGGACTTTCCACTCCCTGCCTGTCCAGTGAGGATGACTGGCTGATTCAGCTCCAGGGCTGTGTGGAGCTGCAGGATCTGGGGAGAAAGATAGATCTCATGAAGAGGGGGATGTATTCAGCTCCAGGACTGTGTGGAGCTGCAGGATCTGGGGAGAAGGATAGATCTCATGAACAGGGGGATGTATTCAGCTCCAGGACTGTATGGAGCTGCAGGATCTAGGGGGTAGTATAAAGCTCTACTCACCTTGGTGATGAGTTCTTCATTCTCCTTCATGTTGTCTTCCTTCAGCTGTTCCTTGATGGCGCTGATCAGCCTGGGGTCATGTGGCATGTATGTACCATCCATCTGGGCACTGGCCGTCATGGGGAACACATCACGCAGGAGGCCATCAAACCGGGCTCGGTCGTCTCCATTCTGTATGCGAGACTCAAGGATCTCTTTCATGGCATACACAATGGAGTGTTCCTCTGCCAGTTTTACATCCTGCTCAGCTGCACTGGGCTTCCAGTCACTCTCTAGAAGGATCAAACATTTCTTCACACAGTATTGAACAAATTTATACCAAACATTTTGCCTTTCTAAACTGTATTACAATCTAGAATAGACAACAGATAATCATCATGAAGCTTGCTCTGATGATCATCCAGAATCAATTAGTTTTTCAAATCAAGACAACACATTGTGTAATTAAGAACCCCCGGTATACCTGACTCTTGTCCGGGTGCTTCATGCAGGAACTTCTGATCCCGTATCCTGGCGACAGCAACCATTAAAATCTTCTTCACCTCCCTCAAACACAGGTTGTACTCCAACTGTCTTGGCAACTACACAGAGAATCATGTTGACAAAAGAATCTCAGCAAGCTATTTATACAGACATACATTTGACTATACTGTTAGTTGTTCCGTTTAATGCAGTAAGTATAATCAGCATGTTTATAAAGCAGATGAAGTAGTGTGCCCCTTAGACATATTGCCCAGTCAATCTTACCTGGATCTTCATAAGCTTCAGGAAGAACATCATCTTCTGAGCACAGTTCTTGTAATCCTCAAAACCATGGCAGCACAGAGTGACCTCTATGATCTGTTGAGTGTCTGGGATGACAAGAGAGCATGGTCGCATCAGTGCCTGGAACAAAATAGAGACGTCATCAGCACCTGTAGCAACATAGAGATAGCATCAGTGCCTGTTACACAATAAACACATCCTGAGAGCCTGAAATAACATCAGCACCTGTAACAACAGAGAGCCATCATCAGTGTCTGTTACATCATAATCATCATCAGTGCCTCTCACAACACAGACACATCATGAAAACTATTGTGGATAGCGAATCCTTCAATCATAAGATGTACAAGTTGGATGGTAGTACCCAAGGTAGGTAGGAGGAGGAGGAGGGTAAAAATTGCTCGTTGATGTGTATGTCCTCTTTTTCCAAAATATCAAAGCATCCAAAGTCTGTAATACCATCTGGCCATGCCGCCTAAACCTGTAAACTGGTCCCAACCAGATAATAGTGCTAGACCGCTCCTTTATATAGACTGCGCAAGAAATATAGCACCAGACATGGTTTAGTCTATAAATTGCTAAAAAAATAAAGCGCTGTTTTGCACATGAAACAGAACGAAAACTATACAACAGGGCCATGCATTTCACCCCATTCCAAGCACCATTTGCAAGGCAGCAAATTGAATATTTATAAACTTAAAAATCTTATAAGTATTTTGGATACAGCACCACACTAACACATTTTGTGTTATCAGCCAACTGAGCCTGTTTATCAAGGTCGAAGAAAATCTTTCATGAAATTCCAACCAAAGAGAGACAAAGGGTGGGCAAGGATTTTCAGCCATTACCTGGAAGTTCTCCGGGATGTCTGCAGTGCCCACAGTTGGTTTGCTCAGTGTCATGAAGCACCCATAGTTGGCGCTGGCTGGAATAAGTTTGCCATTGAACATGACATTACCCACAATCCTGTGCACATAGGTTGGTTCCTGGATGAGCTGCTTGTAGTCTGGAGCAGACTTCTTTTTCTTCTTCACATGCTCTGTATAATAAAGACACCAAACTCAGAACACTAACCATCACTCAATAGACCCTACAACTATCACAGGTAGGAAATACATCACTACAACGAGAAAGTCTTATTCCTGTTAGATATTTTTATTTAATGGTTACATTCATGTTTTGGCTTGCAAATATACAATCAGTGTATCATGTTTGAGGCTGCAAGGAAATATAATTATGAATACTAGCACTGTCCTGGAAGCAAATGTCTACAGGTTTGTACTACTACAAGACAAATCACACGCACGCAAGCACGCAAGCATGCACGCACGCAAGCACGCACGCAAGCGCGCACGCGCACGCGCACGCGACGCACGTACGCACACACTATAACATTTATATAGCGCCGATATCCAGCTCAGCTGCTCAAAGGTGCTATGTTTCTTCCCTCGATCACTGGATGACAATCTCAACGGCACGTCGTATTATCAATCTCAACTCCCAGGATATCTTAGGGATAACAACTTCTTTATGTGTTTCTCATGACGTTTCTGGGCTAGTTCTTGCCCCTTCTTCAGGTGGTGGCTAGTTCTTGCCCCTTCTTCAGGTGGAAATAGATAAAGAAGTTGTTACCCATAAGATTTGTCTTGTATTACTACACCAACTTCTAAATGCCTTTGAAGAGGTTTGTACTAGACTGGTCACGGTAAATTTCAAATAGTTCATGATAATCAACATGCCGACAATAATCTGCATAATGACCTGTATACAGTAAAGCATGGGGTCAAGGACACCTTCCTCAAGCACCTTCAGTGTTCGTTAATTCTGTCATATGCACCATAGAATCTTGAGACAATAAGTGTACAGTTCTGTGGGATTCAGAGGTTGGTCAACATACCATAAAAGAGAGGAGGCGGTTTATTGGACTTATAGAACTGAGATTCCTTGATTTCCACTTCCTTCTCAATGGAGTGGCGCCGTCTCCGTTCTCTCTCAGCAATCCATGTGTCCTCAAAGTATGTGACCAGGCCTTTCTCCTGCAGGAAACAGAGAAACTAGGACTGAGGTGGGAGAACAGAACAAACCAGACTTCAAGTTCTCTTTCAATATCCTTCAGTTTCAGTCAAATAATTAAAACATTTTGTTTTCATTAACAAACTAAAGTATTTTTTTATTGTTCCTAATCCTCAAGTGTTTAAGCATCACATTACATTACATATTTTCGTCTGACATACATAGCTAATGATGTCTCATGCATGGCTTGAAACTGTTCTTTAAAACACTCTTGCCTCTAATGGAGCCCAGTAGGTTGAGTGAGTGAGTGAGTTTGGTCTTACGCCCCTTTTAGCAATATTCCAACAATATCATGGTGGGGACACCAGAAATGGGCTTCACACATTGTACCCATGTGGGGAATCAAACTTGGGTTATGGTGTGAGGAGTGAACGCTTTAACCACTGGGCTACCCCACACCACCATCCAGTAGGAAGTATGAATGATTGTATAAAGTGTTGATATATGAACATCAGCAGCTTCAATGTGTAACCTGGCTGACTGTGTCATCATGCCCTGATGGACTAGAGTGCTGCTCATGATGTCGACCACTGGTCTAACTTACCACACTCAATACTGTACAGGCTGCCATTATGCGTTGGCTGGGGCATGAAAAATTTCTTTATCTTTCAAACTGCACAAACATTTTTACTGCCGGAATGTTCATTGCCAATCCAGCATTCCAACTGATGTGACCATTACTTAATTTGTTCAGTGGATCGACTTCTTAATACTTTTGTTTTCTTTCTTTCAAGTTTATAAAAAAGATGAAGGTCTTCATGCGGAACCTACATTGAAGCCATGTGGCACTGTCTTCTGTCTCTCCAGGGGTGGTGACGTCTCCGCCCTAGGCAGAGGGTGCAGGGTGGTCAAGGAGTTACGGCGAATCACCTTGTCCCCAGCGCCAACTTTCTACAAGCCAAACATGAACATTGCATTAAACATTCTACTTCAGAAATGTTTAAGATATTCATAGTGGATTATCAGAAAGCTCACATACTAGAGCATTGATTAATAACTCTTAAAGAACAGCAGAACAACATACTTAACTTCATGTTAGGTAGGTACTCACTTCAACATGCTCCACTTTACATATTTCAATTTATCAACACTGAAAATTTTACATGAAAAAAGCATTTCATCAGAAACCTTTGTTACATTACACACAATTACAATGGACACTTAAAATTTATAAAAATATTTTAAAGAAACAGGTCTAATATTAATACCACATGCATGCTAATTATCAAACATATTTACAATCAAACAAATATATGTTTCTATGTAGAGAGTGCTACAGCAGCCTCAGACACAAGCATCACAAACAATGATCCTACTACAGACGGAGCATCCATCTTGGATTGTTACACAATGCTTATCTACTGGCTTACACAGATGCTGTCATCAAAAGCACATCAATGTGTTCATGCAAGACATGACTTCTGTCAGACTCATACAACAATTCCTTACACAGACACTTCTGTCAGACTCATAAAATATTTCCTTACACAGACACTGATCTCCGACACACACACAAGGATTCCTCACAGAGACACTTCTGTCCGACACATAAGGATTCTTAACACAGTCACTTCTGTCTGACACACACAAGGATTCCTTAAACAGACACTTCTGTCTGACACACACAAGGATTCCTTAAACAGACACTTCAGTCTGACACAAACAAGGATTCCTTAAACAGACACTTCTGTCTGACACACACAAGGATTCCTTAAACAGACACTTCTGTCTGACACACACAAGGATTCCTTAAACAGACACTTCTGTCTGACACACACAAAGATTCCTTAAACAGACACTTCAGTCTGACACAAACAAAGATTCCTTTAACAGACACTTCAGTCTGACACAAACAAGGATTTCTTTAACAGACACTTTAGTCAGGCACACATGAGAGTTCCTAAATCAGTCCACTTCTGTCTGACACAAACAAGGATTCCTTAAACAGACACTTCTGTCTGAAACACACAAGGATTCCTAACACAGACACTTCTGTCTGACACACACAAGGATTCCTTAAACAGACACTTCTGTCTGAAACACACAAGGATTCCTTAAACAGACACTTCAGAACCATATCCCAGATATATTGTTCAAACAGGCACAATGCACTTTACTATGACACCTGTTATAATATTCAGACATTGAAGATTTTGGAGCATCACAATGCTTGAAAGGGAAAAGGTGTTGAACAGACGTCTCTAGCATTCTATAGTGAAAGCAAGGAAGCAGGGGAACCAGCACAGAAGTCAATATGCAAGATAGACAAACAAAGAATGCTACTAATACTGACTCTTTGATTTGTGGGATATTTGAATTGATCTCCATGAAATCAACAAATGAGTACTTATCACACTGTGATAAAAAACCAAAACAAACAAGGCTGGCAGCATATGAATGAGTATTATGCTACAAAGTCAATTATATAGCACTCTGGTACAGTGCAGTAGTAGTATAGACAATGGAAGTTATGGACCACTACAAAGTCAGTCATACAGTACTCTGGTACAGTAGTAGTATAGACAATGGAGGTTATGGACCACTACAAAGTCAGTCATACAGTACTCTGGTACAGTAGTAGTATAGACAATGGAGGTTATGGACCACTACAAAGTCAGTCATACAGTACTCTGGTTCAGTAGTAGTATAGACAATGGAGGTTATGGACCACTACAAAGTCAGTCATACAGTACTCTGGTACAGTAGTAGTATAGACAATGGAGGTTAAGGACCACTACAAAGTCAGTCATACAGTACTCTGGTACAGTAGTAGTATAGACAATGGAGGTTATGGACCACTACAAAGTCAGTGATACAGTACTCTGGTACAGTAGTAGTATAGACAATGGAGGTTATGGACCACTACAAAGTCAGTCATACAGTACTCTGGTACAGTAGTAGTATAGACAATGGAGGTTATGGACCACTACAAAGTCAGTCATGCAGTACTCTGGTACAGTAGTAGTATAGACAATGGGGGTTCTGGACCACTACCCCATAGTTATTGCCTTTTATCCCAATTTGGCTCCTACAGACCCACCACAACAGGTCAAATTTGGTGGAACATCATTTTGTGCCATCCACATACATTAATACTGAGAGGCCCATCGGGGCGGAAAAATAGTATACTCAATGCCGACCCTTTAAGAAATGAAAGCTTTGGCAAGACAAAATAGCAAACAAATGTCTAATACAAGTTTAACATAACATGTAGATTAATTGTTGGCTTGCTATAAAGATTTATTTTCACGCCATTAAGAGATTTATTTTGTGTGTAGTTCTAAAGAACGGCTACAGTTTGTGAATGTAGGATAGTTATGAATCGATAATTAACATGTAATATATTACAGTTTGTCGACTGACCAGTGTATGAGTAATGAACAATGGCAGCCCTTCTTCTTGGCTTTCTACACCATACAGACAGACTGTGATGATAGACATCCTCAGTCAGGGCAGGTATTGAGGAATGGACAGCACAGACCAGGGTTTGTTTAACCATACCAGGTTCTACCATGAATAGCAAAGGGCTCAAGTTTGAAGCAGAAGAGCAACATTTCTGTTCACAATGGAAACAAGGTTTATTAACAAAAATACTGAGTGCATAAGTATTTGATACTTTAATTCCCCAAACAAAGTACTGTTGCAGGCGGCACAGGCATCACTAAGTCTATCTATGAGAGGGAACACAACCTACCAAACTCAACAGCTGCAAGTCAAACAGAGACAACATAAACATCAAAGAAACATTGCACATTCTAAAAAAAGTGCCACTTCTGTATACATTCCTTCAAATTCTCCTGCAGTAGATTGAGTTGAAACAATTTCAAGTCATCACAGTGTCCCTCATTAATGAATGAATGCCACCAAATAAAGGCATGTGAATTCACAAGATACTGGGGTAGGTTTCATTTCTGCAGTGAATATTTGATGGTTTAACAGATACTGGCACTTGGAAAATAGGAATTATACCACTAAGTCCACTACACTATGCATTCCCTATCTACAACAACAACTAGTCCCTCAGCACTGGCTAGCCAGTCAAATTATTATCAGAAAATTATAAATGGTTCTGTTGTGATTGGCCACACAAATTATCAGAGACCTGTAGAAGTGAATATAAATTCCAGCTTACTATTCAAATAAAGTTTCATGTTTCAGTGTTTCAGTGTTTCCATGCAGTTAATGTTTTAATTGCAAATTGTAAACAGATACTAAAACATTCTGCAAAACTGATTGAGATAATCTGATAATCAATTCATAATTATCATTTACTTAAGCCACAATTTTCATCCAAATTCTACCAAAATGAGTTGTGGGAGACATTTTGTTTTTATATTTCAACAATTTGTGATATCAGGGCGCATTAACTTTTGAGAGATGTTGTTCACATGATGCATTAATTTTAACAAATTAAGAAAGAAGAAAGCATGTTTTGCAAATCAATTTTGGTCTGTAAGTACTTTGGACATATAAATAATGTGTTTTCAGTGAGGTGGGTGTTTAGCAATGAGGCTGGTGTTGGGAGGTTGATGGGATAAAAATATAACATTTAATTTCTTATGACCTTCTGTCCATACTTTTTACTGAACTGGTGGGATAAGCTTCATTTACAATAATGACATCATTTTCTCATTTGGAGATGTTTGAGGCTTGTTTTGCTTGTACAATTCAACATGCATCCTAATGATACAGTGGGACATCATACAGAGGCATGGAACATCCTACAACTAGATTGGTTATATATGCGTGCTAGAGTCTATATACCACAACATTACACAGGTTACCTGGTCATAAAACAACCTAGCTCCATGCTGATGCCAAAAGACCATGATCAGAGTTAGAATGTTTCAAGTCTACAAAGTCTCTTATATAGATCTTAGTGTAGCATCATTATAATGAACAACTCCAAGCCCCGAACACCAATCTGAGTTCTTTGACCTTGAGAGACTTGCCAAGTGTCTTGACCAAACTTTTAATCATCACGTTTCATGATCTTTTACAGACTGGCCAAGTTGGTCAATGAAACTCTGAACTGCCAAGTGTCTTCATCACATATGACCTTGTCAAGCTACTTGACCACACTCAGAATCACCATGTGTCTTGATCATTCAAACACTTGCCAAGTCTCTTGACCTTAATCAGGATCGCCAAATGTCTTGATCACAAAAAGACTTGCCAAAAATATTACACAATAGTATCTATTACCATAAATATAAAATGTAATTAGTAATTGTTATGACTGAAGGTTAAGAGAAATCGGCACACAATACACACCAGGTAAACATGATATAAAAGTGTTAAATGATCTGTAACCATGCAAGGAGAGTCATCAACATAAATACCAACATTTGATTGATTGGTTAATTAGGATACACAATCGGAATACCCCATACAACAATGTTAGTGGTGCACCATAGGAAGACAACGTCATGGAAGGCATAGTGTCAGTGACTGTAATAATCAAACTCAAACTTGGTTTTGTTGGCTGAAATTCTGCATTCATATCCTACTTTTCACTATTATTCAACCAGAGTTCAGCTACATAAAGGTATATTACCACTGAAGTGATTGCAACTCTCGTATCTCAACAGTCAAAGTGCAAAGTGCAAAAAAAGATATATTGCTAGACTCAGGCTTTGACGTTCGAGTTACATATGCAGAATGGCCTTGAAACTGACTGACATATACTGAGGGAAATAAATAAGGGAACACATAAGTACAAGAGTTCCTTTATTCTTTTCCAGGTTTCTCTGCAAGCTTTGTGTTGTAGTGTGAGTAAAAGTCTGGGAATATATACACTGCGGTGAAGTGGTGTTCCCATATTTGTTTCCTTCAGTATATTCATCACTGCAGAAACATTCTCCCGCTCACATTTGAGATCTCCCAAACTCACCCATCCCCAAATCCTTCTCCAACAATCCATCTACCCTTTAATTTCCAGCCTATTAATAATCAACTGGAGAAATAGAACCAGTGCAACTGACAGTTAGCCTTCCCAGAGTACTGGAGGGTCCGGTTACCTACCTTGTCAAAGCGGGGTTGTCCTCGTATCTTGTACTGGTTCTCACTAGAGAGGTCCAGCGTCCTCAATGCTGTGCGAAGGTAGTCAAGCTGCTGGGCTGTCACTGACATCAACCCTGAAACAAACCATAGGTTAGGTATCTGAGGGGAAGGCGGGATGGCTGTCAAAGTCCACTATTACACTTGTATCGAGGAAGCCCTAACCAAGTCTGGAATGGTGGTTGGTTTGTTGTTTAACGCCGCACTCAGCAATATTCCAGCTATATGGCGGCAGACCAGACAATGCAGTCATCAACAGCATGAGCATCGATCTCAGCAATGGGGATACAATGACATGTCAACCAAGTTAGCGAGCCTGACCACCCGATCCCGTTAGTCGCCTCTTATGACAAGCATGGGTTACTGAAGACCAATTCTTACCCAGATCTTCATGTGTTCTGGAAAGGTGGACCCATGACTGGAACCATGAACAATGACTCATAGCATGGGGACATGATGACATGCAAGTGGTCCAGTAAAACTCTGGACACCCGATTCCGTCGTCTCTTTATGATTGCTGGATGAATTCAACCAGCTTTAGGAAAAACCCACAAATACAGTGATCATTCTGATATTGCAATATAAACGGCATTACATATGATTTCTGGGGTAAATGACTCAGCATGGAAGGGCTCTCCTAGGACATTAAGGTATACCTGTGGTGAGCCTGTCAGTGTTGTCAAAGAGAGCCCAACATCCGGACTGGACCATCCCGGTCATGAACTGGAGCATCATGGGTAATGTCAGGTTCTCGTTACAGTTGATCGTGAACATCGTCCTTCCTAGCATCTGGACAAAGAGCAAACAATATCAAGGCAATACTTTCTCTCTCTTAAGAAATTATTTGAAATTTGATGCAAGGTTGTCATACTTTTGCTAGTTGTGAGGCTCGGACAATGACTCATGTCACATTTAATTGCTGGATTAACATACATCCAATACCCAGGATGTAAGCAGACAAAGCAGGGTCCAAGAATCTTGATTCAAAGGATATCCAAAGTTTAGTGTATCATTTTTATTGGTTTTAAAATACATTTTAAAGACTTTTTAAAACATCAAAACATTACATTCGGGTTACTATTGTACAAACCTGATTTACAAATTACATAAACAATCCATGACATGAAGACCAAAACTTATAAAAAGCGCTGATATTGCACTCCATTAGAGAAGAACATTTAGTTATAAAATGGTGGTGTCTGAGTTCATTCTGGAACACATGAAAAGATGGCACTGCTTCCAATACGAGGTTTTTAAAGATGATGATAATACTATTGAGAGGGGTCATTGTCTTTGGATATCCAAAGTTGATTGCATCATCATCTTACCCGAGCTAGCTCCCTGACTGTCTCTGATTTCCCAGTGCCTGCTGGTCCGACCAGTGCACCACAATGAAAGTTCTTGGTTGCCTGTGTGAGTGACAGGAAGGCCCGCTCGGTCAGCGGGGTGAGGACCAGGCTGTGCTGGGGGGCCCAGGTACTCGTAGTCGTAGTAGAAGTTGTTGCCCAGCTGCTGTATGTAGCAGGGGCTGAACTGGTAGTCAGTGGACACTGTGGTGCGTGTGCGCGTCATCTTTGGAGGCTCCTCTGTACACAGTAAGTAGGAAAACACCATTACATAAAAGTGAGTGAATGATGTTTAGTGTCAGAGTTAGTAGTCCAGCTTTAGCACAGCAGCATGTCAACAATCAAGTCAGATCAGACAAACTAGTGACTGAAAGCATGAGCAACAATTCACACATTCGAGTGAGTGAGTTTAGTTTTACGCAACACTCAGCAATATTCCAGCTATATGGTGGCGGTCTATGAATAATCGAATCTGGACCAGAAAATCCAGTGATCAACAGCATGAGCATCGATCTACGCAATTGGGATATGATGTCGTGTAAAAAAAGTCAGCGAGCCTGACCACCCAATCCCCGTTAGTCACCTCTTACGACAAAAATGGGCTACTGTAGATCAATTCTGCCCCAGATCTTCACGCGTCCCACACCTTCAAGGTAAGAAGAATATAGGTTGTGCTTACTCATGATGGGAACTTTCTGTTTTGGATCTGGGATTAAAAGATGAATAACTTCACTGTTATATCTCCAGATATGTATATGGTTGGTTGGTTGGTTGTTTAACACTGCACTCAGCAATATTTCAACTATATGACGGCGGTCTGTAAATAATTGAGTCTGGACCAGACAATCCAGTGATCTACAGCATGACCTTCAATCTACACAACTGGGAAACAATGACATGTGCCAACCAAGTCAGCCACCCGATGTGGTATAGAGTATGTGTCATCTGGCCACAGATATAGGACCTGCCCAAGACCTGAGTCCTGCATGCACTGACCTGCACTGACAGAGACAAGGGGAGCGTCTGTTGACAGGTTTGCTGGTGCGGCCGGACACACTGTTCTGCATCTCCGTCACAACTGTCTTGGCTCGAAGAACGTTTCGGATGTCCATTCGGTAGCGGGAGAGACTTGAGCCAGTCAAAACTGGTCTCTGATGGAATCTCACACTGGAGCAAACCTGTGAGGATGACAACTTCATTACATTGGATGTTTGTGAACAGCATAGATTATACAGCACATAGATGACAAAATCTCCAATAAATAACCTGTTCTTGGCTATTTGTAGTTAATGAATCGTCAGTTGAAATGTTGTCTGAAAACAAACCACTGCTGATATAATGATGACCAGGTCAAATTACTTTCTGATAAATCATGAATGATATTCCAATAGATTGTGACCCTTAAATACATTATTCCACCAAGTTTGTTTCTAGTATTACAAAAATCTCTTTGTTATTCAGTGAAGGGAGGAAAACAACTTTGTATAACATTTCACAGCATTTACTTAGATCAATAATGTATGTGAGTTTGGTTTAATGCCATTTTGAACAGTTTTTCAGCATTACACTCATAATATTGTATAAGCCTACTCTTGGAACAATGGTTGAAGTGAAGCAGATGTTACTTGTTTACCACCAGTCACAGGTCCTGGCAAACCAACTGATCAAATCTCAGATCATAAAATCCTGGCATGCCAAGGGACACAACTCTGCACAGCAAGTCGTGGCCCCCAAGCCTACCTGGCCCCCCTAAAGACAATACCGTCTGGTGATGCTAACACACTGCCTGACTACTGACCGTCCATGATGTCCCTGTGATGCAGCGTCTGCTTGATGAGGCTGGTGAGCAGACACTGCAGCCTCTCTCTCATCTCCAGGCTCAGCCTCTCATTGGTCGAGGTTTCCTTCAGAATGTCAATGTACTGGTCCAGCTTGGCGCACATGTTTGACCTGAAGAGGATGAAGTGGTCTCAGTATTTCATTGATACAAAGATTTGACAGGCGAAGTAAAGCCTCACGGGCACAGATCAGAGTCAGTTATCATTGTGAGACCAACCAGTACAGATAATGGTGTTCATAATTGTGATGAATCTAGGACACAAACAATCTAGCAGATCCTGTCACTGCTCTGAGAGGATAATGAATCCATATGTCACCTGTAGCTCACACCAATTATATTACATGTTATGTAACTATCAGAGTATGAGCCTCTACCACTAACCTACTGTTGGAAATAGAAAAAAAACTGTTTTTAGGCTGTTACTCTGTATCACTCAAATCTACACAATTGCAAATAGCATATGTCGAAATAACCCACATCGGCCTAACTGGGCGTTCAGTGGGATGCGTAACAGGATATCCAGAAAAGCATGTTTACCTGTAAAATCAGGCAAAACTTAAAAAAATATGAATAGCTGCTGAAAACAATAGATCAGACTCTAGATGGCAATTAGGTCACTCAGCCAGGTATGACGACGGACCGTCGACTCACATGGCATAAAATGCACATGCTGCCCACAGGCACAAGGGGTCATCTCAAAGATATTTTATGTTTTTTCATGTGTACTGAATATGTCTCTACTGATTATCTAATATTAGCTAATATCTCAGTTCCCCAGCCCGACCCCAACGACCCTCTGCGACACCCATACTGGTTTTGGTTTTGAGACGACCCCTCCTACCTGTTTCTTTTTATAGTGATAGTGAGACGCCATGGTAGCTACATCCTTAATAGTTTCAGTATTAAAGTTATTATTTTTTACGTCTGCTATTGTTTATAATGAAGCTAAGTCTAATTTCAAAATGATCATTTAAAAAGTGTCCTTTGTAATACAATATCATCGCACACTAATTTGCATAAAGCCATGGTCTGTTCTGAATAAGTCGCATTGGACTTCTCATTTCTGCACTAATCTCTCCTCAGTAAAATCCTTCTTTCACGTTTCCTATCTCCCTCCCACTGCGACTGTAGTTAGGCCGAACTTAGTTTAACAGATATTTAAAATGTAGATATAAATGTGAAAAACTGTTGGTTTTTTTCTATTTCTGACAGAACTTTAGGTGTCCTTCATACTAATCGTTGACTCATAGAAATAATAACAATATAAATGAAATCTCTCCAGTCATACCAGCAACCAGCAAAAGTATCTGGAGGAATGTTTTGTTTCTCCACTTTCCTCATAACAAAATGTCCTTAATAAGCAGTGAGAAACAGAAACACATTTAAACACAGTTTGGGACCATCCCTACCCAACCAATCTTACCACTGCAACTGTGATTAGTATTTGATAAGTATGGGAGCAATATCTCTCAGCACTACAAATGTTATAGGGCTATTTTAAAGTATCGGACCAACAGCCTCTTAGCACAACTGTTATAGGGCTATTTTAAAGTATGGGACTACAGCCTCTTAGCACAACTGTTATAGGGCTATTTTATAGTATTGGACTAACAGCCTCTTAGCACAACTGTTATAGGGCTATTTTAAGGTAAGGGACTAATAGTTAGGCTGCTAAGCTAGACATTTCTTAAGAATTGTGCATTTTGTGATAAAAGCACCAAATTTGGCTAAGATGACCACTAAGGTGTAGGAAGTAGTTTAAGGTAAGGAGGCATTCAATATTTCTTCATTTTTGAGCATGCCCATGAAATGAAAATATCATGTCTAATAGAAATCTTTAAGTGTTCAAAATATCGAAAAATAAATATTTTAATGCTATTAATGTTTATTTTTCTACTTGAAAGCATCAATTGAAAAATATTATCTACTTTTTAAAACAGTATTTATACACACAAAAAACACAATGACTGCTCCCTTCAAAATGGCCACTAGCAGACGATGCAATAGAGAAATGGATGAAAAGTTATGTATCTGTTTAAACATACCATAGAAGTTATGAAAATGATGTTATAATGTTACACATACACACATTAATAAATATCAAAATGGAAATAACCAAATTTGTGGAGATTTGTCCAACTTTGTTCCCTAAGGAATTCAAGGGAGATAATCAAAAGTGGTCTGATCTCAGGGACCAGTAATTATTTCTTTCTAAATTTTTAGATTTATTTCATGGGGCTATTTCTAACTTTCAATTACAATGAAAATGATCTATTTCCACTAAATTAAGCCGATTCTCACGTATCTTGGTCTTATGGTGCCCAGATACGCAAGAGAGAACCTGTTGACAAACTACACGGCCTTGGCCTTTGTATGTCCTTTGATATGGTACTGACAATTAAGCCGATTCTCACGTATCTTGGTCTTATGGTGCCCAGATACGCAAGAGAGAACCTGTTGACAAACTACACGGCCTTGGCCTTTGTATGTCCTTTGATATGGTACTGACAAAAAATTTCAATTCGTGACATTGGGTGTGTCAACTATTGGAAAAGGACAACGTTGTCTGTCCTTTGAACTTGTGCTTCAAACTTTTCACAACATCTGCTGTTAATGACATAGATCACAATCCCAGAGCCACTACAGTAAAAGAGTCTTTTCATGGAACTTGCATATCCCTCTTTCAACACCCTCAGTTTGAATATATAGGAATAGAATGTGATATGGTCACAGTAGACATCACAGATACATCATCAAAAACCTTGAATCATCTACCACAGTGTTATACGGAACTGCCATCTGTAACATCTGACGTAAAAGATGCCACTGTTCCAAAATGAACACTTCACTTCTGAACGAAACTGACTTGGGTGCAAACTTAAAACGAATATATGTGGTTAAAGCACACAAAACTGGTTCTGGAAAACTCCCCTCCAAGTGACACGTTTAACTGGCTGCATATCATGCACAAAACCACAGTTCAAAGGATATCTTCTTGACATCTGCTGCTCTTCCATTATTCCATGAAAGTGATCACTTAGTTGCAATGATCAAGAAGATGTTCATCACTGTGATGAAGGTCAGATACCAATCATTACCTTCGTTCAAGCTTTGTTTGCATTAGCAAAACAGATTCAGTGGAAGTGGCCCACAACGTGTGATGGAGATTACGTGGTTGTGATGTTGGGTGGTCTGCAAATTGAGATGGTAGTATTGAAAACCATTGGAGACTGACTAAATGGCAGTAGTTGGACACAAGCTCTTGCACAGGCAAGGGTTGCTAAGTCTGGAACTAGAGATTCAGTTTTGAAAGCATCCCATGTCACACAGACAAAGAGCTCATGACAATGGTGAAGTTCCTCAGGCATTTGATGCCTGGTGTGCTGCCAACAGAACACTTCATCCAATGTTTTATTACTGGGACACTGTATTGGCATTGGAGCTCTGCATGTTATCCTTCGGGCAGTCTTTGAGGGAAACAAACTTAGATTTGTACATCGAATCTCTGACAAAGCTTGTTCCATGTTTCTTCGGCTTTGGGCCACACAAACTATGCTCCATGGATACCTGTGCATTTGCGAGATGCATGAACTTGGAAGCAAACATCCTGCTGTGGCAGAAGCATTCCGTTCTGGCCACTTTACTTACTGTGCAAAAGACGGTTCTTTTCTGCAATGCCTTTAGATCAAGGTCATGAAGAAAACAACGCTTGCATTAAAGAAGATGGGGGAGCCTTTGGATTACTGACAACCCTGGTCCTGAAGTTGCACGTTTGATTAAGCAATTTGAAGAAGCACAACATGACAAGAAAGACATGAAGATTCAACATCACGAACAAACTGTCAGCACACAACAGTCCTCTGTTAAAGATGTCTCTTAACTCATAACCACAATTAGGGACTTGGTTTGAAGATGTGCTAGTCTAGCCAAGGATTTGCCAGTCTTAGACATACATAAGGTATTCAAATGTTGCGCATGCGCGCAGAAGAATGATTATTTCTAATGCCTCCTTATCTTAAAATGATCACTACATATTAGTGAACATTTGTGCCAAGTTTGGTGCTTTTACCACATTTTGCACAATTATTTTGCTAAGCAGCCTTACTATAAGAGCCTCTTAGCACAAATTCCCTGCCATGATATTGCTGGAATATTGCTAAAAATGGCATAAAACCATACTCACTCACTCTTAACACAACTGTTATAAGGATATGTTAAATTATGGGACTAACAGTTTCTAAACACAAAGATCACTTTGCAGACAAATGGTCAACACTGACTCACCTTGTAAGCTTCAGATCATCAGGGTTGGGCTTCTCAAGGATACGAGCAACACCCCGCTCCCAGATGATAGCCTCTGACACAAGCACACACTGGATGGGAAACTGCAGCAACCAATGACGGAACGTCTGCTTTATTTCTGACTGCAGCGCCTTCTGTGGAGGTGTCGTGTCACTAAGCTGAGCTAACTCCTCTAGGATCTGTATTGGTTGTCGAGATCCTGCAGCAAGCAGATCACATGTTACATATCCACACATACGTGGCACTCTGTTTTGTTCTGTTATATGTATCTATTGACAATCAGACATGGTATTATCATTGAATTGTGCGTCTGGGTGCCGTTGTACAAAGTGACCTTAGCGCTAAGGTGATTGTAACTCCCATACCTAACGTAGACTTATGACTGTTATAAAGCTGAGATTGTTTTGTACAACGGCACCCTGGCAACTAGGAACAATTCAGACTAGTAAAGAGATATATTAAAAATATCAACATATGTGTTTGAAGATGCATCAGTCATATAGAATACAGTAATCAGTCACATGTTTGTATTTCACTATGACTTTATAAATGAGTGAATGTTGTTTTATGCTGTAGTTTGCAGTGCTCAGCCATGAGTTCTGTAAACAATCACAGTGTTTCACTGTACAAGCAACACTGCATGCTGTCATATATGAACTCATTTACTTCAGTTCTTCATCACTCTTGAACAATAACTTGGACCTTGGACCTTAGAATACGCAATATGTATGCAATGCAAAACGTGCTGGCAGTAGTAACTGAATCTTTTTAACTGCAGATAGATATCAACAATAGTTTATACCTGTGAAACACTTTCTAAACATACTGTGGGTAATTAAGCAGGTTTATTAAAACCAGGACAAATTAAATGCAGAATTAAATCACTTAAATTATTTAAATTTGAAAATCAGTAAAAGCTAAAAGGTGCTAAATTTACTGTGTCGTTGGCTGTAAACTCTCACCTTGCATAGTTTAGTTTATAAAGAAAACAACACAGCATTTACATTTATTTCTACAGCAAATGTAATCTTTCTTAACAGATATCTTACCTTGACTTCACATAAAACAAGCCTGATTTGAGCATAGTTTCAACATACAAGAAACAATAATTGGCTCTGATACACAGTCAAGGGTTAGTAACACACTGGTTAACATGTCGTTAAGATATATTGGCAACTGTTACCTCTTGATATTATAAAGAAGTCACAGCTAACCCAACACGGCTTGCACTACATGCATGAGCAAATGAGAGAACTGTCTGAGGGAAAAGTCTCTAACTTTATACATAACTCCCCAACTGGCAACTCTGTGAAAGAAAACTAACCCAAACCACACTGGACCAAAACAATCATGAGAAAAAATACATCCAAATTAACAACTCACATAAAATGGCAATGTCAACCCCAGATTGTATAACACCAATGAATTTTTCTGGCCATCAGTGCAAAATCTCCAAATGCTGTTAGTTGCAAGCCTCTCCATGAAGCCATGTTAATACATCACACCAGGTTACAGCCACGACCAGACACAAGCCTATCCATGAACCCATGTTAATACATCACACCAGGTTACAGCCACGACCAGACACAAGCCTCTCCATGAAGCCATGTTAATACACCACACCAAGTTACAGCCACGACCAGACACAAGCCTCTCCATGAACCCATGTTAATACATCACACCAGGTTACAGCCACGACCAGACACAAGCCTCTCCATGAAGCCATGTTAATACACCACACCAGGTTACAGCCACCACCGGACACAAGCCTCTCCATGAACCCATGTTAATACACCACACCTGGTTACAGCCACCACCAGACACAAGCCTCTCCATGAACCCATGTTAATACACCACACCAGGTTACAGCCACGACCAGACACAAGCCTCTCCATGAACCCATGTTAATACACCACACCAGGTTACAGCCACGACCAGACACAAGCCTCTCCATGAACCCATGTTAATACACCACACCAGGTTACAGCCACGACCAGACACAAGCCTCTCCATGAAGCCATGTTAATACACCACACCAGGTTACAGCCACGACCAGACACAAGCCTCTCCATGAAGCCATGTTAATACACCACACCAGGTTACAGCCACCACCGGACACAAGCCTCTCCATGAAGCCATGTTAATACACCACACCAGGTTACAGCCACGACCAGACACAAGCCTCTCAAGCCTCTCCATGTTAATACACCACACCAGGTTACAGCCACGACCAGACACAAGCCCTCCATGAAGCCATGTTAATACACCACACCAGGTTACACCACGACCAGACACAAGCCTCTCCATGAAGCCATGTTAATACACCACACCTGGTTACAGCCACGCGACCAGACACAAGCCTCTCCATGAACCCATGTTAATACACCACACCAGGTTACAGCCACGACCAGACACAAGCCTCTCCATGAAGCCATGTTAATACACCACACCAGGTTACAGCCACGACCAGACACAAGCCTCTCCACTAAGCCATGTTAATACACCACACCAGGTTACAGCCACGACCAGACACAAAGCCTCTCCATGGAGCCAGCCATGTTAATACACCACACCAGGTTACAGCCACGACCAGACACAAGCCTCTCCATGAAGCCATGTTAATACATCACACCAGGTTACAGCCTCGACCAGACACAAGCCTCTCCATGAAGCCATGTTAATACACCACACCAGGTTACAGCCACGACCAGACACAAGCCTCTCCATGAAGCCATGTTAATACACCACACCAGGTTACAGCCACGACCAGACACAAACAGGGATATGTCATTTCAAAGGGTTAGCTCAAGTCAGTGGGTCGGAACAGTTACATACCATACTTATCAAAACCAAACACTGAAATTAAGGGAAGGCGGATCATCTCAGTAAGAACAAAAGTAGAGGGTAATGTCAAATCAGTATTTAAAGCTGGTGAGATGCTAGACTCGATTTAACGCCAAGTTATACTGTCATTTACTGAAATGTTTATGAATATGACAATACATAACAAATAACAACACCAATCAATCATCATCAATACAATAATTACGATAATCATAATAATGGCCATTATTTCAACTATCTTGAAAGTGTTGATGTCATCAAATCAGACATATTACATGAAAATACAGAAAGGCTTACCTTCCTCCATGCGGGCTTGTACACATGCCTGCAGCATAACAGTCATGGTGTTTTTACTGAGGTTCTCCAGACTACGCAGCCACTTGGTAGCCTGAGGGAAGCTGGCTAGTTTAGCATAGAGTGGTACCTCCTCTCCCAGATTCCCCACCACAGACACCACCTGGAGCTTGTCAGCTGTAACAAACAGAGATTTACCCTGAACCTTGGAAAGTTTTATCCATGTAGGATGAACACTTTCACCCTGTAGGATGAACAGTTTTACCCCATTGGATGAACACTTTTTACCCTGTAGGATGTACAGTTTTACCCTGTAGGATGTCAGTGTTCACGAATAGCGTCGGACCCTCTGACAAATCCGGCAGATTTGCCAACGGTCCGATAGAAGTCTACAACCCGCCGGCCCCAATGTCAGACTGTATATTTCACAATGACTTTGACTGAAGTTGTTATATGTGACATGTGACACTTGACACTTGTTTGCCCTTTATAAATCTTACGTTTGTTCACAATTTCAATGCCAATTATAAGAAATGTTGAATATGAAATGTGAGTTTAATTTCATTCTATGGGTCCTGTGAATTTTGAATGGGTCAGACAGATATCTGAAACTTACAGGACCCAATGTCCTGTTACTTTGAAACAGCATTCGTGAACACTGGGATGTACAGTTTTACCCTGTAGGTTGAACACTTTTACCTTGAAGGATGAACAGTTTTTACCCTGTAGGATGTACTGTTTTAACCCGTAAGATGAACAGTTTTACCCCATTGGATGAACACTTTTTACCCTGTAGGATGAACACTTTTACCCTGTAGGATTAACACTTTTTACCCTGTAGGATGTACTGTTTTACCCTGTAGGATGTACAGTATTACCCTGTAGGATGAACCCTTTTACCCTGTAGGTTGAACACTTTTACCCTGTAGAATTACCACTTTTTACCCTGTAAGATGAACAGTTTTACCCTGTAGGATGAACAGTTTACCCCATTGGATGAACACTTTTTTTACCCTGTAGGATGTAAGTTTTACCCTGTAGAGTGAACAGTTTACCCCATTGGATGAACACTTTTTACCCTGTAGGATGTACAGTTTTACCCTGTAGGATGTACAGTTTTACCCTGTATGATGTACAGTTTTACCCTGTAGGATGAACAGTTTTACCCTGTAGGATGTATAGCTTTACCCTGTAGGATGAACAGTTTTACCCTGTAGTATGAACAGTTTTACCCTGTAACATGAAGTTTTATCCTGTAGCATGAAGTCTTACCCTGTAGGATGGACACTTTTACCCTGTAGGGTGAACACTTTTACCATGTAGGATGAACAGTTTTACCCTGTAGGACGAACACTTTTACCCTGTAGCATGAACAGTTTTACCCTGTAGCATGAACAGTTTTACCTTGTAGCATGAACAGTTTTACCCTGTAAGTTGAACAGTTTTACACTGAAGGATGCATAGTTTTAGCCCGTTGGAATAACACTTTTTACCCTGTAGGATGAACACTTTTACCCTGTTGGATGAACACTTTTACCCTGTTGGATGAACAGTTTTACCCTGTAGGATGAACAGTTTTACTTAGCATGATGAAATCTTTGCCTGTACACTTTTACATTGTTAAATGGACAGTTTTACTCAGTTAACAGTTTTACACTGTAGGATAAACTTCTCTTTATTAAGAAGGACAAGTTTTACATGACTCAAAGCTTTTTGGACAGCTTTACAGTTAAGATGCAAGGTCAACATGAAAGAGAGAAATTACCATTAAGAGCAAAGTCCAAGGTTGAGTTGAGTGATGTGATCTCTGGTGGGAGGGCGAAGACAAGGTTCTGTATCCCAGGGAAGCACCTGCGCACATAGGGGACAAGTGCCTTGGGGTTACGTGAGATGCCGGACATATCCACCATCTCTTGGTCGCTGAGGAAGTACAGACGCGGGAACTGGGAACGGGACTTTTCAATATACACATTGATGTCCTTCAGAATTTCCTCCTGGAAAAAAACATATAATATGATTTAAATCTGAGGACTGACAACAAAACCCTATATAGAATAGAATAATACTTCAACGCCTTTTCAGGAATTTGCGTTACATCAGCAGAGCTACTGACACATTAGAGAGATACCAAACATATTTACATAAATTCTTGATTTAGATATCTTCACATTTGTTTAAGAGAGATATGGTACTTGGAATAAAGGATGTACAGGCTCTCTTAGTTTTCACAATTGGAACTTTGTATCGGCGGCCTGAAGGGAGAAGGTTGTATTCCGAATTAAAGTAGTGAGTACGGTCAGATATGATTTTGACAGCTTGATTCACGATTTGCCGCTCATATATTGATGATAAACATTCAAATCTGACTCCAGCGATTTTACTTGCAGTGTTAACAATTTTGTCTATTTTAGATTTGAGATGAACTGAGAGAGACCCGTACCAACAATGGAAGGAAAATGTTAAAATACTCTGAATAAATGCTACATAAAAAGATGACATCACAGATGGGTTAACATTAAAAGATCTCAATTTACGCATGAGATGAAGACGTTGTTGACACTTTCTGTATAGGGCTTCAGTGTTAGAGTTCCAGTTCAGCTTAGAGTCAATGAAGGTTCCCAGATACTTATACTCTAGGGGGATCTATTATGTCTGCCTGTGTGAGAGAGAGAGAACACCTACCTGTGTGTCTATAACAAAACCCTATATACATATAGAGGGATCTATTATGTCTGCCTGTGTGAGAGAGAGAGAGAGAGAGAACACCTACCTGTGTGTCTATGACAACAAAACCCTATATACATATAGAGGGATCTATTATGTCTGCCTGTATGAGAGAGAGAGAGAGAGAGAGAAAGAGAGAGAGAACACCTACCTGTGTGTCTATGACAAGACCTACTTGTGTGAACGACAGCATGTACCTCTGTGTGAGTGTGTGTGAGTTAGAAACACCTATCTGTGTGTATGACACATACCTGAGTGTGGACGACAACACCTATCTGTGTGTACGATAACACCTACCTGTGTATTTATGAGAGACAGAAGCATGGAGCGGAGGTTGTTCCCCTGCAGGAAGCGGTAGCCCTTCTCTCCCCACTTCCTGCCCACAACAGACATGACACTGGAGTCATTGGACACAACTCTCATCCAGTCCTGGAAAAAGGCAGACAACACTCAGACAACCAGTACACCATTTGTTACTTGCATACTTGGGCAGCAAGTTATCATTCTGTTCACACCTGAGACAATCAACAAGACACCTTTCACAAACACCTAGTATAGACCATACATCACAAAATGAATGACAATAAACAGCATCTGTGTTCCCAATGTTGTCCAGAACATAACTCAGGATTTACATCAGTATATGTGCCTCTCAACACAACAAAGAGAAGACCACAAGTACAAAGTTAAATCACAGATGAGGTTTCCTGTCTACAGCCAAGAGGTAGAAATTGTTGTCAATGATGAGCAATATATAGATACAACTTTTGATGGGTCTTCACTGTCACTCAGGTTTCTCAAGCTTCTTCACAATACCAATGAGTGCAATAGAAACCAGTAACAAAGACAGTAAATATACTGCATGGCAAACATACCTTAAACTGGTTGTGAACATGTTCTTCAAACTTGGTAGCTTGTCCTGAGAATTTCCGGTACAGTTCTGGCTTCTCAAATATCTTCAGCAGATACAACCACTAAAGTAAAGCAGAGAGCATGAATAGTGTTGATAACCAAAGCTGTTTTCTCTCACAGTTGTCCATGTTCAAGTAGTATTAAAGCAAGCAAGCAGCCAAAGGTCAAGTTGGCCAGTGGTCATTGCTATGAGTAATGTCCATCTTTGCTAGGCTATGAAGATATCCAATCTACCAAGTCTACTTTGTTCAATATATCTGAATTTAACATCATTTAAATTCCACAGAAAATCTTTTTTGCTGATCAGGAAACTCAAATTCAAGAAATCTATATTTTCACTAACATGAACACATTAAGTGATCTGCTCACACTGCCTGTACCAATGGCTTCAGTCAGGAACTGCAGACATCAATTATTGATTACAGATATACAACAGCATTTAAGGTTCTAAGAATCATGTTGCACAAATTAGTGTATAACTGTCTCACCTTTCTCTGTGATGTAAGCCAGAGATCTGTGATCTCATCCACCTGTCTCAGGGCCCGACACCAGTGAGTCACAGTCTCCTCCATGTCCCCTAAGTAGGGTGAGCACGCCATTGCATCCAGGCTGATTCGACTGTCCTGAAGTAGCAACACCACAATATAAATCAGTACATCCAGGCTGATACCATTGTCATGAAGTAGCAACATCACAATATAAATCAGTACATCCAGGCTGATACAATTGTCATGAAGTAGCAACATCACAATATAAATCAGTACATCCAGGCTGATACCATTGTCATGAAGTAGCAACACCACAATATAAATCAGTACATCCAGGCTGATACCATTGTCATGAAGTAGCAACATCACAATATAAATCAGTACATCCAGGCTGATACCATTGTCATGAAGTAGCAACATCACAAATATCAAATCCAGTACATCCAGGCTGATACCTGATTGTCATGAAGTAGCAACATCACAATATAAATCAGTACATCCAGGCTGATACCATTGTCATGAAGTAGCAACATCCACATTGTCAGCGAATAAACCATAAAGTACATCCAGGCTGATACCATTGTCATGAAGTAGCAACATCACAATATAAATCAGTACATCCAGGCTGATACCATTGTCATGAAGTAGCAACATCACAATATAAATCAGTACATCCAGGCTGATACCATTGTCATGAAGTAGCAACACCACAATATAAATCAGTACATCCAGGCTGATACCATTGTCATGAAGTAGCAACATCACAATATAAATCAGTACATCCAGGCTGATACCATTGTCATGAAGTAGCAACATCACAATATAAATCAGTACATCCAGGCTGATACCATTGTCATGAAGTAGCAACATCACAATATAAATCAGTACATCCAGGCTGATACCATTGTCATGAAGTAGCAACACCACAATATAAATCAGTACATCCAGGCTGATACCATTGTCATGAAGTAGCAACATCACAATATAAATCAGTACATCCAGGCTGATACCATTGTCATGAAGTAGCAACATCACAATATAAAGCAACACCACAATATAAATCAGTACATCCAGGCTGATACCATTGTCATGAAGTACATCCAGGCTGAACATGAAGTAGCAACATCACAATATAAATCAGTACATCCAGGCTGATACCATTGTCATGAAGTAGCAACATCACAATATAAATCAGTACATCCAGGCTGATACCATTGTCATGAAGTAGCAACACCACAATATAAATCAGTACATCCAGGCTGATACCATTGTCATGAAGTAGCAACACCACAATATAAATCAGTACATCCAGGCTGATACCATTGTCATGAAGTAGCAACACCACAATATAAATCAGTACATCCAGGCTGATACCATTGTCATGAAGTAGCAACATCACAAATATAAATCAGTACATCCAGGCTGATACCATTGTCATGAAGTAGCAACACCACAATATAAATCAGTACATCCAGGCTGATACCATTGTCATGAAGTAGCAACATCACAATATAAATCAGTACATCCAGGCTGATACCATTGTCATGAAGTAGCAACACCACAATATAAATCAGTACATCCAGGCTGATACCATTGTCATGAAGTAGCAACACCACAATATAAATCAGTACATCCAGGCTGATACCATTGTCATGAAGTAGCAAATATCACAATATAAATCAGTACATCCAGGCTGATACCATTGTCATGAAGTAGCAACATCCACAATATAAATCAGTACATCCAGGCTGATACCATTGTCATGAAGTAGCAACATCACAATATAAATCAGTACATCCAGGCTGATACCATTGTCATGAAGTAGCAACGTCACAATATAAATCAGTACATCCAGGCTGATACCATTGTCATGAAGTAGCAACATCACAACATAAATCAGTACATCCAGGCTGATACCATTGTCATGAAGTAGCAACACCACAATATAAATCAGTACATCCAGGCTGATACCATTGTCATGAAGTAGCAACATCACAATATAAATCAGTACATCCAGGCTGATACCATTGTCATGAAGTAACAATCCAGGCTGATACCATTGTCACAATATAAATCAGTACATCCAGGTTGGTACCATTGTCATAAAGTAACAACATCACAACATAAATCAGTACATCCAGGCTGATACCATTGTCATGAAGTAGCAACATCACAATATAAATCAGTACATCCAGGCTGATACCATTGTCATGAAGTAGCAACATCACAATATAAATCAGTACATCCAGGCTGATACCATTGTCATGAAGTAGCAACATCACAATATAAATCAGTACATCCAGGCTGATACCAATTGTCATGAAGTAGCAAACACCACAATATAAATCAGTACATCCAGGCTGATACCATTGTCATGAAGTAGCAACACCACAATATAAATCAGTACATCCAGGCTGATACAATTGTCATGAAGTAGCAACACCACAATATAAATCAGTACATCCAGGCTGATACAATTGTCATGAAGTAACAACATCACAATATAAATCAGTACATCCAGGCTGATACCATTGTCATGAAGTAGCAACACCACAATATAAATCAGTACATCCAGGCTGATACCATTGTCCCGAAGTAGCAACACCACAATATAAATCAGTACTTGGAAATTCTTTACTAAACAAAGCGTAAAAGCCTAACTTACCTCCAGCTGGTATTTGAGCTCCTCTACCTCGATTAGGGTGTAGAAGTCATCAGATGCGACATCCAGACCCCGTAGTGTCCCAGCTGCCAGTGCTGCCCGTTCCTGCCGATACCTTTCCAGCTTAGAGTGACGTCTGCTCGGTGAGGATGTACGTTTTGTTGGCTCTGAAAATGGAGGAGATAAGGTAATTGGTAAGGTATGTTCTGAAAGAAATCTGATCTACAAGCTGGTATAGGTTGAAGCTTAAAAAACAAGATCATTGTACACATCTTGTACATAAACTGAAATTGTTTGCTGATCACTGTATCTCAGTTATATTTGCCAGCTTAGTGTGAGAGGAAAGACCGAACTGACTCAGGACATATACACTTTTACAACGTTTGTATTGTATGGTACCGACAGAGATGAGGAATCTAGGATGAAAAACCAACAACAATCAGATGATGTTCAGACTAGGGAATGAAGTAAATATGAAAAGATTGAGTTATTGGGGACTTATTATGGAAGGACGTGTAATCTCTAGCAGCCTACCTTTCACAAAGAGACTGTCAGGAATGTGCTTAGCAAGCTTGAACTCTCTGGCTTCCCAGAACTTTCGAATCTTTCCAAATTTAAGTTCAAGGTCATACTCATTGACCGCTGACAAATAGACAGACTGGATGAGGTCTGCGTGCTCCACAAGGCTGTATGAGAGAAGGTCGGACACCAGGAACTGCTGGGTAGGGTCATATGGCTCGTTCATACCCAGGAATATTGCCTTCCAGTGACGCTCCTAGAAACAGACCAGTCAAAAAATAACTAAAAAGATAAATTTGGGCATCAAAATTGGTAGATTTCACACCTTAAATACCAGTGTGAATGCATAGAAAACATCTAGGCTGTGCCCTTCCTGGAAGCTGCCCTAAGATTTAATCAAAGCAATCACAGAGGAATAACATTTGATTTTCCAATGCTTTTAGAAATGGCCCAAATATTTCTCATGGTAGAGGAGTGAGTGACTGAGTATGGTTTTACGCCGCTTTTAGAAATATTCCAGCAATATCATGGCGGGGGACACTAGAATTGGGCTTCATACATTGTACCATGTGAGGAATCAAACCTGGGCCTTCGGCGTGATGAACGAATGCTTTAACCACTAGGCTACCCCACCACAACCACTGTGAAATTCTTCAATGCTGGGATGGATCAAATGGTGAAAATAATTTCAATCTTGGCATTAAAAGTCAATGTTCCTAACAAACATGTTGGGTATCATATTGGCAAAAACAGATAAAAGTTTAGATCCCCAGGTGAATAACAGGACACTATTTGGTCAGATGTGTGATAAGACACTGATTGATGGCATATCATGTTCCGGGACACAGTGTGGAGGCAGGTCCTGTGTTTCAGTTGGAGAGTGAGAAAGTATATGTGTACCTTGAGAGCTTCGTTGGAGAGCCTGTGGAGTAGTGGCAGATCCTTCTTGAACTCCTGTAGTGAGGTAAACCAGGTACTCAGCACCCGGTCGGCATAAGGCAGGTGGGGTTTCAGCTGTGCTGCCGCCGACTGCCACTCCATCACCTTCTCCAGAGACTTCTTTATATGCATCTGTTTGGGAGAAAGAGAGTTCGGTTACATGCTGCTTGCCATCTACTTCCTTTCCTTGTTGGTACCAATGACCTTCCTGAACAGCATCTGCTCCCATTCTTTGATGGCGCTGGTGGACATTATAAGTTGTATGCTTCTCCCTCGGGTAATACGGTCAGATGTACGCCTCTTTGTAGCAGTGTCACCAGAGACGGTAGGCAAGGGTTAACACTGCTACAAAGAGGCGTACATCAGACCGTATTACCCGAGGGAGAAGCATACAAAGTATTTATCTTACCGCCATGTTAAATGTACAAACTATCACTTTATTTTACTTTGAAGACCGCTACCCACTATATTACATGTAAACAAAATGGTGTCTGCCTCTCGACAGGATTTTTAAATCAGTGAAACACATTATGTTTAAGTTGAGTGTGCAAACGATTCAATGTATACAATAGTTTAAATAAAGCAGTGAAAGTCAGTAAAATAGATGTGTACATAGTGAACTCAAAAACAGCTAATCGAACGGTTTGTTTTCGAACTCCGGGCACTGCATGCGTCATATTATGACGTCATACCATTGTTAGCAATACAGCTTTTCGGCGGAGAGTTTGGCAGTTACGATGGCAGCAGGTAATATTTTTTCCAGTTGTCACCCTCCTGGAGGGATGACACGGAAACTCGTTAACGCGTCATTGACCAATGAAATTAAAGTATTTCACATGAAGGTAAGATAAGTCCACATATCTCCAAAGTACACACACCAACAAACTTTTACAAACCTGGAGAGGTTATGAATTCTTTGAAGAAAAGTCCTCCTTGGGGTACATATAAGCATTAAAATGTCCATTTTAAAAGCCTACGACAGTTGTAACAATATTTCAATAAAATATTTTACCAAACAAAAAACTCGGTATGTGTGGTGAGACCACCCCTACAGGGCCCCGTAGAGGGCCCCCTACAGCCAAGAGCAGGTAACTCTGGCTGTGTACCTCATACCTCACTTTTCATGCTGAACGTGTCAGACAGAATGAGGGGAGGTGGGCGGCCTTACCCCAAGGAGGACTTTTCTTCAAAGAATTCATAACCTCTCCAGGTTTGTAAAATTCTTTTTCAGAAGAAGTCCTCCTTGGGGTACATATAAGCATAAGACAGACTCCCAACGATGTTGAGTCGGGAGCGGTATTCTGTCTGCCTAACATACCCCCTAGTTCAGTCGAAGGCACAGCCGAAGCCGCGACAGAGAGAGAAAGTACACTCACCTAGTCACCTGACCGCTGATGTCAATCAGGCGGGGCGTGGCAAGGCGGGGGAAAAGGAGCCTAGCCGATAGGCTATTGGTGGAATTTATAAAGGCGGACGCAAGTCCCACCCCCAGACCATCAAAATGGGAGGGAAAGAATGGGCGAGTCCAATATATATCCCTCAGCAACCCAAACCAGCGAAGCGTGGTGCAGGGATGAACACAGTGACTGTAGCGAGTGATAATCGCTACATACGGTAAAAACCACCACCAATGTGATACCACCACCGATAAAAATTGAGGAATTAATTAACACCTACACCATGAGAAAAGCAAACGTGATTTCTAAGGCTCATTCGGCTAGAGAATCACGACACTGCCCACTGGTGAGAACTGTCTGGCCAAACCGAGCACGCCCCGTGAGTGTTTGTCCAGCTGATAGTGGCGGATGAACGCATCGGTCGGCTCCAGATAGCCGCTGAGCAGATCTCCTCAATGGGCAGTGCCTCGGCGTATGCTTTTGATGTCGCCACTGCCCTAATCGAATGAGCCTTTAAACCCTGAGGGATGGTTAATCCTTTGTAAGAGTAACTCGAACAAATGGCAGAGACAAGCCACCTAGATATGGTCTGCTTGTTCGCCGGAAGACCAGCCTTGCCACCGCCATAACAACAGAACAGCTGCTTATCTTTCCTGATAGCAGCCGTTCGTTTGATATAAGCCTTGAGAGTCTTACGGACATCTAAGACGTGAGCGCCAAGAGAGGTACCGGACGATGGAGGCTGAGTGAAAGCTGGCAGTTCGATAGGCCGTTATATGAAAGGCTTCGCTAATCTTAGGACGGTAGGAGTCTGGCAACCGAATACTGACTCTGTCTTTGTGAAAGACAGTCAGAGCAGGATCCGCTGACATCGCATGGATATCACCTACACGCCTGCCAGACGTTACCGCCACAAGAAAGGCAGCCTTCCAACTTAACAGCTGGAGTGAAAGAGACGACAGATCGTGAAAGAGAGGACGGACATCCAATCAAGAACGATTGACAAGTCCCACGGGAACTAATCCCGCCGGACAGTCGGACGGATTCTGTCCACGCCTGCTAAAAAGCTGCCATGACGAGAGGGTGCTGCCCCAAGAGAGCACCGTCGGCAGGGATATGGAAGGCAGAGATTGCCGTGGAGTAGCCCCGGATAGTAGACGCGGCTAAACCGGCTTCTAACCGAGACTGCAAGAACTCCAGTACTTCAATTACAGTTGAAGAAAAGGGATCAAGAATCCCTCTGCCGACACACCAGCGCCAAGCATAACAGGCCCATCTATCCTCATACTGAACGCTTGTCGAATCCCTCCGCTGAAGCCAGAATTGTGTCTGCAACTGGTGCAGGAATTCGCTTCGCGTAGAGGAGGCGATTCCGACAGAGGCCAGGCCACCCACTGAATCCTGGGATTGGGTGCGGCGCCCGCTCTGGGATAGTAAGTCCGGTCGAAAGGGTAATAGTACAGGAGGCTGAGCCAGAAACCTGAGTAGTACCGGAAACCAGCTTTGAGCCGACCAAAGGGGTGCAAGGAGCACAAGAAGTCGAGCTGGTTGGGTGGCAAGCTGCAAGAGGACTTTGGGAATCAGGGTAGTGGCGGAACGCCCACAGAACCCTGTCCGCCCAATCGAGCTGGAAAGCGTCTTGGGCGATGGCTCGGATCCGTATCCGAGAGCAAAACACCGAATCTGGTTCGTCCCCCAGATGCAAACAGATCCACCTGGAACAACCGAACAACTGGGAGATAGCCCCGAATATCCCCGATGGAGCATCCACTGCGTGTGGGGCCAGGATACTGACGAGAGAGTGCATCTGCTCGAACGTTGTCCGCCCCAGGGAGATAAACAGGCATTACCCGTGTATGTCGAACTGGTCGCACCAGAGCAGAAACTGCCATGCCTCCTGCAGAAGAGACGGGAAACCCATGCCGCCCTGCTTCAGGATGTAGGTCATTGCCGCCTGGTTGTCCATCTCGAGACGGACCACACGGCCTTGAACCTGCTCCCGAAGTCGTTTGAACACCAACCTGACTGCTCTCAATTCTAGCACATTGATGTGCAGTTGCGCCTCGCTCTGTGACCACAGGCCTGAGACCGACAGGGCGCCCAGCACGCCCCCCCACCCTGTGAGGGAAGCGTCCGTCTGAATTGAGAGATCTGGCGATGGGATGTCCAAAGGGAGCCCCTTGGATAAATTCCCTGCCAGTGTCCACCACCGTAAATGAGGAATTAGCCACCCTGGAGTGTGGAGAATCAACTCGTAACCCTGGGTGTGGACCCACATTCGAGCTAGAGCCTGCTGAATGGGTCGCATCCTCAACCGCGCTCGCCAAACGATGTCCACCGTTGCCGCCATGTTGCCTAGCAACTGGAGCCAAGTCCGAGCTGAGGCCCTGGGGAACTCGAGAAATTGTAACACAACTCTCTGGACTTTGGTGACGCGGTCCGGAGACAGGGAGACTATCCCTCGCGCTGTCTCGAATCTCGCTCCCAAGAACACCAGATCCTGGGTGGGAACCAGTTCTGATTTCTTGAGGTTGATAATCCAGCCCAACTTGGTGAGAATACTCATCACAGCAAGTGTCGCAACTCGACTCAAGTGAGTGGCAAGCGCACGAAGGAGCCAATCGTCTAGGTACGGGTGACAGCACCTGCCCTGTGACCTGGCTACCTGAGCTGGAATTAGCATGAGTTTGGTGAACACCCTTGGCGCTGTGGAAATGCCGAAGGGGAGTACCCGAAACTGATAGCACCTCCCGTCGAAGGAAAACCTTAGGTATTTCCGGAACTTGGGGTGCATAGGGACATGGAAGTACGCGTCTTTGAGGTCGATTGACGTGAGCCAATCTCCCTTCTCCACAGACGAAATCACCGAACGCAGTGTTTCCATCTTGAAGGACGGTACCTCTATATACCTCGCCACGGAAAGCCACAGGCGACGGAGGCCCATCACCGCCGACATCATTTGGCAAGCCGACGACCTGATAGAATCGCGCGCCAGATGTGACTGTACCTCCGTTAATTGCTTAGCCAAGGTGGAGGGAGACGAATCTTCCTCCACCCCACCCACATCCAGTAGTTGCCTCTGCAACACCGAGATGTAGGCGGAATGGATCGTCACTTTGAGGCATTGAACCGCATTGCGGTATTGCTCTTCAAAGGATCGATAGGCGGATTTAAGAGCTGTAGCGTTAGTCGTGAACGGCGGAAGCCGGCGACCTTGCTTGGCTGAAGCCATAGAATTACTCGACGAACCCCCAAGGGCTTAACGGATGCGTAAAACACAATCGCCAACCACTGGGGGATTGTAAAGGCAAGCCTCCCCCATGAGGTACCGACGGTCAAGTTCTGGCAAATCGAACCTGGACCTGGTACCACAGAGGAGGGGGTTGATTACCTCAGACAAGACTGAGGGTAATATACGCAGCCTTGTGTCCCCCACCTTGGTGGGAGCAAAAGCCTCCCCTGGGAGGCGAAACTCCTGAGGGTCGGGTGCGCCAGTACTGACCACTACCTGGGGCAGGACAGAAGCAATACGCTCCCGTACCTGCCTCAGGGACGCACCGAAGCGAAACCAAAGGCGTACCCAACTCCTCCCGACCCTCATCCTCCTCCATAGCCTCCTCGAATCGATCCTCAATGAGTGAGGTCTCTGTATCCAGAGAGAGCTCTGAGGGATCATCCGAGGGGTCTACAGAGAGGGACAAAGGCTCGAGCAGAGCCGGGTTGCCCGGCACACCTGACCCAAGACTCGATACTGAGTCGCGGTGCCGTGACGAGGAAGAGCCCGTGCTGGGATTCCTCAATGGTAGACAAAATGATCCAGACACCGAATGGCCCGGCCAAGCCGGCGCAAGCGGTGGGACCAATTGGGAAGTAGCGGCAACTACAGGGACTGAGCCTGCCAAACTACTAACTACTGGACCAGACCCCGAGCCAAGGCTCGGGCCGGTAGTAGTTACTACAGCGGAGGGGTGGCCAGCAACCGAGACGAAACTCGGAGCCGACGCAGCCCCGACAGAAACCCCCACACCAGAGCCTAAGCTGAGGTTGGGAGCACTGCCCGCCATAGACCCGGCACACACACCCGTACCTGGCCGGACACCAATCTCCTGACGGAGGCCAGCCATCGCGTCAGCCACGAGAGTGTGGACCGAATCCATCTGCTTCTGCAATATATCAGAAAGTAAATCAATTGTTAGCTGGTTAGAAACAGGGACAGGAGGGGGGGAAGGTGCCTGTGATGTTGAGGGGATGGCAGGTGAAAGAGCCGGAGGCCCCGCACCCTTCGCCCGTTTAGGAGCATCCCCCAAAAGAGAGGAAGCCGAAGCCTTCTTTTTCTTTGCTTTTTTATCTTTGTCTTTAGGCGGCTCCTGACCCCAAATGTCCCCGCCTGAAGTAAGGACGTAGAACATGTAATCAGCACGCCTGGACTTGATGGAAGCGGGGAGAAAGCCTGACACATAGAACAACCTTGTTCGTCATGGGCTTCCTCCGCTAAACAACGTAAGCAAACCAGGTGGCGATCCTGAGGCGACAAACTGCCGCTACAGGTGACACACCCCTTGGGCTGCAAAAAACAGAACCGCGCTATGACAATAGCAAGGACTGTACGATATACATAATATAATATGCACGCAACAAAACAGAACAAAATACAACGCCCGGGCGATATTTTAACTGTTACAGCAAAGCTATTAAATACTAGCGCAAAGCCATAATAGCGATGCGTAATTGCGTACATAGGTGACAAAGAGCAACATGTGTGAGCGACACGTAAACGCGTCACGAAAACACTCAAGCAAAACTTACCTAAAGCCTGGAAAAAGAGGAATTTAGGCAAGTATAATCTACAAAATGAAATATCAGCCCCTTTACGACCCGACTACAAGGCTTTTTCTAAAGCCAGGAGAAGGAAAGCAACGGACCCCCGCGGTCCGCCATCTTGCCTGCCACGTGGCTGGAGACAGCTTAACACGCCCGTAAAGTTACAACAAATCATGAATGAAAAAGTCATACAAAGATTCCAGCTAGCTCGAGGCGAAAAAAGGAACCATACATACAGGATTTGACTCTATCTCACTCATCGCTCTCTTATTCGTAGCTTCTTGGACCATGCAATCGACCTACACGGCCGACGACAGCATGAAAAGTGAGGTACGAGGTACACAGCCAGAGTTACCTGCTCTTGGCTGTAGGGGGCCCTCTACGGGGCCCTGTAGGGGTGGTCTCACCACACATAACGAGTTTTTTGTTTGGTAAAATATTTTATTGAAATATTGTTACAACTGTCGTAGGCTTTTAAAATGGACATTTTAATGCTTATATGTACCCCAAGGAGGACTTCTTCTGAAAAAGAATCACCTTCCTGAACAGCATCTGCTTCCATTCTTTGATGGCGCTGGTGAACATGTCCACATATCTCCAAAGTACACACACCAACAAACTCACCTTCCTGAACAGCATCTGCTTCCATTCTTTGATGGCGCTAGTGGACACTTCCACATATCTCCAAAGCTGCTGCCGAACATCCATCTCCACTGTCATCTTGTTGAGGAACTTGAGGTCATATGGCTCCCCACAGATAGCTTCTCGCCACTTGCTGGCCTCCTTCAGCTGACTCTGGACTGAGAAGAACTCCTCCCTGATCTAGAATAACACTCACAAGTGAGTCCATGTGTCACCTCATGATGATACATGAAGCCTGGGGATCACTTTTCACCCACACAAAAGATATACCGAACAGTACTTGTGAAATTTAGTGCATCGATCTTATAGACATGCAAGGCTGGAATAGTAATGTCTGTTCTGATGTGAAATGTTTTAAAACAAACCAATCAATGTGACCAAGCAAGTCACAATTTTACGATTTACAAACATTTTTTTTAGTCAAATTAGTTAGAATTAATGTATATTTGAATGTAAATATAAATCATTGATCTGGCAAAAGGGAAACTTAAAAGTGTAACCATTTGTAACTCAAAATGTTTTGTAGACTTCTTGTATAATTGTTAACTGATGCCAGAACATCCAATAAACCCACCCCTTTCATGACTCTGAGTATCTTCATTGGGTTGTTGTCTGGGTCCAGGAAGATGCCGCTGGTGGCCTGTTCCGAGAGCTCCTTGGCTGCTTTCTCTAGACGCTGCATGACAAGAACATATGGCTATACCAGGATATGCTCACAGTGAATCCAGGTTACATTCGGAACATTGCAATGTGCTGTGACAGCTCTGCAACACCGAAACTCTCATTCTCCAATATAGACATCTGATAGTCTTAGCACTAAGATCATATAGTAAATCTATAGCACAGAGCTTGGATACTTTCAGAGTCATAGTAACAGCCTTGACTTCAGTTTATTGTGACATATAAAACATTAATGAAGGATAACCTGTAAATTTATAGTCCAGTACCTATAATGGTTGTCCATCAAATATCTACATGGCAGAACTTCTACACGTAGTCAAAACAAGGGATTTTACCTGCTACAGTAAGGGAACAACAGGGTTATCTCATGTAACATCAAACTGTAGTGACACTGCTAAATGTGTCCATATGGAAAAGAACAGCAAGTGAACACATATTAGGGTATGGTATATGTATACGCAAGAAGTAACAGGCAGAGTAAGCATAAGAAGTAACAGGTAGGGTATATGTCACAAGTAACAGGTAGGGTATACGTAACAACAGGTAGGGTATATGTAACAACAGGTAGGGTATACGTAACAACAGATAGGGTATACGTAACAAGTAACAGGTAGGGTATAAGTAACAAGTAACAGGTAGGGTATACCTAACAAGTAACAGGTAGGGTATATGTAACAACAGGTAGGGTATATGTAACAACAGGTAGGGTATACGTAACAACAGGTAGGGTATACGTAACAAGTAACAGGTAGGGTATAACGTAACAAGTAACAGGTAGGGTATACGTAACAAGTAACAGGTAGGGTTTACGTAACAACAGGTAGGGTATATGTAACAACAGGTAGGGTATACGTAACAACAGGTAGGGTATACGTAACAAGTAACAGGTAAGGTATACGTAACAAGTAACAGGTAGGGTATACGTAACAAGTAACAGGTAGGGTATAAGTAACAAGTAACAGGTAGGGTATACGTAACAAGTAACAGGTAGGGTATACGTAACAACAGTTAGGGTATACGTCACAAGTAACAGGTAGGGTATACGTCACAAGTAACAGGTAGGGTATACGTAACAACAGGTAGGGTATACATAAGAAGTAACAGGTAGGGTATACTTAACAAGTAACAGGTAGGGTATACTTAACAAGTAACAGGTAGGGTATACGTAACAACAGGTAGGGTATACTTAAAAAGTAACAGGTAGGGTATACGTAACAACAGGTAGGGTATACGTAACAAGTAACAGAAAGAGTACACATAAGAAGTAACAGGTAGGGTATGCGTCACAAGTAACAGGTAGGGTTTACATCACAAGTAACAGGTAGGGTATATGTAACAAGCAACAGTTAGGGTATCAGCTGCGTAGTGAACCATTTTGCATTTTGTTGCTTTGTTTGTATAAATTTAGGCATGTAGAAGTTTTGGGGGATATGAACACAACATTCTAATTAATCAAGAAATCCACAAACATTACATTAATATCACCCAAATTATATGTTAGTAATCTGCCATATGACTCAAATCACAACAATCATAAATCCATTGGAAAGATGTGACATATACCAACAATTCCATGAATTCAATTGTCTTTGCGTTCCTAATAAGAGAAATGGCATCATCACCGTGTTAACTATCTAAATCAGAACAGCTATTTACACAACAGCACATATGGCTACATGGATATGACTACCAGTATCCTGTCTTCTTTCTGTATTTTCTTTCAATAATGTCTTTCAATGTGCCATCAGTTACTCCTTGCCTCACATCTTTCCATGATGATTATTTGTTTATGTGTAACTATTAGATGCATACCTAAAGCTGAAATAGAATGTTCACATCAAATACGTGACATCTCAAAAGCTGAAGCTGTAAAATATTTTCTAATGGTAAGTGTTGTTGTTTTTCACTAAGAGTTATCTGCCTTTGCGTCATTGTTATGTCAAACGTCACTATATACCATAACCAGGCTGGGGTTCTGCAATGCCTCTTGCTGTTGTTTCTTGGTCTTTGCATGAGCAAGACGCTGTAGCAGGACAAACTCAGATATCAGAGGATAACACCAAACTTGTACAATTAAAACTATGATACCTAGAATATCATATCATGCTGACAATAAGTACATGGTTGTCAGGAGGAAATCTGATGGCAAAAGTAGTGGGAAATTTACATTACACTCCACTAAATGCTAAGGCCATCCTCCAGTTGGAATACTTTCCACAGCACATTTAACATTACACTGCACTAAACTAAATGCTAAGGCCATCCTCCAGTTGGAATACTTTCCACAGCATATTTAACATTACACTGCACTAAATGCTAAGGCCATCCTCCAGTTGGAATACTTTCCACAGCATATTTAACATTACACTGCACTAAATGCTAAGGCCATCCTCCAGTTGGAATACTTTCCACAGCACATTTACTGATGAGACTACCTCTCTCCTTGCAGTAGTCTTACGTATCTTTCTTGAAACAAGCATAGTCTCACTATCCTCCCTGAGAGGCTAACCTGCTCCAGATGTTGTGTCTCCCCTCAGCCTCAAAACCAACCTTCCAGTGGTACATCTCCCTACGACCTACCTGGTATGTGTCCTCTAACTGCTGTGTCATCAGTGGAGTCTGGATGTTGACAAACTCGGACGCCTCCTGCATCTCCATGAGGAACGCCTCCCAAGATGCCCACACCTGTTCCTCCAGCTTCTCCTCCTCTGGGTACAGCTGTCGGTAACTCATCCGGATCACCTAATAGATATAAACAGAACTTTCCTCCAGCTGATCCACAAATATTGTAAACCTCAAACAAAACAAATCGGTTTTGTCTTCTTGTGCTGTTAGGGTACAATGAGAGCTTAGTGCACTGTTCTACAACATATAAGGCCATCCGAGACATTTTACTGGGAACTCATACATTGTTGTCCTAACAAGTCACATTCACATACAGGGTCCCTCAAAATCTAATCTGTGAGTATTTTATGACCTTTGTCCCAATAATGAACTGGTATCTCTCAGGTCCAACCTTACTAAATCACCATTCCCTCAAGAAAGGTCCCCTCACCTCGTAGAGAGACTTGATGTACTCCACCCTCTGTTGGTATGTGATGGTATTCTTCTTGTACTGGGAGAAGTTCTTGGCAAACACAGCAAATGCATCAACTGTCGACCGCTTGTCTTTCATGTTCTGAAAACCATACAAAAGTAATGCTAGACACAGGGTGTTACAATTGGCTCTCCTCATATGGCTTGCTGAGTAAAGTATCGGTGATGTTAGCAGCCTTTGCCCTCCGATCACACAGGTCTGTGAGTGAGAGAGGGAGTGAGTTTAGTTTTATGCTGCACTCAGCAATATTCCAGCTATATGGTAGCGGTCTGTAAATAATCAAGTCTGGACCAGACAATCCAGTGATCAACAGCATAAGCATCAATCTACACAATTGGTATACGATGACATGTTCAAGTCAGTGAACCTGACCACCTGATCCCGTTAGTGGCCTCTTACGACAAGCATGGGTTACTGAAAACCAGTTTTAACCTGGATCTTCACGGGTCACAGGTCTGTGTGTGAGACAGAGTATGAAAGAACACAAACAGCTACTGATCCTACCTGAATGACAGTAACCATCTCCTCACAGAATGACCGGGCCAGATTCTTGGCTTCATCTGACACAAATGTGATGAGTTCCTGGTACACATCGTCAAGTCTGGGTAGAAGTCCTTCATGTATTGCAGAGCAGTCAACATACAGCAGGCCATTCTCTGTGACAAAACTCTTGTCAAAGTTGCGGACCTTTTCAGACCACTGGCGTAGCTCAGTTAGCTTTTGCTGCAAAAACGATTGCCTGTATTTATTAAAGGTGTGGAGAGGTGAAATGGGTCATAAAGTCGGTTTAAGATATGCAGCACTCATACAGCAATACATGTATGTGTGTGGCTGCTTGTACTAGTTCAGTGCCCTGTTTCACAAAGCGATCTCTGTTAGAGTCATCATAACACAACTGTGTATGATAATATAATAAGGGGATGGTGGGCGAGCTGTCTAAGGCATCGCACCTAGTAAGTGAAAGGTGCCTGGATCGATCCCCACTTGTGACCGTGTGTAAAAACCTTGAAGCTAACATTACTTGCAGGCTCTTTCAGTGTTGTCACAACCCCAAGTGTGCACTACACAACCCTGTGCACTTAAAAGAACCCACTCATCCAACGGTCCCAGTTCACCCAACTGCAAATAGGTACCTTTCGAGGATGAGGCTGTTAGGCGCAGCGAGTTGAATACTTCCCAGGGAGTTGAGTTGGTTAAAAGAATGCCAGAAAAAACACATCCATTGATCAAGGGAACACTCAGGTGCCTTGAGCTTGTACTAGTTGCATGGAGATGTGGGCTATAGAAGTATCCTATCATCATGGAGATGTGGGCTATAGAAGTATCCTATCATCATGGAGATGTGGGCTATAGAAGTATCCTATCATCATGGAGATGTGGGCTATAGAAGTATTCTATCATCATGGAGATGTGGGCTATAGAAGTATCCGATCATCATGGAGATGTGGGCTATAGAAGTATCCTATCATCATGGAGATGTGGGCTATAGAAGTATCCTATCATCATGGAGTATAGGAGATATGCTATGATCGCTTTGTGATCGGCCCAGTGCCAACTGATCTACCATGCCTCTTTTTCACATGGTTTGTCTGCTGTTTAACACTGCACTCCACCATATTCCAGCTATATGGCAGTGGTCTGTATATTATCAAGTCTGGACCAGACAATTCAGTGATCAACATCATGAGCATTGATCTACACAGTTGGGTTATGATGACATTCATCAACCAAACAAGCTAGTCTGAACACCTGATCCCATTAGTCGCCTCTTACAACAAGCATGGGTTGCTGAAGACCAATTCTAACCCGGATCTTCATGGGTTTAACTTGGTAGCTTGGGGAGTATTCTGCCCTACTCTCACCTCAATGGCAAATGCTGCTGCTCCCTTGAACTCCTTGACAGACATGTTGTTCCACCTGTGGCAGTACTGGTGGATCTCATTGAGCCACTTATTGAACTCACAGTACTGCTCAACCTCTTCCATAGCCACGGCCATCAACTCAGACTGTGTTTTGAGCACCTCCTGGAACTCCGAGCTGCAACAATTTGGAACCACAAGCTCGGGTCATTAGAGAATCTGTTTACTGGGCACCTCTAACATTTCAAATACACCAGTTATTCATTGGTGATTTATAATGGTTAACTGTCAAAATGATTTTTCCTGTCTTCGGCCTACAGAAAAAGTACTTTCACCAACTGATAAAAGATAATGTACATGATAATGTTTCTGGCTGATTGTTACAACCTATCACAGTGTTTCCTTTGAACACTAAACCATCTCCTCTGTACAGTGCCTGTTTCTTTACACTACATAGTTTCTTTCGCACATTACAATGTTGTCTACTATATTCTACAACAATGAGCCCTCCCTCTTACTCCATGACAAGTTTCTCCTCCAAGCTGGCGCGAGACAGGGGAGAGTACTGCCCCATGAAGCCCTCGCCTTCCACCACCAGCAGCCCTTCATCTGCCTTCATCACTACAAGGTCAGGGGTCGCCACCCCAAGGTCATCCTCCTCCTTTCGTGGACTTGCTGCAATATAATCAGCAGAATGGAAGAACAATTTCAAACAATTAAATGACCAAGTATTTGATCTACATCCATTTTCAATCAGTGTGATCACAAAGGTGTAAGATCCAACTTTGACAGTCGAAACTAGCACACGTTTTCTGCTATGACCTTTCTTTCGGCACTCAGACTTTAACTTGCTTTGTGAGCAAAACTATTGTGACTATTGTCATTTTGTAAACCGACTTACAATGTTTCGGAAGACTGGGCAGTGGCTCAGGGTCTTCCGGTTGGCTAGGGTCAAGGCTGGTTTCCTTCTCTGTGACCTCTATCTCTGACCCTTCACCTTGAGAGTCCTTCTCTGAGACAGTAGCGAGTGTCTGGCTGCGTGTCTCCTGCCGGACGGAGCTGACCTGGGAGGTCCCTGCTACGCTCTTGGCACTGATTTTACTACCATCAGTCAAGGAGCTGGGTCTACAACAAACACACGCAATCAGATACATTCCATTTGGCCTGGGAAGACAAATATACAATCACTATCTTATATTAGTCATAATATACCTCAACTTGTCCCAAAGACATGTGCACATACTAAGGGACACAACAGGTTCATACTGTAAAGGACATCCTCTTGTATTTAGCATATTGTTACTCTCGATTGTGGGAAGTATTCCAAATCCCAGCTTTGTCACTGAAGGAACATTACCAACTCTGAGTAGGGTCACCCAAGAAATCACATATATTGCAAGCAGGTCAACCATCATCATCGACATCATCATTCTCGGCACATCCCTCCTATAACGCACTGTTAACTACAAGCACCAAGAACTGGGTACCAGTGCCATCCTGAACCAATTTGTGCCCCAGCAGATGAAGCTAGACTTGCAGAACAGTAAGATGAAGCTAGACTTGCAGAACTGTAAACTCCTTATCTCAACAGCCTTCAATGGACTTTCCTTCACAAACTATGATACTTCTGGAATCCTTTTCAAAGGGATTGTTACATCAAATATTATTCACTTATGCCAGAAACAATTTGAGATCTGTATTTTTATTCTCAGTCAAAATATTTTAAAAAGTGAAAGTGAAAGAAATCACAGAGAGACTCCAACAGCTTCACAAATAAGAGCCTGGGAATTGGGAATCATGGGCTACTGTAAACCCTTTCAGCATCTGACACTACCAGACTTGCCCCTGTTCAGTATCTTCAAGACAGCTCATGTAAAGTCTAATGTGAGTTGTTGTGGGCTGGCTCTGGCCTGTCCACTGTATTCCCCAGGTGCAGCAAGTGTAAGTGTACGTACTTGGCATCGCTGGGTCTGTGAATGCTGTCGTATGACTTGGCAGCAGGGTCTGTCTCCTCTGTGATGTCATGTTCCGGCACAGACCCATCCATTGGTACAGCCTTGGCACACAGAACACTCGGGATGCCACGCAGGGTGGATGTGAGCACCTTCTGGAAACGCTCCTTAGATGGGGACAAACCTAAGACCTCTGGAACATAAATAGAGGTATATTGAAACAATTGTTGCCATAGTTACCAACGAGTCACCTTAGTGAGTGAGTTTAGTTTTACGCCGCACTCAGCAATATTCCAACTATATGGCAACGATCTGTAAATAATTGAGTCTGGACCAGACAATCCAGTGATCAACAGCATGAGCATCGATCTGCACAATTGGGAACCGATGCCATGTGTCAACCAAGTCAACGAGGCTGACCACCCGATCCCGTTAGTCACCTCTTACGACAAGCATGGGTTACTGAAGGCACATTCTAACCCAGACCTTCACGGGTTACAAGTCACCTTAAGAATGTTTGAAGTGTTATATCTATTTCACTCAATGCAGTACAATATTTGATCATGTATTTATGTTGTATTGTGCATAGTCTCGGTCCAAGTGACCTGTGAAGATCCTAGTTAGAATTGATCTTCAGTAACCCATGCTTGTCATAAGAGGCGACTAACGGGATCAGGTGGTCAGGCTCGCTGACTTAATTGACACATGTCATCGTATCCCAATTGCGTAGAACAGTGCTCATGATGTTGATAACTGGACTGTCTAGTCCAGACTCGATTATTTATAGTCAGCAGTCATATAGCTGGAATATTGCTGAGTGTGACGTTAAACAACAAACCAAACCAACCTCTGTTCAAGTTCTCACCATGTTTTGTGAAGATGAGGTTGGCCTTGAAGAATCCATCCCTTGGTGCATCAGTGATGCAAAGCACCTTCTCCACGAAGCTGATGACCTGTGTTTTGGTCACATGGAACATGTGCTCCACAATCAGCTGGTCCACCAGCTTCACAAAGTTACCCAGGCGTCTGCAACATGTAACATATGTTATATTTTGGGATTACACTTTCTTAGTAAAGTACAGATTCTTGTACTTTTGTGGGGTTGAGTCCCATCCAGGATTCGAACCCACACCCTCAGAGTCTACATGGCATTGTGTAGTCTGCAACATGCATCACAATGAAACAGTTAACAATCAGCCAGGGTACAGCTGACAGTGGTTGACAGTACTAATGGTATAATGTCAACTTCACACTTTGTGTCTACACAATCTTCATCAGTTTGCTGTCACAGCACGGACAACTGGGATGCGGGAACTACACAGCCTACATGACGTGTGAACACCAGGACCCGGGTCAAACAAGAGCATAGTGGCAACATGGAACAAATTCACACATCAGTGGGTGGGGGTGACTGTTGCTTCAAAAAGTGTTGAGTGTGGACCTGAACTGATCAGATAATAAGTGCTGTTTCACATGCATATGAATATTATGAATGATCTTACCTCACACATAAATGACGCTTTCTGATTGGCTGAGCGCTCTTCTATTATTTTCAATGTACCCAGCTTAAAAGCGAGGTACATTTCAATGTACCCCACAGTCAATGGCAACTCATTTGGTACTTTGTATTAGTAATTCTTTATCTCGAATTACATTGAATCACGTATGATGTACGGAAATTACCGATGTTTTGAGAATGCAAATCGATGGAGGGGAGATAACTCTAAATCTGTTTTTCTTGTCGTCTGCAAAATCTAGAGATGGCTACAAAAAGATTTGTACCGGTGCTTAAAACAATTCAAAATTAACATTAAGGTGTTCGGTAAGATAAATACGTTGTTCACTGGTCCCTCGGGGCCCATGGGTTGATGTACCCTCGGGCTCAGGGAACATAAACAAATATCGAGGGTACATCAACCCATGCCCCCCTCGGGACCATTGAACAACTTATAATGTGACTTCGCCTCTGTCACAAGAGTCAACTGGTTGTTTTTGTCTTTCTAGCTTCTTTTTTTCAAAACCAAATAAACTCCCCACTATAGGGAATGATAGCATACCTATCTCTCATGAAATTCATGTGGAAAGTTCCTCGCCTAGGCATGAGGCTTCAGCATTAATTTCCCTCAGGAAAGATAAGGTGGCTGTGTGTTTCTGTAGGTGCATCTATACCTACCCTGTCTCACTCTTGGCGATGCAAAGGTTCTCCTCTCTCTGTTCCTTCTTGGTGCGCTGGAGATGCAGAGAATCCTTGGAGCTGCATCAGGAAGACAGCGTTATTCAGGCATCAACCAATGTTTATAGGAAATAATTCTCACATCATGTGTTTCATAAAGACTACAAATGTATTCAACTGCCCATTTAGACATTTCTTACAGGAATTAGTCAAGCAATATTTCATGACGATATTAACAAGCATCTAAATATGGCTGTTTTTTCCTTGGACCAGAGATCATAAAACAGCAATGTCCTTTTCTCCTCCTTCCCTGTCAGGGGATGCAACTACTCACAAGAATGTCTTCTTCTTGACCTGTTCCTCACAGTAACGCAGCTTCTTGAACGACTCCTCTGCTGTCACCTCCACCACCATCTTGCAGTAGCTGCAACATCCACAACAAACTCAACACGAGGAATATTCTGCTGGCCCAAATTGTCAGAATTGTTGAATTAAACTAACAAACAATATTACAACAGTCTCTTGTTCCATGTCAAGGAACCAAGTTGATAGTAGGTGAAGAGAGGAGTAGTGACAGCCTTTACACTTGTTAATTTCACCCATCCAACAAGGCGTTTTTGAGATCAGTAAACAATCAAAAGGACTCATCTAGGTTCATAAATCTAAAATTTTACACACTTTTATTCCACCAGCTAAATTGATAGTTTCGTTATCCATTATTACTTTGTATCGGGGATATGTCTAGCTGAAAGGTTTCCGTGATACAGAGCAAATGGGGTAAATTAAAATGAAATGCAATTTCTATGCTAAGAAAATATGGTAAATCTAAATGAACATGTCAATAATACAAGTTGTAACTAGTAGTTTTCACCAGCTGACCTGAAGAATCTCTCCAAGAGTTTATCAGCCTGGATATTCTTGTAGTTGATGCTGTTCTCATACTCCCCCAGCTGGTAGGTTTTGCTGAAGCACAGGATGAGATACATGGACTTTTCACTTGATTGGAAGATTGGCAAAGTGATGCTTTTCTTTTAAAAAACAACAGTGAATCTGCATCTATTTTCAAAATTATCAATAACAATTGACCCCGCTTAATGGACATCAACTTCTCTAATAATGTCAGGCACACATTGTTTGTTGTAATGTAGTGACTCTTCATTCACCTGAAACTGATAATTGTGTTTGTACTACTAAATGTAGATGTAACATGTAACTTGGGTGTTTTCATATTCCAATACAAGATAGGCAGGTATAGACTGTAACTCAACATTTAGTTTTACCACTTGGTGATGACATTAAGTTTGATATACCTAATTCCCCAGTCTTGAAATTAAAAGCACTTACTCTGTTTCAAAAGGTAAGAAGTTTATCGTGATCACTTCTTTCAGCAATCTGCAAATAAAAAAGTCGGAGTAGACTTCACAATTGTGTGTGTGTGCCATGTGAGGGTTGAACTTGCTTGACATACCAAATCTCAGCAACACATCACACAGTGAAGACTGTTCATTGCTAAGGAACAGAACATGTGTCTGGAATCCCAGGCTCGTAAATGATTGTGTAATAAAGGTATTCGGACGCCATCATTGTTGTGAAATGTTAGTTGTTAGAGTTAATGAAATGAGTTTTTCAGTTGAGCAAGGTGAAAGATGTGGCCTGGCTGATTGTGTGCTTCATCACGCCTCCATGTCAGCTGGGTCAGTGAATGTTGTTGTAGCCACATTTGTCGGCCATTGACCACATACAACAAGCAGGGTTATACATTGTTCAACCAATAATCATTACAGTAAGCTCTGAGAACAAGCATGGAGTACTGCACACACTCTGACTCAAAGGATCACTACTACCGAGGATCACTAGTACCAAATTTCACAACCACCAAGGATCACTACTACTAACAAGGATCACTACCACCAAGGATAAAAAATACTACCAAGGATCACTACCACTAAGGGTCAGTACTACTACCAAGGGCCAGCACTACCACCAAGGGTCACTATTACCAAGGGTCACTACTACCAAGGTCACTACCACCAAGGGACACTATTACCAAGGATCACTACTACCAAGGGTCACTATTACCATGGATGACTACTACCAAGGGTCACTATTACCAAGGTCACTATTAGCAAGGGTCACTATTACCATGGATCACTACTACCAAGGGTCACTATTACCAAGGATCACTACTACCAAGGGTCACTATTACCAAGGTCACTACCACCAAGGGTCACTATTACCAAGGGTCACTATTACCATGGATCACTACTACCAAGGGTCACTATTACCAAGGATCACTACTACCAAGGGTCACTATTACCAAGGTCACTACCACCAAGGGTCACTTCAGGGTCACTACCACCAAGGGTCACTATTACCAAGGGTCACTATTACCATGGATCACTACTACCAAGGTCACTATTACCAAGGGTCAATATTACCATGGATCACTATTACCAAGGGTCACGACTATCAAGGGTCACTATTACCAAGGATCACTACCACTAAGGGTCAGTACTACTACCAAGGATCACTACCAAGGATCACTACCACCAGGGATCACTATTACCAAGGGTCACACCAAGGACCACTATTACCAAGGATCACTACTACCAAGGGTCACTACTACCAAGGGTCACTACTACCAAGGATCACTATTACCAAGGGTCACCAAGGGTCACTTTTACCAAGGATCACTACCACTAAGGGTCAGTACTACTACCAAGGATCACTACCACTAAGGGCCAGTACTACTACCAAGGACCACTACCACCAAGGATCACTACTACCAAGGACCACTACCACCAAGGGTCACTATTACCAAGGGTCACTACTACCAAGGTCACTACCACCAAGGGTCACTATTACCAAGGATCACTACTACCAAGGGTCACTACTACCAAGGGTCACTACTACCAAGGGTCACTATTACCAAGGGTCACTACTACCAAGGGTCACTACCACCAAGGGTCACTATTACCAAGGATCACTACTACCAAGGGTCACTATTACCAAGGGTCACTACTACCAAGGGTCACTATTACCAAGGGTCACTTTTACCAAGGGTCACTATTACCAAGGGTCACTATTACCAAGGGTCACTATTACCAAGGGTCACTACTACCAAGGGTCACTATTACCAAGGATCACTACTACCAAGGGTCACTATTACCATGGATCACTACTACCAAGGGTCACTATTACCAAGGGTCACTATTACCAAGGGTCACTATTACCAAGGTCACTACCACCAAGGGTCACTATTACCAAGGGTCACTATTACCAAGGGTCACTACCACCAAGGGTCACTATTACCAAGGGTCACTACTACCAAGGTCACTACCACCAAGGTCACTATTACCAAGGGTCACTATTACCAAGGATCACTATTACCAAGGGTCACTATTACCAAGGGTCACTATTACCAAGGGTCACTACTACCAAGGGTCACTATTACCAAGGTCACTACCACCAAGGGTCACTATTACCAAGGGTCACTATTACCAAGGGTCACTATTACCAAGGGTCACTATTACCAAGGGTCACTATTACCAAGGTCACTACCACCAAGGGTCACTATTACCAAGGGTCACTACTACCATGGTCACTACTACCAAGGGTCACTACTACCAAGGATCACTACCACCAAGGATCACTATTACCAAGGATCACTACTACCAAGGTCACTACCACCAAGGATCACTACTACCAAGGATCACTACTACCAAGGGTCACTATTACCAAGGGTCACTACTACCAAGGGTCACACCTCACTATTACCAAGGGTCACTACTACCAAGGGTCACTATTACCAAGGATCACTACCACCAAGGGTCACTACTACCAAGGATCACTACCACCAAGGGTCACTACCACCAAGGGATCACTACTACCAAGGGTCACATGGATCACTACTACCAAAGGATCACTATCACCAAGGGCACTACCACCAAGGCTCACTATTACCAAGGGTCACTATTACCAAGGTCACTACCACCAAGGGTCACTATAACGTGGATCACTACTACCAAGGATCACTATAACATGGATCACTATTACAAAGGGTCACTATAAATGGATGAGTACTACCAAGGATCACTATAACATGGATCACTACTACCAAGGGTCACTACTACCAATGATCACTATAACATGGATCAATATAACATGGTTCACTACTATCAGGGGTCACTATAACATGGATCACTGCTACCAAGGATCACTTCTAGCATGGATCACTTCTGCCAAAGATCATTAATACCCTTTACTGTGTTTTTTTAACATCAACTATGGGTGCATCCGCATAAACTTGTTCTATAAACTTGTTTTGAAGGTGCATGAACCTTAGATGTTGATAGTGCCCTGTTAAATATAGTTGGGGAAATGATTTCTTACACCTCAAGCCATGAATTTAAGATTTACCTTGACACCTGGAGAAGGCCTGCCCCAAATGCTGGAATGTTGTGAAGGAGGCTGTTGGCAACCATCTCCTGTCTCCGCAGGTAGTCAAGGTATAACTTGTTGGCACGCCATCTGAAGTTTACAGAAAGCAGACACAAAATAAAAACATTACTTTCTGGGATACTGATGAACAAAAAACAAGGAAACACAAATAATACAGCTTGTTTTAACTCAATCTTTTCTTCTTTCACATTACTCCTGTTACATTCATGAAACATTTAAAAAAACTGCAGGTTATTGTACAATAAAACATGCTTCCTGCCAACAAAACACACTTTCAATGAACAAAACATGCTTCCTGCCTACAAAACACACTTTCCACCAACCCATGAACAAAACACACTTCCTGCCAACCCACTTGCCAGGCACATTTCTTTCCAACAAAACATGTCATTGGGTCTAATGTTAATATGTATCCAAGGTGTTCTGTTTCATCATTACACTCAAAATGTTATGCTATACACATGCTTCCCTTTTCTTTAATTCTTTCATCAGTATTCATGGTATACTTACTCTGCACAGATGGAGTTAGGGAAGGCATCTGCTTACCTAGCAAACATTTTCTTGATGAGATAGTTCTTGAAGAAAGGTATTGATGATAGGGCCTTCCATAACACAGCCTCTCTCTGCCACTCCCCCAGGGTCAGGCTCTCGTTGGGCTGGTGTTCATACACATGGAGAACGCCAAAGGTGGAGAACACATAGTGTTCACTGTTGGCCTGCAATCACAACACCATCTCTCTTAACTTCTAAGATGCTTCGGTGAAAGATCAAAGGCACCGACAGTACTTTATCAGACGATAATGTGCCATTCTAGTGTGCCCCCTTGTAATCGAACAAATTTGCATTACGTCACAATGTAACCGACATTACGATGCATGTCAGTTGTCATCGCCTCGTACAGCCTCCTACAGTAAACTACTACGTTGCATCCCGTTTCTTGGTTTGCAGTTGCTTCACGCAGTTAACGTCACTGGTGGAAACATTATGTTCATGTTTTCCAACATTTAAAATGTCTCAATTCGACTCACAAGTTTTCAGCGACACGGTAACGTTCGCAATGTTTACATTCCCACAATGCAATCGTGGAACGTCGCTTGACTACTCAGCTTCGTCGGGATGTACTGATCTAAACTTACGTTGGTAGTAGAAATGCGACGTTCATATGGTTTACATTAATCACAGATGTAATTAAAATCATTTAGAGAAGATATTTAATCCGAACGTAAACCGTCATGAAACTGTTCATCATTTGTTTTTCTGGTAACGTTCGTCTTAACGTAGGGGGGAAGACACATCAATAGAACAGCGCGCCAGTTAGCCATGTGCACGGATTCTTAATTTAGGTCACCGACACCGTCGATTGTTTTCTGCCTTAGATTAATCGTAATTATCCTTAGAAAGTTTTAAATTTGGCATCTTAGAAAAGAAATACAGTTCGCTCTACCACCATGTATAGTGTAATAAAGCACACTTTTGCCCTGAACTATTGTAACGTTAAAGCACGAGGACGCTTGCTACCACCATGTATAGTGTAATAAAGCACACTTTCGCCCTGAAATATTATAACGTTAAAGCATGAGGATGCTTGCTACCACCATGTATAGTGTAATAAAGCACACTTTCGCCCTGAAATATTATAACGTTAAAGCATGAGGATGGTGGTAGAGCAAACTGTATTTCTTAAATAGAACCACCTTGTCAACTTCAAGTCCTAGACCATTGGTAGGTTGATGGTGGTTGTATATCATGGTACTGAGTGTGTTGGGACTATAAAGATAGAAGGATATATTCTGATATCCTTATAAAACATTATAGTTCGGCAGCTTGCTGGTATACATGCACAATGTCTTACCGAAGTGCTGCAAGTCTTAAATGATTCACTCAATCCACTTTCGTGGAACCCAAGAGCATAGCTTATAATGAAGCAGATAATCCAACATCAGTAATCAAATCTGGGACTTAAACCAAATATCATAGTCGGCTAGAATGCCTAAGGGAGGCAACTCTGCGAATAGTTTGCAGCAACAACCATTGTAAAACAAGATCATTACTGTCTCTGGTTAAGGATTGAAAATTATCTTATATTATAACTCAACTCATAAACCATAAAGCTAATGAGCACTAGCTTTTTCTTACCTTGTTTTTCTGCACAGAGATAAGATCGTAGGGTCTGTAGTGCCTATTAGGTGCTAAATTTAAGTGGATTGACTTGATTTTGCCAATATGATGACATCTGGCAAAATATTCCACTGCCTCTCGGCCATTCATAGTTGGGATATACTCTTCCTGGAAGAACAATGACAACATGCAGGACTGAACTGAAGACTAATCAAAAACAACAATGATGTTATACAAGTTGAGACCATACCATAACGGTAATATACCAGTCTAGGTATTACCTAACTCATCTCCTCCAAACTGACTGAACCCATGAAGATCCTGGTTAGAATTGGTCTTCAGTAACCCATGTTTGTCGTAAAAGGCGACTAACAAGATCGGGTGGTCAGGCTCGCTGACTTGGTTAACACATGTCATTGTATCCCAATTGTGTAGATTGATAGTCATGCTGTTGATCACTGGATTGTCTGGTCGAGACTCGATTATTTACAGACCACCGCCATACAGCTGGAATATTGCTGAGTGTGGCGTAAAACATCAACAGACAAATAAACAACCTAACTGACTGGAAACATTCATCGAACATGCAACACAGTAGGAAATATGATTTCATGTTTGTTTTGCCTGCTCTTAGATTCACAAGGTGCAGAAGTGTTTCCAGTTCCATCTCAAGGTAAGTATTGTAGCAATAAAAACTTTGCATAAGGTGGAGAAAAGACATCCCCAATCCTGCCATTGCACACTCTACAAGTGAGATTGTTCTGACCTGTATTGACTGTATGACATCTTTACGTCATGGCGTCTTCTTCTCGCTATCCCGCGGCGAGGTCACGCTCTGGGACACTGACCATGACCTGGAGGTACTCGGTGGTGATGGTGATTTGGGCTGGAATATTTGAGGTTTGATGTTGCTTGTCATATAATGCTTCGCTCACAACTGAGCTGACATGTATTTCAGGTCAGATAAGATGTAATAGCTAATTGACAAAAATTGCAAAATATCCTATTTGTCACATCTAACTTTATCAAGCTCTGTCATAAATTAATTATGCCACTGAGTCAGAATGCAAAAAGTTCAAGCATAAACTGATATAAACATAGATCACTAACAACATAATAAAAACATCATATTAACCATAACAGATAAAAAAATAAATTCAAGATTGTTAGCAAAGATATCAACAGTAACTGACTATTATAAGTGTGTCAACATTTGGCACTTACAAAATTTTGAAAAATAACGTGACAATATCAATAACATTAAAAACATGAATTATTGGGAAATTTGATAAATAATTTTAACATATACATTTGAATACACATCTGTACAATTCTTGTTTATATGATTATTTTACTAAATGAACTGTGAGCACTATGGAGGTGGAGACAGTACCTGCTGCGGTATGTGTGTGCTGAGTGCAAGTGCTGTGGTTCCCAGACAGTGGCTCCAGATGGACTCGCCTGCATGTTGTAGCAGAAGGTGATGCAGAGGAACACAACACAATAATTACAGGTAACTCAGACTGAAGGGGTCGCTGTCGGCATGGATATTACAGATTTGTACCCCGGGTACGTTTCTGTATACAGAATTGTACCCTCGTCAAAACCAGAATACAGAAACGTATTCCTATCTGCACTGTGTTGTTTTCATGATCAGAACTGTCATACTGTTGTATGAGATGTACTAGTATTTGATCATGTAATATAAGAAACTGCCATACACAGTAACGAATATTTTGCAATGCAAAATACCCCTCGCCATCAGTTGAACGGGAACAACAACATATGGTTTCCGTTATGGATTGCAGAATATGGACTGGTCCATACCTTTCTGTATTCTGATTTTGACTGAGGTATGATTCTGTACAGAGAAACGTACCTGGGGTACCTATGTGTAGTACCTGTGCCGACAACAACCCCTTCAACGTGACTTAGCAGCGCCAGTACTTGGCCAGACTGAAACCTTGTTAATCTGACCTGTGTCAGTGGCACTGTCCAGATTAGAAATCTCATAACTGCTGGGCCCTGTTTGACAAACTTATCTTAACGCCATGACAAATTAAGCCTGTGTTAAACTATGGGAGTTACGAGCATTACGATAAGATAATTTTGTGAGGCGGCCCTGTCACTGAAGCAGAAGATACATCGTCCCATAGTATACATTGGGAGTCAGGGTTAACGCCATGACAAAATAAGCCTGTGTTAGACTATGGGAGTTACGAGCATTACGATAAGATTATTTTGTGAAACGTCCCTGTCACTGAAGCAGTAGATACATCGTCCCATAGTTATACATTGGGAGTCAGGGTTTCTTGTTTTAACAGGGACAAGATTAACAGGGTTCCACTGTATACAACATTAAACACTATGAAAACAAGGCAACTGCAGACAAATATAATAAACTAAATCAAATCGATTTGCATGAAATATCACAGATCAGGTGTCCTGGAATCTGAGCATTTGCAACCTAAATCACACTGTACAGTGACTGAAACTAAGTGACTTGGTTTAACCAGTGACATGACTAGGTAACCAGTGACATGACTAGGTAACCAGTGACATGACTAGGGTAACCAGTGACATGACTAGGTAACCAAAGACATGACTAGGTAACCAGTGACATGACTAGGTAACCAGTGACATGACTTGGTTTAACCAGTGACATGACTAGGTAACCAGTGACATGACTAGGTAACCAGTGACATGACTAGGTAACCAGTGACGGTGATAAAATTGAAGTTAAAACAAATAAAAATGCATGGATAATAAGATGCAGAAACAAAGTTGCATAAACTGAGTGACATGTCTACAATGTGTTCAGCAATATCCCATGGAAATCAGATTTGGTGATGCAAAGGAAGAACTTGGAACCCATGTACCTGATTTCATCAGGGTCTTCAACCTGAGGGCAATGTTTTATTTCAGAATGAATTAAATTTGATGACATATTCAATCATCATCTCAGTAATAATTCATTATATTGCTGAACAATACAGAGTCGTTCCCCTTGACTTACGTGCTGCCATCTCCAAGGCAACGTCTCCCAGCGAGTGTCCAAGGTCTCCTATGGTCAGCTTCTGTGAGGGCAGCATCTCTTCCTCATTCTGAAGATATTCCACATATAACCTATGATATAACAGTGCAACTACATGAAATCCACATCCTACATGTTATAACACTGCATGTACAATAATTCTCATCGTACATGTTATAACACCACAAGTACATGGAATCACATGCCACATGTTATAACACCACAGGTACATGGAATCCACATGCCACATGTTATAATACTGCAACTACATGGAATCCACATCCTACATGTTATAACACCACAAGTACATGGAATCAACATCCTACATGTTATAACACTGCAAGTACATGGAATCCACATGCCACATGTAAAATAGTGCAACTACATGGAATCCACATGCCACATTATAACACTGCTACTACATGGAATCCACATGCCACATTATAACACTGAAACTACGTGGAATCCACATGCTACATGTAAAATAGTGCATTTACATGGAATCCACATGCCCCATTATAACACTGCTACTTACTACGTGGAATCCACGTGCTACATGTAAAATAGTGCAACGACATGGAATCCACACGCCACACATAAAATAGTGCAACTACATGGAATCCACATGCCACATATAAAATAGTGCAACTACATGGAATCCACATGCCACATTATAACACTGCAACTACGTAGAATCCACATGCTACATGTTATAACACTGCAACTACATGGAATCCACATGCTACATGTTATAACACTGCAACTACATGGAATCCACATGCTACATATAAAATAGTGCAACTACATGGAATCCACATGCTACATGTTATAACACTGCAACTACATGGAATCCACATGCTACATATAAAATAGTGCAACTACATGGAATCCACATGCCACATTATAACACTGCAACTACGTAGAATCCACATGCTACATGTAAAATAGTGCAACTACATGGAATCCACATGTTACATGTTATAACATTGCAACTACGTGGAATCCACATGCCACATATTAAATAGTGCAACTACATGGAATCCACATGCTACATGTTATAACACTGCAACTACATGGAATCCACATGCCACATATAAAATAGTGCAACTAAATGGAATCCACATGCCACATTATAACACTGCAACTACATGGAATCCACATGCTACATTATAACACTGCAACTACATGGAATCCACATGCTACTTGTAAAATAGTTCAACTACATGGAATCCACATGCTACATGTTATAACACTGCAACTACATGGAATCCACATGCCACATATAAAATAGTGCAACTACATGGAATCCACATGCCACATTATAACACTGCAACTACGCAGAATCCACATGCTACATGTAAAATAGTGCAACTACATGGAATCCACATGCCACATTATAAAACTGCAACTACATGGAATCCACATGCTACATGTAAAATAGTGCAACTACATGGAATCCACATGCTACATGTTATAACACTGTAACTACATGGAATCCACATGCCACATATTAAATAGTGCAACTACATGGAATCCACATGCCACATTATAACACTGCAACTACATGGAATCCACATGCCACATATAACACTGCAACTACGTAGAATCCATATGCCACATATTAAATAGTGCAACTACGTGGAATCCACATGCCACATATAACACTGCAACTACGTGGAATCCACATACCACATATAACACTGCAACTACGTGGAATCCACATGCTACATATAAAATAGTGCAACTACGTGGAATCCACATGCCACATATAACACTGCAACTACGTGGAATCCATATGTCACATATTAAATAGTGCAACTACATGGAATCGACATGTTACATGTTATAACACTGCAACTACATGGAATCCACATGCCACATTATAACACTGCAACTACATGGAATCCACATGCGACATGTAAAATAGTGCAACTACATGGAATCCACATGCCACATTATAAAACTGCAACTACATGGAATCCACATGATAATGTTAAAACACTGCAACTACATGGAATCCACATGATAATGTTATAACACTGCAACTACATGGAATTCACACGCTATATACAGTACAGTACACATAATCCACATGCAGCATGTAATGGACCCGATGAGCAATGTGTTATATCAGGGCAACTACAGTACACATAATCCACATGCAGCATGTAATGGACCCGATGAGCAATGTGTTATATCAGGGCAACTACAGTTCACATAATCCACATGCAGCATGTAATGGACCCGATGAGCAATGTGTTATATCAGGGCAACTACAGTTCACATAATCCACATGCAGCATGCTAACAAATGTTATAAAGGAGCAAATACAAGGAATCCGCATACAATGTGTTATAACATTGCAGCTAAAATGAGTAAACATGTTATAACACTGGAGTTACAATGAATCAACATGCAAGTAGTTATAACACTGGAGTTACAATGAATCAACATGCAAGTAGTTATAAAACTGAAGTTACAATGAATCAACATGCAAGTAGTTATAACACTGCAATTACAAGGAATCTGCTTACAACATATGTTATTACATCTCAAATGGAATCAAAGCATTTTCTGAAACTTTTCTTGACACCAATACTATCAGTGACGTCAAACAATAGTCAGCATTCAGTTTGCTAAATAAATATGGGCAACTGAAGATCAGTAGTAACCTTGATTTCCGTAGGCTTCATTTATTAGAATCATAACTGGGAATACAAATTTAAAGCATATGTAGAAGCAATGTTAAGTTGACTGATTGTTTAATATTCCTTTGTACTGGTGACATTCATGTTCCAGACACTGCTGCAGTGACTGCATCCCTACTTTCTGTTACATTCATGAAGGTTTTGTCATATTAGCCTCTCCATCCTTGAAACACACTACTGTTCTACAGAACCAGTGTACCAATACCTTACCCTCACACAATTAACATTGGATATAAAATATTGGAAAAAGTACTGGTATCTTCTTTCACAAGTCTTGGTTTTGGTTCTAGTCACGAATCCGCAAATCACGAAAACAAAAGTTACTGACCACACAAAGAACAGTCTATGAATCACTCACAAGCACACGTGTTGAGTATGGGTTGGTGCCGTCTGGCAGTCTCAGTTTGACAACGCTGCTTGATGACTTCCTGGGTGAGTGAGGGACAGATTTGACACCGGGACTACAATACAACTTGGCAGGGAAGGCACCACGACGACGCAGTAGCTCAATTTCCTGTCATACAACATACAGTGGTTAACAAAGTTGCAATTTTTGCTCCATCCAATGTAATTACTGAAATTAAATAATAAATCCAACACAAAGATTGAATTCAGTTCACCTGCATGATATACCCATTGATCCCAGACACAGGCACACAGTACTTTACTATTCATCTGCATGATATAACCATTGATCCCAGACACAGGCACACAGTACTTTACTATTCATCTGCATGATATAACCATTGATCCCAGACACAGTACTTTACTATTCATCTGCATGATATAACCATTGATCCCAGACATAGGCACACAGTACTTTACTATTCATCTGCATGATATAACCATTGATCCCAGACACAGGCACACAGTACTTTACTATTCATCTGCATGATATAACCATTGATCCCAGACACAGGCACACAGTACTTTACTATTCATCTGCATGATATAACCATTGATCCCAGACACAGTACTTTACTATTCATCTGCATGATATAACCATTGATCCCAGACACAGGCACACAGTACTTTACTATTCATCTGCATGATATAACCATTGATCCCAGACACAGGCACACAGTACTTTATTTTTCATCTGCATGATATAACCATTGATCCCAGACACAGGCACACAGTACTTTACTATTCATCTGCATGATATAACCATTGATCCCAGGCACAGGCACACAGTACTTTACTATTCATCTGCATGATATAACCATTGATCCCAGACACAGGCACGCAGTACTTTACTATTCTGAATGTTATGAGCACTTTCTGCTATTTGTTGTTCTCAAAACATAGTTTTGATACCTTGTATTAATATTCAGAAACAAATAGAATAAGTGACCTGAAAAAATAATAATATTTCAACAAAATTCTGACACACTTTAAATGGGTCTTGTAACAGAGGACCTACCTCATGGCTGACAGATAATGCAACAGAGGACCTACCTCGAGGCTGACAGATAATGCAACACAGGACCTACCTCAAGGCTGACAGATAATGCAACAGAGGACCTACCTCAAGGCTGTCAGATATTGCAACAGAGGACCTACTTCATGGCTGTCAGATAATGTAACAGAGGACCTACCTCAAGGCTGACAGATGCAACAGAGGACCTACCTCATGGCTGACTTTAGACAGATAATGTAACAGAGGACCTACCTCAAGGCTGAAAGATAATGGAACAGAGGACCTACCTCGTGGCTGACTTTAGACAGATAATGCAACAGAGGACCTACCTCAAGGCTGACAGATAATGCAACAGGGGACCTACCTTAGAAACATCCTTTGATAGATCATGCCATAAAAGACCTATCTTATAGGGGAGAGTCAGAGTATGTAGCAGAGCACCTACCTCAGGGAAGACCTTGGACAGAGCATCAACTAACTGAAGATCAAAGAACCTCTCCTTGTGGGACTCAACATGGCTGACGATGCGCTCCAGGTAGTGGTGGAACTGTGTATATAGAAATATTGTTGAAGACAGAACAAGTAAGATGATCAATGTTTAAAGTAAGTCGTAGAAAGAAGTTAGAAGATAGAAGAATTATTTAAAATCGGCTGAAAGAAAAATTGAATGAACAGTTAAATTGCAGAAATGTTCCTGCACTTCCCCAGTGGTGATGATGTTTCTCATATGACAGTCAGTGATTGTTCTATGTGTGTAGGTTATTGACAGTAAAAGCAAGACGTCTGACTGTGTCTCCCAGTAGCGGAGATATGCCCTATACGCCAGTCAGTGATTGTTCTATGTGTGTAGGATAGTGACAGTAAAAGCAAGACCTCTGACTGTGTCTCCCAGTAGCAGAGATGTGCCCTATACGACAGTCAGTGATTGTTCTATGTGTGTAGGATAGTGACAGTAAAAGCAAGACCTCTGACTGTGTCTCCCTGTAGCAGAGATGTGCCCTATACGACAGTCAGTGATTGTTCTATGTGTGTAGGATAGTGACAGTAAATCCAAGACCTCTGACTGTGCCTCCCAGTAGCGGAGATGTTCCCTGTATGACAGTCAGTGATTGTTCTATGTGTGTAGAATAGTGACAGTAAAACCAAGACCTCTGACTGTGCCTCCCAGTAGCGGAGATGTGCCCTATACGACAGTCAGTGATGGTTCTATGTGCGTAGGATACTGACAGTAAAAGCAAGACCTCTGACTGTGTCTCCCAGTAGCGGAGATGTGCCCTATACGACAGTCAGTGATGGTTCTATGTGTGTAGAATAGTGACAGTAAAAGCAAGACCTCTGACTGTGTCTCCCAGTAGCGGAGATGTTCCCTGTATGACGGCAACAGTTCCAGCACCTCCTGCAGGAAGATCCAGGACATCCGACTGAAACAAACAAGGACATTATACATATGTCAAGAAGAAATACCAAGATGTGCTACCAATATACCAAATGTGATACCCCTGGCAAAGTGTGTCATGAATCCCTGATGTGTCAATGTACAATGAATATAAACGTTACAATCCAATAAGTGATACTGACATATCGAGCTCTTAAACTAAATTCACATAATATTTACCGAACTTAGTTATAACCAAACTGGGGTTAACACCATCTTACTCCTCATCACAAAACAAAAAGCTAATCTGACTGCATGATACTATTACAAGCCTAAATTAACCAGTGATGTAAATTGAAACACAAATCAACTGAGAGCAAAGTATGTATAGGTGTGTGTGTATGTGTGTCACTGTTTGTGCATGTGTGCGTGTGTGTAGTTCAAATAAATAGTAAATAGCTGATTTTTTACTCAGTTGTGCAATTAGATTTATATTCAATTTTCTAATACTAAACTATGTCTTATCTGTGTGCCTCAACAAAGAACTGAACAGTCTTTAGTTTACAGTTGGGAGTATTAAGATTTTGTTTATCAAATTTTCTCACAGTAATAATGTTAAAATTTAATTAAACAAAATTGGAAGCATGTGATAAATAGAATATTTCATGTGTCTAGTGAAGTATGTTGCATCACTTATCTCATGATGTAAAGAATGTCAATATTTTCACGTCACTGGATGACATCCTAACTCACTCATGAATGAGTGTGTGTTCAGTTTTACACTGCTTTGAGTAATATTCCAGCAATATCACGGCAGGGAACACCAGAAATGGGCTTCATGCATTGTACCCATGTGGGGAATCGAACCCGGGTCTTCGGTGAGATGAGCGAACGCTTTAACCACTAGGGTACCCCATTGCCCCACAAGACACATGAAATGTCCTCTATAACTATACCTGGACACAATAACAACATCAACACTCAGTTATATCAAGCTACACCTGGTGTCCTATGTCAGCAGTCACCTATCCTGCTGGACACCTTGTGACTATGCCAGGACACCAGTAACTACAGGGATATTCATACAACACCTGGTGTCCTATGACAACATGCTATGAAATATGAAAACGGTCATCTGTGCTGTCCAATACTGTGTGACTATACCAGGACACCAGTAACTAAAGGGACATTCATCTGTCGTTCAACACCGGGTGTCCTATGTCAGGACACCATCAACTAAGGAACACCCACCTGTCCTGCTGGAGGGAGCATATGATGACTTGGATAAGTTCATGTTTTAAACATGCAACATCCTCTTCATCAACATCGTGATCCTCCTCTTTACTGTCATCAATTCTGAAATGGTATGATTAAGTCAGCATGGTAAAAAACAATTTACGATAATCACTTACATACACTTTCGCCATATGCTTGAACATCTTATGCTTGAACATTGATGTGTTGAAATGGAAGTTATTCACAAAGCATCTAACCATGAATTGATTACAAATACTAGGATACAGTAATCAACAAAAACAAATTTCATATTTAAAATCAACAAAACGAAAGAATGACAAAACTTCAAACTTCCACATCATATTTTGTCTGACATACAAGATTCCAGTGAAACACTTTGTGTTACCTTTTCCTGATATCAGCCGCCCATCCTAACGCTCTCTCCCCTGGGAGATGGTGCTTGTCCTGGTTGTACATCTGACACAAGGCTGCTCCGACCCTTGTTCAGTACTGGCAACTTGGCGGTCATGGAGGAGGATAGAGGATCGGCACACAACTCTACTTTTGCCATTTCTATATTGCTACTATTCACAGTTACCTATTGTGCCAACATTGTTCCCTTATTACCTGCAAGAAAATAATATGTTTCAGTGTCAGGTTAGCAACATGTTGTTAGGAAATCATTACTTCTTCTAAGTTATGAGGGTTTAGAAACACACATGCACAAAATATGCTTTAAATGGCATGACTTATTCTAATAGTTTATTTTTTAAGAACAAAAGTTGGGCATCTTTAAAGAATAACATGTCAATGTCATTTTAAACACTTGTTTGGAAAACATTATGGATTCTAAATAAAACGTTTGAAATATTTCTGGAGGCATAAACATGCTATAAATTACATTTCTTATCAAACCTGTTCTTAGCACCACTGACTCTTTCTTTTTTTTTAAAATGTGTCAATTTCAAGTTGGACACTGTTGTTAGGAAAACATTACATATTCTACATATGAACAGTTGAAACAATTCAAGCTGAATAAACATGCCTTAAATCACACAGTTCTGAATTGTGTTCATTAGCACAGTTTGTATCAAGTTTGATGCAGAAAAAAAAATCGATTGAATACACTAAAAAAATATAGGCCAATTCATAAACATGAAAAACATTTCAAATTAATATACTTTTACAAAAATGCACACATAAGATGATTTCCTGTCCTGAGAGGTATATCAACTCGTGAGTTTGTGAGTGAGTATGGTTTTATGCCGCTTTTAGCAATATTTCAGACCATCAGAAATGGGGTTCACACATTGTACTCATGTGGGGAATCAAACCTGGTTCTCCGACGTGACAAGCCAACGCTTTAACCACTAGGCTACCCCAACGCCCCACATCAACTCATGAAAGACAAGTCTACAATATATGTTTTACCATAAACCTCATTATACTGCATGTCTTTTATACATATGTGTTGGTCCTAAAACTGAAGTAATTTTGCATCTTTGTTTATTTTTCACATTCATAAAAATATTGCAAACAACAGAAAACAAACTCGAGTTCTTCTCCCTCGATGTCTATAATTTGGTACATGCCATACATATTTGGACAATGGAGTTATGCATAATAAATTCTTGATACAAAACAGTGGTAGGTTTGTTGCAAATGTAATGCCAACAGTTCAGCAATTCCAGTCAGGAACGTTAGAAATTGTTGTATATGTCAGTGGAGTACACTGATGATAATAGGACTCATCTCAATTATTTTAAATTTGACATTCATGCGTTTGTTCGTGTGTGTGTTTTATAATGAATTGAATCATGCCCCTTGACCAGGGGTCACACTAAAACGGATTGCAGTATGTTTAGATAATAAATGCGTCTACTCTGCCGACAGTGATTGGAAAGTTCGTCATTTGTTGATAAACGGATTGCAGTATGTTTAGATAATAAATGCGTCTACTCTGCCGACAGTGATTGGAAAGTTCGTCATTTGTTGATAAACGGATTGCAGTATGTTAAGATAATAAATGCGTCTACTCTGCCAACAGAGATTGGAAAGCTTGTCATAAGTTGATAAACGGATTGCAGTATGTTTAGATAATAAATGCGTCTACTCTGCCGACAGTGATTGGAAAGTTTGTCATTAGTTGATAAACGGATTGCAGTATGTTTAGATAATAAATGCGTCTACTGGATTGCAGTATGTTTAGATAATAAATGTGTCTACTCTGCCGACAGAGATTGGAAAGCTTGTCATTTGTTGATAAACGGATTGCAGTATGTTTAGATAATAAATGCGTCTACTCTGCCGACAGTGATTGGAAAGCTTGTCATAAGTTGATAAACGGATTGCAGTATGTTTAGATAATAAATGCGTCTACTCTGCCGACAGTGATTGGAAAGTTTGTCATTAGTTGATAAACGGATTGCAGTATGTTTAGATAATAAATGCATCTACTCTACTCTGCTAATCACAGTGATTGGAAAGTTTGTCATTTGTTGATAAACGGATTGCAGTATGTTTAGATAATAAATGCATCTACTCTGCCGACAGTGATTGGAAAGTTTGTCATTTGTTGATAAACGGATTGCAGTATGTTTAGATAATAAATGCATCTACTCTGCCGACAGTGATTGGAAAGTTTGTCATTTGTTGATAAACAGATTGCAGTATGTTTAGATAATAAATGAAAGTTTGTCATTTGTTGATCTACTCTGATAATAAATGCGTCTACAGTGATTGGAAAGTTTGTCATTAGTTGATAAACGGATTGCAGTATGTTTAGATAATAAATGCATCTACTCTGCCGACAGTGATTGGAAAGTTTGTCATTTGTTGATAAACGGATTGCAGTATGTTTAGATTAATAAATGGGTCTACTCTGCCGACAGTGATTGGAAAGTTTGTCATTTGTTGATAAACAGATTGCAGTATGTTTAGATAATAAATGGGTCTACTCTGCCGACAGTGATTGGAAAGTTTGTCATTTGTTGATAAACGGATTGCAGTATGTTTAGATAATAAATGCGTCTACTCTGCCGACAGTGATTGGAAAGTTTGTCATTTGTTGATAAACAGATTGCAGTATGTTTAGATAATAAATGGGTCTACTCTGCCGACAGTGATTGGAAAGTTTGTCATTAGTTGATAAACGGATTGCAGTATGTTTAGATAATAAATGCGTTGCAGCTAATTAGTTGATAAACGGATTGCAGTATGTTTAGATAATAAATGCCTCTACTCTGCCGACAGTGATTGGAAAGTTTGTCATTTGTTGATAAACGGATTGCAGTATGTTTAGATAATAAATGCGTCTACTCTGCCGACAGTGATTGGAAAGTTTGTCATTAGTTGATAAACGGATTGCAGTATGTTTAGATAATAAATGTCTACTCTGCCGACAGTGATTGGAAAGTTTGTCATTTGTTGATAAACGGATTGCAGTATGTTTAGATAATAAATGCATCTACTCTGCCGACAGTGATTCTGCATTAGTTGATAAACGGATTGCAGTATGTTTAGATAATAAATGCATCTAAATGCAGTATGTTTAGATCTTGGAAGTGATTGGAAAGTTTGTCATTTGTTGATAAACGGATTGCAGTATGTTTAGATAATAAATGCGTCTACTCTGCCGACAGTGATTGGAAAGTTTGTCATTAGTTGATAAACGGATTGCAGTATGTTTAGATAATAAATGTTTAGATTAATTTGTCATTAGTTGATAAACGGATTGCAGTATGTTTAGATAATAAATGCGTCTACTCTGCCGACAGTGATTGGAAAGTTTGTCATTTGTTGATAAACGGATTGCAGTATGTTTAGATAATAAATGCGTCTACTCTGCCGACAGTGATTGGAAAGTTTGTCATTTGTTGATAAACGGATTGCAGTATGTTTTAATAAAGATAATGGAAAGTTTGTCATTTGTTGATAAACGGATTGCTACTGGATTGCAGTATGTTTAGATAATAAATCATCTACTCTGCCATTGACAGATTGGAAAGCTTGTCTACTGGATTGCAGTATGTTTAGATAATAAATGCGTCTACTCTGCCGACAGTGATTGGAAAGTTTGTCATTTGTTGATAAACGGATTGCAGTATGTTTAGATAATAAATGCGTCTACTCTGCCAACAGAGATTGGAAAGTTTGTCATTTGTTGATAAACGGATTGCAGTATGTTTAGATAATAAATGCGTCTACTCTGCCGACAGTGATTGGAAAGCTTGTCATTAGTTGATAAACGGATTGCAGTATGTTTAGATAATAAATGCGTCTACTCTGCGGACAGTGATTGGAAAGTTTGTCATTTGTTGATAAACGGATTGCAGTATGTTTAGATAATAAATGCGTCTACTCTGCCGACAGAGATTGGAAAGTTTGTCATTAATCTAGTTTGTCATGTTGATAATCGGATTGCATTATGTTTAGATAATAAATGCATCTACTCTGCCGACAGTGATTGGAAAGTTTGTCATTAGTTGATAATCGGATTGCAGTATGTTTAGATAATAAATGCATCTACTCTGCCGACAGTGATTGGAAAGGCCATGCGGGTAAGTACAGATGACACTTCAGTTAACAGCAATCAGAGTGAGAGTGGAGGTATTCATCATGTTTGTTTAATAATTGGCAGTCACAGTAATTGAGTAGATTGTTAATTGGCCTTTAATTGAGTAGTGTATTAATTGGCCTGTAATTGTGTAATTGTTATATATTCTGCAGGTGTATGAAAATGTGAAATCATGTGTGTTGGTCAACAATGGCTGTAGTCCCTTCTTTGATTGCCTCTTTGGTGTACGACAAGTGATCTATGGTAGCAAATTAGGCATACCTATAAGTGAAAGACTGTCCATTTTGTATCATCCCAATTGTGGAAACAGAATACCATGTCTGTCTAGTGTGTCCATTTTATAATGACCTTAGAAGAAATTTCCTGCCAAGTTATTACTACAAATTTCCTTCAGAGTGTAAATGTAAACTTTTATTTACCACCAAAAATACTTCAATGAGTAGTAGTACAGTGGGGGCTCTGCCGAAGATGGTCTATCGAGAAGCATCCTTTGATGTGCCGCCAGCCTAGGCCCTAGTTGCTAAGCCAAACAAAATGGCAACCGAGCTTAGCAACGGGGTTTGGACTGGGTTTATACCGACCTACCCATTTAAATGTAGTCGTAATATTCAGTGATGGCTTTATGGAGTGGGTCTGCCATGAACTCGTCGAAGTGGATTAAGGAGTACGGGACATCACATTCTTGGGTCTCGAAGCTATAACCGATTAACGTATCCATGAGGCGTTGTAACTATTTGGTGCCCATGAGACCTAAACTATCGTACAGGCTAGTGAATTTCCCACGACTTATGACTCGACTCAGGGCAGCGTAAATATCGAGGCCATGGACGTCCACCCCGTCGCGTCTGAACAACCGTTTCTCGATCAATCTCCACATGCTGATAATGAGAGACATAAGACGAATCTTTAATAAGAAGGGGGGCAATACCATGTCATGAGGGACAATCATCAATTCCTCTCGGAAGAATCCCCTACCCGGTCCATCTTGCAAGTAATACAGATTCGGTTCGTCTTCTTTGATGTCCACTCGGTTGACGCAGTACGTTTTCATGGACCATAAGGGGTCTGTGGCACGCTGTTGTCCCCTCCTTCAAGTTCACCCGGCTGGTACAGATACCTCACGACAGCCCGGTCCGGTAGTTCTTTCTCTTTGCCATGACGCGATGGCGCAGCCGATTCGGTCATCACGGATTTCATTCGAATGGCTTCGACGGGTCTTTTATCGAGGAGTCGAGTGACTTCGTTGTTGATCGCCGACACCACTTGCGGTAAGCGTACGACCCATTCCGTCGATCGTTTTTCTGGGTTGGCCATCTCTTGGGCATACTGATGTACATACTTGGGCATACTGATAGCTTGGCTAAAGTCCTGTTGAATCTCGACGATGGCTTGGCTTCGGTGAGCTCCGACCACGCCTCGTCTCACCTGGACTTTATGCTTTGATAACAGCTGCGACACGGCTCCCATGAACTTGCGTCCAGGATCGACTTGTAATTCGGTCGGCCAGGTCAAGCGACTGCGTTTGTAGATACGTTCTAAGGCCTCAGGGACTTGACTCGAATCTTTGGTCGTTAACGGCTCCGCTTCCTTATAGTGACTGGCAACATCCACAACGGTCAGGTCAGGGCGTACTTGTACGTTTTGTTTCTCACCCTGTCATGCAGGAGAAACAGGAGGTCGGCTTGATGGGTACGATTGGGTATGGAAATGTCAAATTTTCTTCTCGGGATGTATCGGGGAGCTGGCAGGTACACTTGCCAGATGTCTTGTTTTTTAAGCCAAGCTTTGGCGTTAGCCTCAGAGACACGAGCGGCTTTGGCTAGCTTCGGGATGGTGCTCACACCTTTCCAGTAACCCCAAAGGCTATAGTAAACCTTCTCCATGATGTAAACACGCTATCATTCATTCAATTGTCTCGACGCATCGAACGGAGTTTCCTTTATTGGGGGTCTCGGAAACTCCCAATGTGTCGAGGCCTACTGTTGTTACCCATAGCTATAAGTGTGGATGCCATCGTTCGCAATCCATCGTTTGGTATCCAGAGGCGACAGCGAGGTCTTGTTCAGAGTGATGCCGTAGATGTTGTGTTTGTCGCTTCTCAACGCGTTCATGGGGTGTTTGAACGTGCATTTAGCGAAGAGAGCCTGTTTGAAGAGGTTGTGTTTGATGAGTTGTTTCACCACGTATTTCTTGACCCCTTTCGCCCTTCGGATTTCGCCGTGATCGGCTTTTTGAATCGAATACATTTTAGGTCTTAACCTGACATATTCACCCATTCATCCTTCATCTTGCCGAGGACCTTTTTATTGGTCGTGCTGTGTAGGGCGTGGTCTGGGGGGTAATCACTAGTGTCGTACAAATCAATGTGTTTCGCCATGTCTTCGTACACGTCCTTGGTATGAATTTCCATGAGCAGTGAATCCATGTCCGTGTACAGCACTTCACATCGATCACCATACTGTTGTTTGAGCCGGTTGTAATAAAAGTCATACATCAAATGTTTGGAGAGGTCGAGAATGCTCATCCCCACGTAGACGGGTCGGTTGAGCTTGATGTGACTTTTGTTCATGTGTAGCGATGCCAAGTCGTTATCGAATAGCTTGCTTCGATTGAAGGCCGGGCTGGCTATGAGTTTCCTGAGTTTTTCGTCCTTGTGAGATCGCACGAGTTTGACCGTCACCCGTTTTCTCAAGTTTTCCATGGTTTTGCCAAACACCGTATTGTTCATCAGTTTGTAGAGGTTTTTCTCGAAATTGCTGGTAGCCTTTTTTCTCAGCCTCTCGGTGTTCAACCGAATGTAAGATTCCACCCAGTGACTTTGATCGAATTGCAGCACCCGATGTATTTTAGTCAGCTTCATGCCCAGTGACAAGTACAGTTGCAGATTCTGATAGTGCACCACGTACTTGGTCTTGTTCATCAAGTTCGAACGAAGTTTTTCCACGTTGGCCAGCTTATTTTTTCCGAGTAACGCGTGTTGATAGTCCGACATCCAGTCTCGGTTCACTGTCAACCGTTCGGGAGCCAGCGGATAACTGTTGTGAGCAGCGTGCAATGCCGCGGCATACTCCAAATCCACTTCGAGGATGTAGCCTTTGTTTGAATCCAGTGCATTTGATGTTTGCGATTGATGAACGTTAAGATGTTTTGATCTTCTTGAGGCATGTTGATTCAGTGCGCCATCTCTCCCACGCCTCGGCAATCCTCCCGGTGCGCCCAGCAGCTCTTCTCGCGTGAAACCGTGCAGGCAGCATTCCGCAGAAGTGTTTCTTGTGTTGATGGCTAAACGGTTTTGTTTTTCCACCTTCGTCATTTGAGAGATGGATGTGGGTGTGTCTACACTGTCCAAGTTCAGCCCATCGTCTGCGGGATAGCTCGAAGGTCTGTTCGCCACTTTAGAATCGGAGGGGAATAAGGCAGATCTCAGCACCCATCTTAAGCAGTGATCGTCGTTGTTTTTAACGTTCACTATGACTTTTTTATTCTTGTAATATGGAGGCAAGTCTAGGTACGATCCGCCTCTGAACGGTACATAGTTCGCTATATCCAAATAGATGGTGTTGATACTTCCTACCACCCACCCGGAGCCCCTGTGCGTCCATCGTTTCAACGATTCTTGTATTTCTTGTAGCGAGGTATCGCGGGTCGAAGGGATCAAGTCGGATTGAAGAACGACTTCCTGCTTGCCTCTGAAGAAAGGCTCGATGGACTCGGTACTGCCATCCGTCTGCTGTTTTTTGATTGACATGTGGATGGTCAACTGGTATTTGATACTTTTTAAACCATTCAACTCTTCTTCGACTTTGTCGGCGATCAGAGGTTCGACGCTGTTGACGTCGATGTTAGACTGCATGGTCATTTTCCAGCCTCTCAGATACTTACCCACGGCATGGTCCATCAGCACGAATCTCAACTCGACCGGCTTGGTGTCTTCCAACAAGGTGAGCAGTTGGGCTTCCCTCATGCGAGAATAACCCTTCAATCCCCGTTCTTTAGCTCGGAGCTTGAGTTCTCGTGCAGAAGGGGGCTTGACATATTTCATGTCGAGCAAGGTGAGCAGTTGGGGTTTCCTCATGCGAGAATAACCCACCAATCCACAACTTTTAGCGAGAGCTTTGAGTTCGCTGACGGTAGTCATGATTGCTATATCCACATGCAAAGTCAAATGTCTAATTGATTTGATATATCCACATGCAAAGTCAAATGTCTAATTGGTTGTTTTCAAAGGGAGATAACGCCATCAGCCTTCTCTTTTTGAAATGAAGCGCACATATAAATCTTCTTTCTTTTTTTAAATTTTTATTCTGAGGAGTCGGTTACGTTCGTTAAGATAATCTTTTTTCTTCTCAGTAAATCAGTTGGTTTCGGACCACGTCTGCTCCGTGGGCTTTACATAAACCATAATGGCATTTCACTCCAATATCGCACACCGAGCACCATGTGTATGCCGCAGTACTCCTCGGTCCTGCATTTCTTGCCACAAGTCTCAGCTTTTCCCAGAAGCATGTATTGACAATGATACGGAGCGGGTCTCATCTTCGCTATATGCACTTAGATATATTTTAGTCTAATTGCGTGGCGACGAATACGGTCGCGGCTAATCCTAAGGCCACAAAAATCAGCTCCCGGTCTTGCTGTAACGAATCTAAATAGTTTGATCATTAAAAAATATTTAGGAATTTCATTCACATTAGTAATATCATCATGTTTTTAACCAAACATCTGAAACTTCTATTCATTTGGATACAAGGTAACAATAACATTACAAAATGTTGTTTTTCCGCCTTAAAATGTACCATACAAGTTGCTGCCGTGTGTAGAGTGAAGTTGCATAATACGTCACTTCCTGTTATATGACCTTATAGTTGTCGCAGGATTACCCTTGAAGAAATAAGTTTTGATTCATGCTAGATGTAATGGCAGTAGGGGTCATACTAGTTTCAAAATGTTCCAGAACTTACTGAAAAGATGAATGCTTTAATATTTCTACGATTAGACATGACATTCCAATGAAATAAATGACTTTTTCAAGAGCAATGAATATATTTTACTTAATTTGCATATGTAAACAGCCGGTGTTTCAGCTTTCCCGATGTTTTCGAGTCCCAGTACACTCGCGTAACCTTGATTCGTGGATATAAGGGAAGTGCAGTGAAATTCATATTTTAAATGCATCCTTTCATTTTGTATACGCACTGATTATTTTATTCACTGATTCAGCAAAGTGAAAATGCCTAATATTCCACTCGTGAATGAAATGTTTGTTTACGGAAGCCATTTGCAATCATCACCCATTCGTTGCCCACAAAATGTGACGTCGTGGATTACATAGTCGGTTACTTTATACCACTATGTACAACATCCCACTGCAGCAAGTATTGACACCAAGGAAAGCAGACAACGAGAAGTGAGAATGTTGGAGCTAACGGTATCTTTTTTACTTGACATTTTGTAAAAATAAAATTTGGTAATTGTGGTATTAGTGATTTGGGGCTATTTATTTCAATGCTGGACAATGATATTTAGTGTACTTGCGTGTAATGCAGAGATTTGGAACTTTTTTGTTAGCGATGCGTGGCATTGTATGTACATCAAAAGTACCGCTTCGTGACGTCAGTCGAGAGTTCATTTACGAGCTAGCATGATAATTTCCGCAATCCACGAATCAAAGTTATCCACGAATTTAGGTTACGCTTCTGTATAATATGTTCTACTTCAAATACAAGAATATAATATAAACAGAAAGAGGAAGAACCGTTGATTGAAATGGGTTTAAGAATATTAGGTATGGCTGTGGATTGGAAAAGAAAGTGTATAATGGTACATTGCGATACAAGTGTCGATATTCAATTAAGAGTAACAGATGCTTGTGCGCGAAAATTGAGGCATTATCAATATTGAGCTATAAAAAGATATGTCAACACTTAAGAACATGACATCGATTAACTCGTGAACATTACCTACTTAACATTAAAAAAATATGAAGTAGAGTAAATTTTGGCATCGTAACATTCACCTTTCCTTGAATTCGTCGAATTTTAACTCTCCATGATCAGTATCCAAATCTCGGTTGCCAAGTTGCCATCTTGGTCACCCCAAACACTGTAGTCACGCAGTAAATATTGTCGTTATTTCATTTGGTTATATATATATAATCACAATTAGTAATGACTGACTTGACTTGTGATCAGTAAATTTTAGTTGTAATAAATATATAACGTGTACTAATATCAATGTTAGTTTAAAGATTATATATTTGTCCAAACACACTCGTGATACGACTTTTGTGCAGATTAAAGCGCCATATTGGAACTTTGTTTTGACTTGACAATATTTCCTCCTGGGTAAACATTCCTGTGTGGTGATCATACGTTTCCTACTTTTAATTTAAGTAATTCGGGCAGAGAGACTTAAGTACACTTCAGATCAAACGTCACTTGAATATTTCAGCAATTGCATGAAAAAGGTAAGTGTTTTACTTTCTTTTATATGTTAGTTTTATGAGCTTGCGGTTTTCGTGCAGGTGTAACCCATTTTCGATCGCCTTTTTCAAATCAGATTTTGTTCTTTTGTTTTGATGTAGAGAGCGACTGAAATTGTCTTATGTCTAAGGTTTTCAGTAGGCATATTTTACGCTTCAGTTTGAAACGGCGAGTGATGCCATAATTTTAGTGAGCTTAATATACATTTTTTATGTTTATACTGTCATCCATGAAAAGTTTACATTTTTCAGATACCTTTAAACTTTTCGGTTACCCTGTGCTAAACTATGTAAACTGTGTATAACAGCATGTCATATGTTTGTTTGGTAAGTAGGAAGGCTTCTAGACAGTGAAGTCTGTTCATATCCTTGAAGTGATATACAGGCATATTTCAAATTATTTTCAAAGGTTATTTACACATGTTAGATTGATGTTTCAGAAAGTAATTTTGTTACTTTCTCATTCAAATCCTGAAACATATCTTTGCAAATCTTGACACCACTCAGATTATTATATCAGGCCATCATATGTGCATCATATTCAAGACTGATGATGATGCATATAAAACGATGATGACACACTCTAACTTAAGAATTATGTTATTGCTCTGTGAAATGTACATCTGAATAAGGAGACACAAATATTTTAAAATAATAATAACGCTAAAATGTGTATTCTTTTTTAATCAACCGCCTCTGTGGTGTAGTGGTTAGAGCATCCGCCCGGAGAGTGGAAGGTCGCTGGTTCGATCACCGACTGTGTCATACCAAAAGGCGTTAAAATATGGTACATATACTTGTTGGTCCCTGCCTGGCGCTCAGCATTAATGGGTACAACAAGGACTGGTCGGCTCAGAGTCAGTATAATGTGTCTGAGTGGGGTATTCATGCTTCACTGCGGCATGAGATCTCAGTGAGCTAGCACTATAAAACCAGCTTAAGTCTGGGCTAGTACAAGCAGCTGCACATACACACGCATGCACGTCATCATATGAGCAAAATATTCTCAAGCACAACGTAAAACCCAATTTCACCTAACCTTACCTCATTTTGAATCAAAGCTACAGATAACTTTTTGGGTCATTGAGTTATGTGCTCGCTTGTGTTCATCTCAATAGACCGATCCAGTCTGTCAATCAAAACTGGCGCATGTGTCAATTTTGGCCAATCAGCAGGCCAGTTGGGCTGTGTGGATTTGTCAGACTTATTTCCGGGGTCAAACGATGCCTCCGAAGCGATGTGCTTCGAATTATGCCATTTACGCTCGCTATATTTATTACATATTGCTGCGATTTGATGTGTACCTTTTACAAAACCATTACGGCCAAGACAAAAAAAATGAAGGCAGATCAAGAAACGTGATAGGCCTAACGATCAGTTAAATGTCTGCACCATCATTCAGGAAACCTACGTCTGCCTGCTGATGAGAATTTGCAGGAATTTCCACACTTTTGCACATGTGCAAAATCATTACCAATTGATGACAACAAATAGCAGTTTAAGACTTTGCAAGTGTTATAAACACGGACAATTCTTGTAACTACAAAATTGTTTTTGCTTAACGTTTTTAGTCACTACTAGGCATTGAGTTGGTACGCCATAAAGCTCAAATGAGACAGGCGAGAAAGCCGTGACACAATGTAAACAAATCTCCATTTCGGTTAGGGTCAACCGAAATAGCAAAACTTGTTACATGAAAGAACAATGTGGCGGATATTGTCCCCTTCGCTCTTAGATATTCTTCAATTTGTCATACATCTTAGGATGTTTTAAGTTTCATAAGCACAATCTGAAGGCCTTGTTATCACAGTATCTTGTTAACAGAGCAAAATATTCGAGGAGTAATATTTTTTATTCAAACGGAAATATTGTCAGTGTCAGCAGTTGCCTATCATGCAATATCCAAGTATCAAAATTAGTTCATATGAGTGCCTATAAAACCATGCTTTAAATATTTCAGATTTTTTATAAAGAGTTGCATGGGACTTTGAATTGAATTACCTTCCTCCATGTTGATCGAATACGAAAACTATGTGAGAAGAATAGTGACTTTCTGGAGTATTGGACGGAGTGAAATATATAGCGTATATCTTAATTATGAGAACATTTTGTTACCACATAATTTATTCACATATATTGGTACATTTTAGGAGTAATATTACAACTGTAAGTTTGATTAATTCACTGGAAATGATAGCAAGGTATGTTTCAAGAATCTTGCTTTTTTTAGTAAACGTGGAAGGGTAATAAAATTAATAATAATCTAATCATAATAAATAATTATTTAATTGATTGACATATCAGATTCTTATGATTTTAAGGCAGAACTAGGCAAACAAACACCATACATATCATGACAGGACAATCACTTGCTATTAACTTAGTTTCTTGGCTCCTGCTTTTAGATGTTGTTTTAAATACTAAATTTACTAGAAAGATAATTCTGAAAGTGATTGCTAGTATCATAACTCATTAAAGTTATTTCAACATCCAGAGAATTTGAAAAAGGCTACGTTTTGGTCAAACCCTGGTCAGGCATTATCCAGTCCTGGAACAGAATAACTTACAAAAATCTCAGTTGACTTTTCATGTAATGGAATAAATATTGAAACATATATTTAACCCATATTTGATGTAATTCTTCTGATAAATCATCAGTTTTTTAGGAGGTTACTAATATTTGAAGACTGAGCCAAAGCTAGTGTTTATTAAGATGATGGATTTGGACAAATTGTTCAAGGTTTGTTGATGGTTATTTGGAAAATGAGCTTCATATTAAATTGCACACTGGTTTGTAGGAGGTGAACGCTTCAGGACATTTTCATGTCTGTTTTCCTAAACCTTTGTTGACTTTTACCAATTGTGAATCAACTTTACTATAATTTTTATGACACCAGTAAGTATCTCTGAAAAGGAAATAGATCAAAATCAGTGTTATGTCCTCTAGGGATATGGTCTCAGATCTAATAAAACAAAGATTATCATTGTTTAATTAAGAAGCAATAATGTCAATATGTAATTGTATTGACAAAAAGCTTTGAACATAGGATATATTCTTTGCACCTTATTTACACTAGTAGTTAGCAGTTAAACATCTCTGATGAAAAAACAATAGATCTACATTTGTATGTTGTGTAACATTCTATTTCAATGCTGGTTAATTGTTCGGATAACTGTGGATTCTCTGTTCCAAGATTTTGCATCACATGTTTCCTATTTCTGGAAGATGGGTCAGCTAGTGTACAGGTGCAGACTGTATCTTGGATCTTTTTTGTGTTCTGGTGCTGTGACATACCTGTACATAAACGCTGGCAGTTCATTAAGTCCAGTATTGTGGAAGTTTGTATGTAAATTAGGATTCCACAACAAAGTACATATAGAACAATAAAATGGAAATGATGATTAAAAAAATGATTTCCTTACATTCAGTGTCATTTTATCATGGTGTACAGAGTTTGAAGAGGGAAACTTTACTGAGAATTGCTGCAGATCAGCTGTTGAATATTTGCTTCTGGGTATGTCCAGATACGTCCATGGAAACATATTGTTTACAAGCCCAATTACCTTTTCCAGATTTCCAAATAAGATCAAATAGGTTATGCTGTGATTGATTTGTTTCCATTAATTATATACAGACAAATAAGGTGCATGAAGTAGTAGACGGGAAATATTTTCTGCTTTTTATTTACCATTCTATTAATTCATTAAAAGATAGAAACCCATGTTTTCAGATTATTGAACTAAATGTAAACAACGCCAACGGATAAGTAAAGGCGCCACGTGCAGTGTTGATAATCTATTTATAGATACCGAAACGATCTGCAACATGAACATGTGGTTGTGTTCACTAGTTTTATAAAATTATAAAACCAAACAACAAAATTCAGTTACCCTTCCCCTGCTAATATCTGTGACGGAGGTGAATTGCCAGATACATTAATTGATTCGAAAGAAATTACGCTTCCTACAGTCTCAGCAGCTAGTCGAGACGATTTTTCATCGGGCATGTAACTCATTTTCACTCGCCAGTTGCAATCTGCCAGCTAAAATATATTAAAAACCACATACATATAACTTGCCTCTTTAAATAACATTCACAAACGACGGATACCAAAGTATCACAAGCAGAATTCATCAACAACGTTTGCAATCATGTAACGTTTCACCGCCGTCGGTGACGCCATTGTAATTTGTCAGTGGTTGTCCCCCCTAACTTCAAAAACGAAGTGGGCGGGGCTTATCGGCCGGGACTGGGTATCCTATTTTTCCTTTGAGATAACTCTATCACAAATCCACCCATTAAAGGTAGGATTAGAGATGCCATTACTTTTGTTGTTTTAAGATGTCTAACAAGTGACATGTATTTCTAATTAATAGGGGGATATCACACAGACAGGCTAATTGACAGATACAAGGGTAATTAACAGATACAAGGGTAATTGACAGATACAAGGCTAATTGACAGATACTTGGCTAATGAAGTCTTCTTTGAACAACATTGAGAGACACAATACATGCCGCCAGAATTGAACTGGCTAAGACCTCAGACAGGTATATCCTGTAATCAAGGCTTTCATTGGCAATATTTGAGTGTTGAAGGTCTACATGGGCCAGATGAGCATTAACTATTGTGTCAGGTATGTCAAGGTAGAAACTGATGGAGTTAGTGACTTTACCTGCTTGTCTAAAGAAGGAGTGTTTAGAAGACTTATGTTTGGTTACTTCAGCAGATATTCATTGATGTTTTATACATGGTATGTTGAGTGAAACACCAGTATTCTGTATGGCAACATTCCAGCTGCAGCACTTTCCCTGATTGTTGAATCATGGCTCTAGATTCATGAATCACGGCTACAGATAAATGCATCATGGCTACAGATTAATGAGACACTGACACAGCAGTACTAATTGTTGGCTAAATCAGGGTTTTTTAAGTGTCCAGACTGTCAAGGTTTAACTGACTGAATTTGGTTTTACGCCGCTTTTAGCAATATTCCAGCAACATAACGGCGAGGGTCACCTGAAATGGGCTTCACACGTTAAGGTTTAAATGCATTCAGAGTGTGACTGAGATCCGCTGAAAATTGTGCCAAGATAAGGTACATGTATGACATTTTGGCACAGGTAATGTTCATCAAACTTCAAAGACCATTATCCGGTACTCGATTCCCACAAACAGCATTCACACATATAAGTGACATTTCACTTTCAATACAGGCACAGGCATTCAGATGCAGCTCAAAGAGAATAAGAAAGGTATGATTACTATGATACTTTATGGATAACAACTTCTTTATCATATTATGATGCAATGTTTCAGTATAGCTTCTCATACCCTTGTCAAGCAAGAGTCAGTCAAGACAACGGTATAAGAATCTATACTAAGATTGCACGTTATTATATAATAAAGAAGTTGCTATCCTTAAAGTAGTGTGTGGGGTAGCTTAGTGGTTAAAGCGTTCACTCGTCACGCCAAAGACCTGGGTTCGATTACCCACATGGGTACAATGTGTGAAGCCCATTTCTGGTGTCCCCTGCCGTGATATTGCTGGAATATTGCTAAAAGCGGCGTAAAACTAAACTCACTCACTGACTGACTTAATGATCATTTTATGATCATCATCATTGTATATGTAAGAATTATATTTTGTCTGATAATTACTCCAAAGATTATCATGAGGCAATGTCATCCTATCACTATATACACTGCTGGATGTATAGTCCATAATTTCAAAGCAGTGTATAAGCCCTACACTAACATTTGATCCCCGAAATAATGTTATCATTAATATATGTACACACACACACACACACACACACACACACACACACACACACACACACACACACACACACACACACACACACACACACACACACACACACACACACACACACACACAGACCATGATTTTAGACCATGTAGACATAATTTTTTGTTCATTTATTATCCCCCGGCATGTAATGCGGGGGGATATAGTCGACGGCTCGTCCATCTGTCCGTCAGTCCGTAACCATTTTGTTTCCGGAGCATAACTAAAAATATGTTCAGTTTTTTTCAACAAAAATTGGTAGATATATCAAACAGAACCTAAAGTGGGGCCTTTTGCTATTTTCAGATTTGGTTTCCACGGAAACGATTTGAACTTAGTCTCAAAATGAGGGTGACCTTCGTTTCTGGAGCACAAAAACCGTTCAATATGTTTCTTCAAGACTTGGTAGATATATCAAACATAAGCTAAAGTGGTGCCTTTTGCTATTTGCAGTTTTTTGGCATTTTTATTTTTCTTGGTTTCCATGGAAACGATTTGGACTAAGTCTCTAAAAGGAGGGATTGGTTTCATTTCCGGAGTCAGATCTTGAAGTGGTGCCTTTTGCTATTTACACATTTTTGGCATTTATATTTTTCATGATTTCCATGGAAACGATTGGGACTTAGTCTAAAAAGACATCAAGCTCGACTTCTAATGACTCTTGTTCTCTAAGGTCTGAGTGACAGACTTTATAATCCTATCAACTGCTTAAAAGTACTAATTGCTAACCAGATAAATAGGTTCATTTGCAGTCCAATAGTATACAGGGACAATAAGAGACGATAAGCTCATTTGGTTGTCTGTTTTTATTGAAACAATTAATTAACGGTAAATGCCTGTGAATGTTTAAGTGAGAGTGTTATCTGGATTAGACTGAAAGTGTATATAAGGTACAGGTTCATTAACACAGCAAATACCAAGTGGTGAGTTGACACAAAGCTTTGTCCACAAATGTCCTGTTTCTACAATCAAAAAAAACTTGACAACCATCACAATCCACCTGAAGATTGTCCTGTCAGTACCATGAACACACACTACATAATGATGTGACAGTAATTATTACATTATCTGCAACTGTGTTTTCCAGTCAGAAGATGACCACTCGTCCCCGCCCAGTAACTGCAACAGTGACGAAGCCAAGATGGATGGCGATGCCCGATGCAGATGCTATTGCTCGGGCACGGAGACATTCCCTTGGCTCCACCGGCTCCACAGCATCTCTGGTGTCTGTTCTGGACCATGACAGCTATATGAGTGTACCTAGTGACTCTGAGCTGGAGGCACCAAAAGTTCAACTTAGTAAACGTTCACCAAGAAAGACAAAAGGGGCCAATGAGGTTACAGTGAGGTAAGAAAAACCTGTTCTAAAGGTACGATAGTCCCTGGCACCATTGCTTGAGGACTTGATGAATTGGTTGATTGCATGTCAATGATTGTCTGTTGCTCATAATATCGACCGGGCGTGGGGTAGCCTAGTGGTTAAAGCGTTGGCTCGTCACGCCGAAGACCCGGGTTCGAATCCCCACATGGGTACAATGTGTGAAGCCCATTTCTGGTGTCCCCCGCCATGATGTTGCTGGAATATAGCTAAAAAGCGGCTTAAAACCAAACTCAGTCAGTCAGTCAGTCAGTCAGTCATAATATCAACCACAGGTTACTGTCACCTAGATTATGTACAGACCAGTGATATAGCTTACTGATGCTAAAGAACAAACAAAATAAACAACATTTACAATATTTAAGGGGCCTAGGTAAATACTTTCAAGTTATCCAAGGTACTCAACCATATGATGATGTAGGCACCAAGGTCTTACACTGAGACAACTGGAAGTTTGACACAACAGTGTTGGACTGTGTGTGTGGGTATTTCTCTGTCTGCTATACCTCAGCTTCATCGCATGACAGTTTAGAAGTTGGGACTTACAATATTAAACATACTTTATGGATAACAACTTCCATTATTTCTTGAGTGTGATGTTTTGATACAGATTCTTGTACCATTGTCAAGCACCAAAATAAAGAAGTTGTTATCCATAAGTTTGTTCAATATTATACCTCAGCTGTTAGCACCAAACTATGTTAAGGTGATGATCTATGTAGGTGACAATGAAGTGATGTAATCATGAAGTGATGTCAACCATGAAGTGATGTCAACCACAAGTGCCTCTCCCACAGGCTATATAGTAGTGTAAAGCTCATTTCTGGTGTCCCTCACCATGATCTTGCTGTAATATTGCTAAAAGGGCTTAAAACTAAACCCACTCACTCACTGTACAGTAGCTGGAATATTGCTGACTGCAGCACAAATCAACATTCACTCTAGTTTCTGACCAGTGAAGATGCGGGTTAGAATAGGTGTGCAGCAACCCATGCTTGTCATACAAGATTACTAACAGCAGCAGGTTTTTAGGTTTGCTGACTTGGTGAAGGCATATGATCATATCCCGGTAGATTAGTGCTCATTATGTCAATCACTGGATTATCTGGTCTAGCAGGGATTGGGATAGAGAACTTTGACAATGGGCCACTTTCAGGATTATTAGCCATTTTCTGAATTTCGAATGGGCCACTGTCCTTGCATCAATAGTAAACTTCAAAATTTTAAGGGGCCATTTTTTATTCTAATGTGTGAAATGGCCTGTGGCCTCTGCATTTCCCAATCCCTAGTCTAGGTTTGAATATTTACTGACCATCTCCATAAAGCTTGAATTCTGGTGAGTGTGGCATGAAACAACAGACGAACAAACACGCTTGCTTCTATGTGATCAGATGTATCTGATGTGTTTTTGTTGCAAGCTGTAGGACGCCAAGTCATCATGCCATGTCATCATCGGTGTGATAAACCGATGCCAAGTCATCATGCCATGTCATCATCGGTGTGATAAACCGATGCCAAGTCATCATGCCATGTCATCATTGGTGTGATAATCCGATGCCAAGTCATCATGCCATGTCATCATTGGTGTGATAAACCGATGCCATGTCATCATGTCATGTCATCGGTGTGATGTCATCATGTCATCATCATCCGGTGTGATAAACCGATGCCAAGTCATCATGCCATGTCATCATCGGTGTGATAAACCGATGCCAAGTCATCATGCCATGTCATCATCGGTGTGATAAACCGATGCCAAGTCATCATGCCATGTCATCATCGGTGTGTGATAAACCGGATCCATGTCATCATGATACAGATGATGCCAAGTCATCATGCCATGTCATCATCGGTGATAAATGCATGCCATGTCATGTCATCGGTGTGATAAACCGATGCCATGTCATCATGCCATGTCATCATCGGTGTAATAAACCGATGCCAAGTCATCATGCCATGTCATCAACCGATGCATGTCATCATCGGTGTGATAAACCGATGCCATGTCATCATGTCAGTCATCATGATAAATGATGCCAAGTCATCATGCCATGTCATCATCGGTGTGATAAACCGATGCCAAGTGTCATCATCGGTCATGTCATGTCATCATCGGTGTGATAAAAACCGATGCCAAGTCATCATGCCTTGTCATTGGTGTGATAAACCGATGCCATGTCATCATGTCATGTCATCATCGGTGTGATAAACCGATGCCAAGTCATCATGCCATGTCATCATCGGTGTGATAAACCGATGCCATGTCATCATGCCATGTCATCATCGGTGTGATAAACCGATGCCAAGTCATCATGCCATGTCATCATCGGTGTGATAAACCGATGCCAAGTCATCATGTCATGTCATCATCGGTGTGATAAACCGATGCCAAGTCATCATGCCATGTCATCATCGGTGTGATAAACCGATGCCAAGTCATCATGTCATGTCATCATCGGTGTGATAAACCGATGCCAAGTCATCATGCCATGTCATCATCGGTGTGATAATGCCATGTCCATGTCATGTGTCATGATAAACCGATGTCATGTCATCATCATGGTGTGATAAACCGATGCCAAGTCATCATGCCATGTCATCGTCAGTGTGATAAACCAACTGTATTTTTTTCAAATGTTTCTACAGGAAGACAGCTGTGGAAGATGGGAGAAAGAAGTCATCCGATTCCATGGAGAATGGCCTGTCACCATGGGAAGTCTGGCTAATAACCAAGACGCAGGAGGAGAGGAAACTCCGACAACAGGAAATACAAAGAAAAAAAACAAGAAAAATTGAAGAAAACTGAAGAAGCAAAAGAGAAGGAAAAGAAGCAGAACAAAACTGAAGGTGTCTTGAAAGAATGGATTGAAAGAAAGAAGAATGAAGAAATGCTGAGGAGGGGAATGGAAAAGCTGAAAACTCGAAGTGAGAAACAACAGAAAGAAAAAACCCAAATCAATATCCAACAAAAAGCAGCTGAAAACTTTGTGTTGTGGAAAAAGCAAAAGTCTGAAGAAGAACGAGAGAAAAAGAAAAGTGATAAACTGAAAAAACTACAAGAAGAAGAAGAGAAGAGACAGAAGGCTGATAAGGCGGAGAAGCGGTATAAGGAATGGTGCAAGAATGCAGACAGAAGACCCAAGTCTGCACCCAACAGCTTTGGCTACATGGAAGGAAAGCTGAAAGGTAAGGAATCTGGATTGTTGAATGGAGTGTATTGGGGATGTTGATTGATAGAGGTTAGAATTCTTCATGTAATTCAGTGTACCTTAACCCTTTGAAATTTCAGGACGGTAGGGAATTAGAACTTGCTACTCACCATGATCTTGGCTTTACTGGTTATGGCTACTGCCCTGTGATTATACAGTTCACAACTGACTACATGTTGTGTGGCTTCTGATCAGCTATAGCCCAGGTTACATTGGAGGATCATTTTGGTTGTTTTTTGTCCAGCCAAGATCAGTCATGTGGTCATACTTAAGTTCTACAGGATTAAAACATTAGCTTTACAACTTGCAAATCTTGACAATTAGAAGATAAAGCTACTCTGTTTTCAAATTTGCGGTCCTTTATCTTTGATTTACGACTGCTAAATGTAATTTAAAAACCGAATGCGTCAGCGTGAGTTTTTAAATTAAACATTTAGCGGTCTTAAATCAACGATAAAGGACCGCAAAATTGAAAACAGAGTAGTTTTATCTTCATTCTAGCAAGACTGATAAGCGTTTTAAAACCGAACTGTTTGGCGCGCAAGAACACGAGGAGCAAAGGGGCCTTTTCCCTGAAAATCGCTTGGAATCGACCCGTTGAGGGACAGGTTGTGTAATGAACAAAATAAGACATTTTCAACAACATAAATGCTATATTTCAGGAACCAGTATGCTTGTATTTGTAACAAGTAGCATTCATAAATTTAAAAAAATACAGTTTATACTGTGAGCAAGTACAATTATTTGCTTTTTCTCAAGCGAATTATTGATCTCCCCTACTGTATAACAATCGACTCGCCCAAATGCAAGCCGTGAACTCGCTAAGTTTAGTCGCCGCTAACTTTATTCACGGAAATAATTGTTGATAACCACCCTACTATTCTCAATTTGGAAAAGACCTGACATGCTACGTTTTATGTGGGATACATGGACAGTGGAAGTGGAAGGACTGGGCATTACGGCCAGGACGGAAGCGGTCAGGTTAGGACGTGTGGGCCGATGTGTGTTGTCGACATCAACACACATAGATCTGGACCCGCTTTGAATATACTGCCGCTTTTGGCTGCTGACGGATTTTCCAGCTTCGTAGTTTCTCTGGGATTAGGGACAAGAAATTCTTCTTCAAACCATTCGCTTTTTACTTCAAAAACACCAAAGATGCTGCCGAGATAGAAATTGCCAATGTCCGACATGTTTGTTTACAAACAATAGGGTCAACGAGTTCGTTGTATTCATACGCATTGAATCAGTCACTTTAATTAGCGGTCCTTAAACTGTCATTTAAGTACGGTTTTGATGAGCTCTCAGCCAATCAGAATCGAGTATCACACATTGTCATGCTAGAATGCATAATCCATGAATGAGAAACACGATTAACAACTGGCAATAACCATTACACTTGGGGGATTTTATGGGCTGCTTTAATCACTAACCGGGTTTGCACCTGAGTTGTCTTGTCATGGTGATTGAATTAATCAGGTCAAACGCTGCACTCAGAGCACACTGTGTTGTGGATATATTACGTCTTTCGCTGATAAAGGCCAGTCATTCGTCGCGAGGGTCAGGAATTGCCGGATTCTCTGTTTGATGGTGGCCCGGCTGGAGACAGATCCTGATCATGCTGATTGTTCAATGGGGAGAGGAGGTATAGAAGGAATGTTGCACATATTACCTAAGGCACAAAGTGACTCAACTGAGGGTGCAGCCATGTGAGATGTCTAAAAAATGAGTGGTTGATTGGGACTGGGTTGCAGAATCGCCACTCACCATATAATTAATGCACTATAAAGTTTTTCCACTTTTGTGTCATTGTATAATTCGACATGGTGCTTCTTCCTTGAGACAATCTGAGATAATTCATGTTTACTTCTACTGTTGGAGACTTGTCATTTATCACCATATCTGCTCCCTGAGCCATCGTAATCAAGGCAAGGCTCTTTGAAACTTTATTTGCAGATTATGTGTAGTATTAACATAGAATTCTAATACAATGGAAGCTTATATACCAAAATAGTTCTTGGAACAGTTATTTCAAACGAAATGAAAAGTTTAACTGTCAATCAACATTGAATGGTTATTGTATGCAGGTTTAGATCGCCAGTTGACAAAAAATGTCAGATCTTCTACCCTGTGTAAAAGGTGACCCCCAATCAAACTCCACTAACTCTAGGTAAAAACATTTGCTTCACAGCCTTTTTGGTATATATGTGAATGAGTTTTAGGTTTATGTCGCTTTCAGCAATATTACGGCGGGGGACACCAGAAATGGGCTTCACACATTGTACCCATATGGAGACTCGAACCCGGGTCTTCAGCGTGACCAGCGAACGCTTTAACCACTAGCTACCCCACTGCCCTGTACATATATGAGATGTCATCATAACATTTTGACTTTCAAGCACAAGGAGATAAGGTCCATGAGTACAGTTCTTCTTCAGTCTGTAACCATGGTAACATGAATAATAATAACGAGAATATTTATAACGCACATATTATCACATCATACAGTCACCATGCTCACTTTTATGGATCAAAGAAACAACAACTTTTTCTTTTAGTCATTTTATGTATAGGTATGTGAATAGGTAAAAACATTTTGGGTTGCTCTAAACATAACATGAATATACATGGACATGACAAATATCACAGAAGAATGTCCACAGTCGAACCCCATTATCCATGGTAACAGAATGTAACAGAGGATAACAAGTGACTCATATATGACAGATATGGATGAGGAATTATTTGGACAACTTACTAATGTAACCATAGTAACACGAGGTAACATATACATTTAGATGGAGACTGCTATAAAGTAAAGGATGCATAAATTATAACCATTATCACAAAAGGCATGATTGGTTTAGTAAACTTGTCTTAATAATCTATTTTAGTGGTAGAAATAAAGTGTATATAGATATTTTGCAAATTCTAGATATTCCTCCCATGATAATATTGATATTTAAAAACTTTGTCTTTTCTTTCACTCTGTGTAGTACACTTTCATGAAATGTGAACTGTACAAGAATACTTTCAATTTTAATCTACACCTGACACTTGTAAAGAACTACTGAATGTTTTTGTTGTAAAGCTGTCAAATTGAGTTCAAGATGTGTACAGTGCTGCATGTTTATAGCAGTTCCGTCCTTAGAGGCACTAATGACAGGAAGAAGAATAGTTTCACATCTGTTGTCCCAAGTAGTTAGATGTTATAGAATATTAAAGAAATAATGCCAAGTTGCCAAGGAAATACTGTACAGGGCCCTGTTTCACAAAGTTATCGTAGCGCTACATAAGTCTATGTTACAGTATAGGACTTATGACAGTTGCAACGCTACGATAGGTTTGTGAAATGGGGCCCAGGTCTCTGCCTCAGCAGTATGTGACAAATAGCGGCAAACTGATAGTAATTTGTGAATGTTAAACCTCACTAGCCAGCATCTGCCAGTACCCCTGTCCACCCATCCTGACATTAATCTAAAACACAGCATTTACAGATCAGTGAGCTGGAACTAAACAGGTGTACACATGATTGCGTAGATCTGTGGTAAACAACACCTCAATGACTTGTTACCATGGTTACCATGCATACAAAAATCATTAAGTGTTCAAAACTATGATTTGTTAAGTTGGTTGTCTTTATACGATCTTGTTGATACATTGTACTTCAGTCTTTAACCAGGAGGATGTACAGAGACAAGGAATGAATCAATGTGCTTATAGTCCATCTCACCAAGCAGTGAATTGTTTATTCTTGTCTGAATGAATAGTAAACAGATTTGTTGTCTTGAGCACGGAGGATCTAGTATGAAAACAACATCAGTGACAACATGGAGACTTCTTGGCATAGAAAATACATACTGTATATCATACATTAATACTGGTGAAATAAGACAGTCTTTGGTGCCACATTGGACAATGTGTCTATTTGTTGAAAGGGGCTATCACTGTATAAAAATTCAAGTGTGTTCATCCTTCACAAAGAATCCATTGTTCCATTATTTGACCCACTCTCTTGTTGATGTTTTGTCCCTTTCAGTCAGTTGTCTCCCCTTTCTCTGTTTCGTCTGCTTCCTGTGAGCTCTCTCCTGACTCAAGTGTGTCTTTCAAGGCCAATATGTCAGCTTTCTCATCTTTGTAATAAGATGGTGTTCGTTGTTTCTGAAGTTACAAGGGGACATTTGGAGGACATGAAGATAGATATTCAGTTACAATAGAAGCAGTAACCATGGTATCCTTCACCATGATCCCTGTTGTTGTATTTTGCTGATAATATCCAAACCAAGTGATTGAGACTAGTGTATTTTATTCAGGCCATTTCAATCCAGTTCCATGTTTTAAGGGAAAATTCACTTTCATTATTTACTTGAAATTTCGACATCATTATAAAGTAAAGGTGGTATAGTAATAAAATTAAGCTGCCAGATAGATGCAGTTCTTATTTCCTACTTACAACATCTTTGGCTTGTGCGTCTGCTCCACTTTCCTGCAAGAGGGTAGCAACCTCATCTGATATTGCCATGGCGTAGTGTAAGGGTGTTCTGTTCAACTGAAGGAAATAATTGAAAATATCATTAGTTTCATTCAAATGATTATAAACAGAATCAGCTGGAATAATACTGACATGTTTTAGTCTATGCTTTGTTAAAGAAGTGAGTCTGGCTAGACATCATTTGGATATCTGCAGGGCATGTTGTCTCATGTAAAACATACATTACCAACATGCCCCCATATAGAATATAAGGTAGGTAATGATAATGTTGTATGTGTTGTAGAACAAGTAGAACTTACATTGTCTCTGCACCTGACTGAGATGGGGAAGTTGGAGAGGATGTGGTTGATGATGTCCATGTGTTGAGATAATACAGCTATGTGAAGAGGTGACCTTCCGTACTTGTCTTTAGCTATAGCCAACTTCTTCCGCTCCAGAGCCTGAATCACCTCTCGCAGCACACCAGAATGTACTGCTTTGAATACTAGGGAGATTTTTTCCTGAAATATAGATGTTTGCTTGCATATCTGGTATATGTAAAACTTTGTGTTTCCACAAAAAATGTAGAAACTGTACAGTGTCATCCTAAGTATCTGGATATCAGTTTCAAATTGTGTATGTAATTTTCCAGTGGGAAACTCTGGAAAAGATTTAAACTGTAAGTATTTGTACTTCTTTGGGTTGATATGTTGAATATTGTTTGTGTTCTGACTGTTCATGTTTAACATTGCTTTTTGTGTTTGATACTTTTGTTTATTGTTGAGCATTGTTTGAACATTTTGTTTACTCTGTTCTTTGCAAATGCAAGGGCATTGTAGGGTTCAGATATTTTTATAATAAGAAGTCAGAAAAGGCTTCATACATTGGACTAATGTGGGGAATCAAACCCAGGTCTTTGGGGTGATGAGCAAATTTTGATTAGCTTCTTCCCACAAATCAAGTATCATGTTAGAAATGTTATGTACATGGGAATCAAAATAGTGTTGTTTCTTACGTTGAAGTCTGGCATAGCCTTGACAAAGTCGGTGACAACCTCTGGCAGACCCTCTGTGCTGACTCTGTCAATGACGTCGGTGAGTTTGTCGTAGCCATCCAGCAGGAGCTGCTGCAGACTGTCCAGGTTCTCCTGCTCCAGCAGATTGGTCACATACGAGTCTGGAAGCAGATGCAGGACACTGCATGGGTTTTACAGTTCCATTACCTAGTACTCCTTAACAGTAATACTTACAGGCTGGGCAAGTCATGGTCCAGTGATTTGTTCACTCAGTATAAGGATAAAGAGGAAACACATATTGTTGATATGTGTTAAATATGTTTAATATTTAGTATTTACATGTACAAACTTCAAGGGATATTCAAACAGAGTCAAGGCTGTAGAACAATACCTTTTTGAACATCCTATTTTGATACTATCCTATTTGTGTGATTACTTACCTAAAGACTCAACGTTTTCAGTGATGCCATTTTCTTCAGCAACATCTCTGGCAGTGCGGTTGTTGGAATCCCTGTCTGCGAGACTGTAGCCCATATTGAGAAGGGCAATGAGGTCAGCTCCTGGATAACAACAGTGTTACGGTCAAGGTCACATCTAACAATAGGTTCTAATTCATCTTACAAAACCTTGTTATGTGCTTTGCTGTAAAGCAAGTGCTTATTCTTGTACCCACCTTGCTGGGCTGCCAGTTTATGAAGTTCTGTCTGTCCTTCCTCATCTCGGTCCTTGTTCATGGTGTCTTCTTCTCCTTCCTCTGTCACTGTCGGAAGCTGGGGCTTCTGTGACAGGGCTGCTTCCTTTGCCCTGGGAGAATGACATGGTCAGGTGATATTTGTTACCTATTGACCTATTGTCTGGGATTGAATAACATCAATTAATTGCTACAAAATGCTGAATTTTCACAATAAGCTGCATCATCGAAACAGACATTAAACTTATTCCAACCTAATATCCAGCAACTTTATATTAGCTTCTTTAGCCCTATCATTCGTATCATATGCCCAATCATATGTTATCCTCTTCATCAAGCATCTCTCAAGCCTATAGGCAATATGCCAGTCATCCCTTCTCTGTTTTATTTTGTGAACTAGATAAAGTAATGCATTTATAATGCTGTACAAATATGGTTGACTCTTGGGATTGAGCAGCAAGATTCCCACTGTTATGTGGCACCATCGGTCACATGGGTTCCTCTACTCACTTCCTCTGCAGCTCTTCCTGCTCTTTTCTCTTCCTCTCATCTTCTTCCTCCTGTCTACGACGTGCCTCTTCCTCCTCCTGCAGCTGCATCTGCTCCTCCTTCCTCTTGGCCCGCTGCTGCTCCTGAGCCTCCAAGTCTGCCTCCTTCTCCCGGATTTCCTTCATCAGCCTCTCTTGCTGCAACACACAAACACGGATTGAGGCAAGTCTCTTGACCAGTGTACTTATGTTGTAATTGCAAGGTTTGTGAGAATCCACAAACAAGAACTGATAATGTTTTATCCAGAATTTTCCCCAATTATGATCCTGATTATCAGCTCCCATGCTTGTGGATGCTGATGTCAACTGTGTACATCATTGAGGGCTTTCATCCCACAGAAATTTGACAACTCAAATAGTTTAAATACAGTTCGCAGCAGCTCACAAGAAATAGAAAATTACTTCCAGCAGTTATGTGAAATGTCCTTGGCAAAGTCAATGGGGTATGACACATTGTGGTATGGATGGACAGAAAATATTCTGTATGTAGCCTTACTGCAAAGTTTTGTTCACCTTTTTTGTTGAAGTCTATATTCTCCCTGTACTTGTACAGCCACTGTGCTAGGTACTCAATAGGGTCCCAGGGTCGCTTCTCAGCAACCTCGGCCAGTGCCAGTGTAAGAGCTGAGCCGAGGTTGTACGACACATACTTCCCATCTACTGTACTCGGTGCAGGGACATCCTTCTTCTCATATATGTCGGAGGAGATGTACATTCTGATTGGCTCACTCTTCTCTGATTTCAGTGGTGTGGTCACTTTGTCGACTTCTTCAGTTGCAGATTCTTTGAGAGATATGAAATCAAAGAACAGTCAGTTAAAAGTTGGCATTACCTTCATGTAACCATGATAACTATTCAGTGAAACCTTGTCTACTACTCACTTGTACAGAGCATAACAACCATTACAGCTAAGTGTTTGAGTATAGTCATTACAATATTCTCAGCTCTGAGATCTGTGCTGGATAAGAATTCTCTCCTTAGATAATCGAATAACCAGTATTTACTGCACCACCAGCGGTTTCATTTGATAATGAAATACAAACCTGGAGTCTGAGGTACAGCTGAGGTGGACTGGTCAGCTGTTTCAGCAGACTGACCACTATCAGTCTGTGTTGGTGTGCCCACAATCAGAACCAGACGGCTCTTCAACGTCTCTGCTAGCACTTCCTTTGGGTCTGTCAGGTAGTCAGCTGGAGTCTTTCCAGTCTATTGAATGAGAAAGAAATCCAGCACAATGTTCTGCTGAGATTAAAAAAATATGCTTTTAGGTTATTATATTCAAAGCAATAAAAATATATATAAGAACCCATTGGGAACATACTGAACCAAGAATGGTTTGAATCTCAACTCGTGAGCAATGAACTTACAAGATCCTTTAAAGTATCGTCTGCTCCTGCCTCCTTCAGAATCTGATAGAGATTCCCTGAGTCAGAGCCTCCTGCGGCATAATGCAGAGCTGTTCTCCCCATCTGGAGGAAAAACAAGAAAGTATTCATTATATTATGTAAAGATATTGTATCTTGTATGTTCGGGGCAGGTATGTGTCAGTTGTCAATTATTCATGGATTGGATACTTACATTATCGGTAAGGTTTAGTGAGTCCTTAAATTCGGACACAATAAACTTCGCAATTTCATCTTGTTGGAAAACAACAGCTTTCTGTAATGGTGCAAGTCCAGTTTTGTCTGCTGCCTTCACCAAGAACTTCCTGTCAAGCAGATTCTTGACATCACGAGTGCGGCCATCACGTATTGCTTCATGGAGCTTGGTCACCTTGTCCTGTCATAGAGAATCAACCATGTTACATTAAGGGCATCTTGCATCATTTTTAATTTTTTCTGAGAGGAAATCAAGATCCTTTTCAAATCAAACGAAGATGTTTGCTGAAGCAATATGGAGTCCTGTATTTAAGAATTATATATCATTAATGACCCTAAAGAGTTTTTCATCTTTATATTTTAATATATTTTGCTTACTGATACAGAGAAACTTGATCAAGCTCTGTTATGTTGATGTGTCATTCAAGACTATGATGTAATGGAGCATGCCATGTGATCTCAGTAATTACTCATGACTGAAGTATCAATACTTTTTGACTGCCAGAGAAACTTGCAAGGTTTTGCTGTATTTTATAACATACTAATAGTTAATTACTAATGATATTTTCCTAATGTTGTCTTCTTGTCTATGGTATGAATGATGATAGTATAGTCACCTGAACCTCCTCCAGTTTGTCAAAGAGTTCCCCCCATATCTTCGGACTTCTCCCGTGCTTCCTGAGGCGTGACTGTCCAGGTGTCCCAGCCAGACAGTACCAGAGATTGCAGTGCCTCTGTGCTCCCCTCATCCACCATTTTATCCATCCATATTTTCACAATTGAGTCGACATTCTCAGCAGTCTCTTTAGCCTTCAGAATGTCCACAAAACTCTGGCTGTTCACATCCCGGACGCTTGCATCAACTTTTGTGACTAGTGCTTTGAGAATCTCTCTGTTAGCGTTTCCCTCTGCGGCGATGTGGAGAAGGGTTTTGCCATCGTTGGTGCGGATGCTGATGTCTTCATCAGAATTAAGGAGGTTTATGACCTCCTCGGTGTTGTCAGACTGTATGGCCTGGAACAGCTTGCTTTCCTCCATTATGAAATCTGCCCAAACAAAAATAACAAATTAAGACATTTTACCACAGACACTCCAGATATAATCACAATTAATTCTAAATTTTAGATTAGCAATATTACTTATATGTTACAGTCAAAGAGAGTATTACAAAAAACACTAATGTTCATTCAATGATAAAAAAAAGAATCATTTCCCTCTCAGTTATTTCCATAGTACCAAATGGACATTCATTGTTTATGACTTTCTCCTGTTGCCTGCATCGTAACTACTTTTGACAAGAGTGTTTAGGAAATTTCCTTACTTTCAGCCTGTGTCCAAGGACATGAACCAATCTGAAACCCTGGCCTCCTCATGATATGTCCATGTAGCATGATTACTCATTATGTTTTAAATATATAACAGCTTTCTATCATGTATGACAGTTTCAAAATAAGCAATGCACAGAGAATCCAGATTGTTCCTGTTCAAAGATACCTGACTATCAACATTAATACTTTTAAAATTATTTGTTATGGTTATGTTAACTCAATATTAAAGTTTAATTTATCATGTCTTGTCCTATATTATGTTCTTATACATTGGTGCAAGACATGACTGATATTGCTACAGTCATGCTGTTACATGACTATGAATATTTCTAATGGCTAATTTCTAATGAAACATTTTGCAATTTATTAGTATCTTATTTTATTACATGCTCTAATATACATGCAAGAAGTCATGAAATAGAATCCCGGTACTGCATGATGTGATTATACAGATTATACCCTGACAGTGAGAGTGCTGTCTAGTCCTGCCTGCCACCAGCCCGCTTAGTCTTGTAGCAACCACCCAACCATACCTAACTGAAAGTGACACACACCATCCCCCATCTTAATCCTCCCCATGTACCCTCCCAAGTCCAGACACCTAGATGCTTACCTGGCTCACAGTACAGGTGATCCCTACCCTCGTTAACAGAGTTTTGTGTTTACAGATACCTGTAATTACCGATGTTACTCTCCGTAAACCTCCTCGTTAAAGCTGTACAAGCGAGAGGCCATTGAATTTACCGCAGTCGTTGTTACTATGGAGCTGTTTACCGTAGTGACAGGCGAGGCACAACAGGCTATTAATAGCAACTCCATGTGGTGGGCTGGGCCAGGGTAGTGATAGTGAGATACTGTTGTCTGTTGGTATCCTAATTCAGATTGGGTCGGCAATGGCTCCATGCATGATTGATCGTGTGTGAGTGTCAGGGCAAGGAGAGCTGTCCCAGTCAACACGAGTATGATGGGTGCATTTTGTAGTGGTATCACTGATCAACAAGATCCATCAGCGAGATCTATCAGTGATTAATGATACCTGGACAATGAAGATACATTACAGTTCGTCTCAAATATGTAATGATAGGATAAGCATTTCAAGAAACCCGAGAAATAGATTGTAGTCATGATATTGTTATAAATATTAAAACTCACACAATTGTTCATGTTTTATATTGAAGTCTACATACTGATATTAAGCTTTAAATTGGATATTTTAATAATGAATGAATGTTACTGCAGCCAATCTCGTAAACTTACAGTTTGACCAACATATATGTTGTGTTGGTCAAACTATAGGTAGGTAGGTAAGTATTGTTGGTCAAACTGTAAGACCCTACTATAGGAGAAACTACTCCAGGAACCTGTAAATGAACACAAAGACAATTACTTTTAAACATTTAACATTATCCAACATTGTCACTTGGACCAGAACTGTTCTTATGAATGTTGTGTCACTGTTTAACACTTAAAGGACACTGCTGTTTGTGCTCCACCTTCCTCAAGTATGCAGAGAAGGAATGAACGTTTTTTGCTTGTTATCAGTCAAATTGATACAATTCAGACCCTGATTTTTTCCCAACCACCTACAATTACAATCATTTTTTCCTTTAAACTTCTTTAAAGTTCTGTCAAGTTTATTAAATCATTTGAAGCATGTCAAGTCAGCCGTCAGTCTATACGGCCTGTTGTTACACTATCATTGTGTAAAATCTATATTATAAGCCCACCTTTGAAGTTAATTGTTGTAGTATTACACCCATAATCCTGGCATCGCTACAGCAAGCTTCAACAAACCCCAGTCCCAGGGACCCAACTACTTGGTGCTACCTGCTCTACAGATTTACCAGGAATCTCAGATGTCAGGTGATCAGTTGTTGTTGAGACAATCCCGATAATTTTGATAAGTAAACAGTATACAAGGAAGGTCGATTGGCTTGATTGTGGCCCAACAAGCTGGTGGGATATGGGAGGTTTGACAGGTCTATTTGATAACAGTCAGGCACACTGAAGGGACTCGGCCTCAGGCTGGGACTCTCCATTGTTACCCAGGGACTGAGGCAGGTGGGGGTAACGTGTCAACATTACCGCAGTCAGCGACTTATGTCAAGTGTTCAGAAAAATCTCATTACAATAAAGTTACAACCTAGTTACAGTAAAGTTGCAATTTATTCAGTTTAAGTCTAGTTACAGTAAAGTTTCTTAAGTTCAGTAAGGTTTACAATCTATTCACAGTTATATTCTAGTTACAGTGAAGTTACAATCTAGTTACAGTAATATTACAATCTAATTACACTATAGTTACAATCAAGTTACAATAAAATACAATCTAGTTACAGTGAAATTACAATCTAGTGACAGTAAATTACAATCTAGTTAGAGTAAAGTTACAATCTATTCACAGTTAAAGTCTAGTTACAGTGAAGTTTAATTATAGTTACAGTGAAGTTAAATTCTACTTACAGAAAAGTTACAATCTAGTTACAGTAAACTTTCAATCTAGTTGGATCTACGTTACACCTTATTGTGAGAGAATATTTGGGTGCAGTATTGATGGAAAAACATAGTATAAGTACCCAGTATGCATTGACAGTGTGAGTAAAGCACAGAATTTGTTTGGCACAGATCTTCTCTGGTCTATAATAACGATGCTGTGCACTATTACACCTTTATAACATTGTACAAGTAGTTTTCTTCTTTGTCTTTTAATGCCACACTCAGCAATATTCCAGCTATATGTTGGAGTCTGTGTATAATCAAGTCTGAACCGGACAGTCCGGTGATCAACAGCATGAGCATCAATCTACGCAAATTAGGATACAATGACAGCCAAGTCAAACAAGTCAACATAGCAATATTCCAGCAATATCACGGCGGGGGGACACCACAAATGGGCTTCACACATTGTACTCATGTGGTGAATCGAACCCGGGTCTTCGGCGTGACGAGCCAACGCTTTAACCACTAGGCTACCTCACCGCCCCCTGAACTGTGTCAACATCTGTGAGTGTTTCGTTATATGCATGAACGTCAAGGGGGTCTATGTTATAACTCTGATGTTGATTGAAAGAGTCTGAAGGGGCTCACAGATTTGAATATCCTAGAGGAAAGCCTCGAGGACACCATGACACCACAAAATTTTGAACCGTACCCCTGTTATGTAAGATCCATGACAAGGACTACAGTGGTGGTGTTTGAAGGTTTGAGGTATACACCTACCTGTGTGATGGAAGGTCTGTGAGACTGCATCACGAAAGTATAGGGCTGCAGTCTACCTGTGTGATGGAAGGTGATGGTATAGTATAGAGGTTTGGTATACACCTACCTGTGTGATGGAAGGTCTGTGGAGGGACTGCAGTCACGGAGTATAGAGGTTTGGTATACACCTACCTGTGTGATGGAAGGTCTGTGAGGGACTGCAGTCATGAGTATAGAGGTTTGGTATACATGATGTAAGATCCATGACAAGGACTTCAGTGGTGTTGTTTGAAGGTTTGTAATTCGCTTACCTCTGCAATGAAAGGTCCGCGAGGGGCATGCAGTGGCATGTACTAAAATGGATGGTCCATGACAAGGACTGTGATGGTGGAGGTACGGAGACCAGTTTGAGGATGTTTTGGTGGTTGTTCTCTGTGTTGTGTAATTCACCTACCTCTGTGATGGATGGTCCATGACAAGGACTGTGATGGTGGAGGTACGGAGACCAGTTTGAGGATGTTTTGGTGGTTGTTCTCTGTGTTGTGTAATTCACCTACCTCTGTGATGGATGGTCCATGACAAGAACTGTGATGGTGGAGGTACAGAGACCAGTTTCAGGATGTTTTGGTGGTTGTTCTCTGTGTTGTGTAATTCACCTACCTCTGTGATGGATGGTCCATGACAAGGACTGTGATGGTGGAGGTATGGAGACCAGTTTCAGGATGTTTTCGCGGATGTTTTCTATGTTGATGAGGTGGGGCATCTGATGATATTCCATAGCTGTGAAGCCCCACTGAAAAGTACACACTCTCACATGTCTATTGTAGTGGTAACAACACCTTCTACCTTGTTTCCAAAAGTAATACAAATAGCCTAAAAGAGTTGACCAAACCTCTTGGTCTTGGCAGCTATTATCTATGGAAGGATATGATACATGGATGAACAGTTTCTTCATTACAATCAAGTGACGTTTTGGTGTTGGTTATCAAGTTATCAAGCAAGTGTATAGCCTACAATGAAACATCACTCCTTTTGTAATAAAGAGGTTTTACATCCATCTTATCCTGTCTCATTGCTCCAACTTCAAAGCACCTCTCAGAGGCTGGGTATTTAGTATGTTGGATCCTGATCATGGTTAGCGAAGGTCAGCCCTCTTTACAAAATATATGAGAAAGGAAGGCCTGTAGGTTTGTGCTGGGAAGTAATGAAGGAGAATGATGGTCAGGAATTTGTTCAGGGTTTCTTTGTGTGTGACAGACTCACCAGATCAGGGATATCAGCCTCGGCACCAAGGTCTTGTAGTGTGGTGTACATCTGACCATTGTCATCCACACAGGCGGCGTAGTGCAATGCTGTGCG